GCTGGAGGTGGTGCATGGGCGGCTGGAGGTGGTGCATGGGCGGCTGGAGGTGGTGCATGGGCAGCTGGTGGTGGTGCATGGGCAGCTGGTGGTTCAATGCCGTGACCACTGGTACTGGCGTGCCCTTTTGTAGGCATACTGATTCAATGCAATTCGAATATGATAAATTCAAGATTCCGATACCTCGATATCTTACAGCGGGTCTTTTCAAAAACGAAGGTGATATTTGCGTAGAGGGTTAGATAGCCATTTTAGAGGAAGATCAAGTGCTGGGAAATGAGGTTGGAACCGAGGAAATACTAGGTGATATATAAGCCATCAACACCGTGATATATTCGAGCTCGCCCAATGCGATTTGTCCCACATTCTATATTCGATATATCTTGAATACTGCACCAATTTGAAGCGCATGCTTCAGTCGATATCAGTGTAAGCTTATGCCAGGACACATAAATAGTGGCTTCGCTAAACATTTTGCGATGAATAAGGATTTGGGTTCCGCTGCCAAAAGCGGACCATTCCATTCCGCCCCCAGGATTGTTTAGGGAATGTTGCATGCTGGCTAATTACTTCTAGCGAAATGATGAATACCCAGTAACGGTATAGCTTCTCCGAGTGTCCGATATCACCGCTCTAGGTAAGCTGATGTCTATTTTTACCTAATGGGTAATAAGTGGCACCCTTTCAAGAATTCACCATTAAACTTGTGACTAAAGATTCGAGCACTATCAGCCTTAAAATGACCTCTAGTCATTACCCTATTACTGAACCGAGTATAGTCTGCAGGATTCGAAGGCGTAGCAACGCCTCGTACCAGCCCCCGCGTAACCAGTATCTCTGGAATTGGGGGCTACCTTTTCCCATTCTTGCAGTTCGCCGTTCGCACCCTACTAGTATTCCGAGCAATTCTCTTGGCACTTGCAAGTCTGCCCCTCTTTTATACGAGATTCTCGGAGACTGAACGATTGCTTATCTCACACCAAGCCTTTTCAAACGCGATAGGATTTGCAAAGGAGACGATACAAATAGTACCCGCTAATTTCTTACAGCCTCGGCCGTTGAAAGATCGGTCCGATCCCTGAATGTCACAAACCAAGTAATCCCTGCTGTATTGATTGCGTTTCTTGTACGATTATCTATATATGCTCTCAAATCTGCACCAGCCTGGTGCGACACTACTCTCCTGAGATACAAACACCTTAGCCCACTTTCTGCACTTAATAAGAACTCTCCTATCATAGATTGACAAAGAGTGAACAACATCATGACAGATTGGGCTGAGCAAGACCCGTCGGCGGACCGGATCGGTCAATTGCTTGAAGAAATCAAACATGCAGTCTACGAGTATGGCGAAGTGCATCGTGCTCAAGGTGCGTAGTCTCTCTTTGCCGACCCCATAAAATGGGACCAAGGAGGAAAAAGGCCTGATCGATAAACTTAGGCATGGACGAAAACGAACACCAACCCACCCTCCACCAACACTCAAAGTACATCTACGGCCTAACAAAAGAGTATCTCAGCTACGATCCCAGTCACGCAGGCATCCGTAAGTTGTACAGGTGGTTCGGCCAGACCATCCGAGGCCTATTTCCTGGCCATCACAACCTACACCCAGAGCAGCACAAGCTCTACCATCGAGACATCGCCGCCGGCCAGGATGATGAAGATAACATGTCCGACATGGATCCAGACCTAATGGACGACAGCGATGATGAATATGACGATGGTTACGGGCATGATCAGGGTAACAGTGAAGGTCAGTACGATCAGCACTACGACGATGGGTATCATGACAAGGGTACTGAGGATGACTGTTGCTGCGGAGGACATCATGGTCGACGTCACCACGGACATCATGACGGGTGGAATAGCAAGGGGGATGACGGTGGCCAGGATGGGTGGGATGGAAACGGAGAACACGACCCCCAGGACCACGGAGATTACGACCAAAATAACGATTGGAATGATCACGGCGAAGACGGTCAATATAGCCACCACGACGGAGGAGATTATAGCGACGAAGGGCATGAGCATGAGCATGAGCATGAGCACCAACATCAACATCAACACCAAGGCCACGGCCAATGGGGAGACGATTATTAGATGCTGTGGTCTCGGTTTGAACTTTGAAAGGCATACCCTGTTAGTAACTTTTGAGATGTGAAATTGCGTTACCTTTGGTTGTATCGCTCACCGGTATCCTCTTGCGCTTTCCTCGTCATACTCAGTCTGCAACTTCATTTTAACTGAAGCGATGCCAACCTTTTCTGAGACGCGGGCACTTTCGAGCGATCATCCTTCCCTTAGGCCTTTGCGACCATCGACACGTCAGTCTGGACGTTGATCGTTCATCTCTTCAATTGACTACCATCACTTTAGCAGCGGTCGAATCGCGACGTTCCGCTTCTTGCACTTAATCGTGCAGACCGTCGCGCAGGCGATCTTGTGCCTCGGCCTTGACAAGGTGTAATCGACTCCTCCCTCACTTTTCTTGTGGTCTGGAACTGAGAGGCAAATAAGCGTCCAGCTGGTTAAGAGCATTTGTCTCTCTTGCGAGACGTCTGTCTACCTGTTCGTTGAAGTACTTGGTGGCTACGGTTGACATCACTGCCGGGAGATGATCTTGAATGCACAAATCGAGAACGTTGTCCGGCGCCTTCGGGAGGTTTATAAGGGGCAAGCCGGCCAGATTAAGGACGCTTTCTTGTCAAGGTCTCATCATCAACACGTCGATTAGCAACAACCAACTTAGTGCATCAAAATGTAATATACGTGGTTAGATGGGAAGGTTACGCAAGGGAGGTCCAGGCTGTTTTCCTGATAGGATGGGAAGGTGTATCGAGGGCTAGTGAGGCTATTTAGCCTTCTCCACCCTCTCTCTCCATCCGCTTTCTCTCTTCTCTTCCCTCAGAGTCAGTCCATTACCCAAATAGATGCTAGATGCTAGATATCTAGCCAACATTCGTGCTGTTGCAGCCAATCCACCATTTCGGTGGGTCCCTCTTAGTCCTCTTCATCCTTTCCTTCTGCGAAACGACATATATCACGCAGATCCGCCGCAGTTCTTTTAATTTTGAGAGCTTTAAAGCCCGAAAGGTAAATTGAAACAGGATGTTTAACTCGGCTCAGGGCTGCTTATCCCTCTGCACTTCCTCGTTGCTCTGAAAATATCTTGGGTATTGGGGAGGTTCTTTGGCGGGGGCGTTTTCTTTCTTTTCTTTGTTGGGGAAAATAAAAAAGATTTAGGAAAAGGTGGTATCACTTTGATATCATCCTTGCCCAGATCTTCCTGAATTTGAGCCAGTCGAACCGACCCGCACGAAGAACAATCTGAGGCAGGGGAATTCTCGCCGCTCTTCTCGTAGCTTGAAATCGGGATTGAAGCTTTAACCGGCATGTATATATGTTACACATCTTGTCTGCCTCTTCGAGAGGCTGATGCCTACGCGCCAGCTTTGCGTGTTCTTCATATTGCAGCCATTCTGAAAAGGTTTCCATGAGAAAGTCAGATCAAAGAGAAGGGGTCATCAAAATACCACACGGCATTGCCATTGGGGTCAGTCTCCACCTGGGTATATCCATTGCCCATGTACTCGTAGCGATTCCTCCCCTGGTAGGTGATGTTATAGTCCTCATACCGTGGATTCTTCATACACTCAAAGTAGTGCAATCGGGATCCAGGCCATATGGCAGTTACTGGACCGTGAATCTTGCCGTTCTACAAGAAATCTTCGGGTTAGCAGGTATATTTTTCCCTGGGAGTTTACAGAATGGGATATCTCAAAGGCTGTGGGACAGGCACTCACTTTAAACCAGCTGCTACATGGGGCAGACCACGTCAGACGCTTCATCAGCTCGTGCGTGTGATTGTAAAAATCTTTGATGCACTCCCTCTTTGGATCGTATGCCTTGATACCCTCCTCTTGCATTTTCGTGATCATTTGGAACATGTAGCGTGCATGCCACTCCAGGATGGGAAGGATACTAGAGTGACTGGCGGGGGCGTTTGGTCCCAAGAACAGAAACAGGTTAGGAAACCCTTCGGCCATGACGGCCATGTATGCCTTCGGAAAGTCACCAAAGTCCTCGTGAATTTCGCGTCCCTGGCGGCCCACAACCTTGAAGTGCGGCGCAAAGTCTGTGGTGAATCCGGTCGCACAGACGACGGCATCGACCTTGTACTCGTTGCCCGACTTGTCCACGATGCCGTCTTCGGTCAAGCGGATTGCAGCTTCTTTGACAACCGTCATGTTGGAAGCGGTGAGGGACTCGAGATAGCCAGTCCCGGGCGTCATTCGCCGGCAGCCCAGTGCGAAGCCCGGAACAAGGTGGTCGGCCAGTGTATCAGATTTTAGCTTGTCTCGCATCATATTTGCGATGAGTTCTCGGGAGGCCTTTTGATCGGCGCTGGCGGTGTGATTCTGAAGGTTGGGATATTGTGTAAGTGAGGGTCATGATGAATGGGTCGTCAAACATGGAAAACATGGAGAGGCTCTGAGAATTTGGAATATGATCCTTTCTATACCAGACTCACCAGAGTAAACCGCTTGTTGAGTTCGCCTTCGAGCGCACGACAATATTCGTTATAGGTTGCTGGGTCCTCGTCAAACTTTTTGATTTGTTCGGTTGAGTCTATAGTCACGGCTCGTTAGCAACTCATTCGAGACTGATTCAGAGGAGACACGCACATTTGAAATTTGTTCCTCCCGGTCCAGCAAACTTGGCACCAAATCCTGTTGTAATCCACACAGGTGATCGCAAAAATGCAACCAGATTTTTACACTCTGCAGAACCGCGATTAGCATTAGCTGCTGCACATCAGCAACGTATACGGAACATGAAACCATACGCTTTTGGAGTGCAGGAATGACTTGCACTGCAGAAGAACCACCCCCAATGACAGCTACCACTTTGCCCTTCATGTCATATGAATCGTCCCATCGAGCCGTATGCAAAAGCTTTCCCTTAAAAGTGTCCAAACCTGGTATATCGGGATACTTCCATTCACTACACGTCGTTCGGTCAGCCGTAACACACGGGGATCATAGTTTTATGAGAATGACCTTACTTTAAGATACCAGAGTTGTTCGCCAGGATCTCGCAACGGTCCTCGAGCTTCTCACCGTTTGGACCCGCTATCGTAAGGATCCACTGTCCAGCTTCTTCATCCCACCTTGCTTCTTCGACCTTGTGGTTGAACTTGACGTACTTTTCCAAATCAAAATGGGTTGCCATATCCTTGAAATACCGCCATATTTCTGGAGAATCCGAGTAGAACTGCGACCACTTAGGATTCCTAAACCATGAAAATTGACTAGCATTTAACAAGGCGTCAGCTCGGTAATTGTACCTATGTGTAGAAGATGTGGAGCTGCCGAAGTTTCAATTGTCACCTACTAGCTATGGGAAGGAATATCGCACTGACAGCCGGGATACCTGGCAAGTGAAATTCTCGTCAGCCTCTTGCCATAGACGCAAGTTGAGAAGAGGAAGTTACCTGTTCTCCAGCCAGGTACCACCAATGTCGTCATTCTTCTCGTAGATCTGCCACTCGACGTTCTGAAGGAAATGTTCGGCCTTGTGTGCGATCATCAACCCTGAGGCGCCAGCGCCTACGATCACCATGCGAACACGACGTTTTGTGTAGAGCAGTTGCTCCTTGATGCGGTAGCCGTCAAAGTCCTGATTGTACCACTCATTGTCGTGAGGCGCTTCGGATGCAGGGACTGCAGCTGGGTCTGGACTGAGCGATGCAGTGGCGTAGCCACTTTCCATGGCTGACATATTCACCTTACTTGGGCCACTAGCGGCAACCAAAGGTACTTGAGCAAACGGGAAGGGGTTGATAGTATTGTGATTAGAAGCAGCACTTGGTTGATGGCAAATGCAAGGGGACAACTCAAACTCTTTGAGCAACTTCAAGGGCTATGATGTCTGGATGGATGCTCTTATAATTTTCAGCAGCCGGGAACTCCAAATGTTTGCGTTCCATATTCGCTTTAAAAGCCTCCTCTACCCAGCGTCCGTTAGCGACGGCTGAATTCCAGGAAACTCCTCGGGATGAGCACTGAAATCCACAGATTAATAGCATGATTCAGAGACAACGATCAGGCCACTTCTAAAGCTGGGAGAGGACTTGTCATCCCATAAATCACACAAATACTCGGTATAAGATGAGAAGATCGTGGGGTAACATCCCAACTATCCGTTGTGGGATATCGAGAACCGATCTTGATTTGGGCCGAGTGGATACTAAAACAAGAAGGATCCGCGATTTTCAGCCGAGGCCGAGCAACGCAATCGTGCTGACCTTGACCCTCAGGTGTAGCATTATGTCTTTGTATCTTCTGGTGTTTGAGAGCGCGTCGAGGCAGCCACAGTCATTTTCTCCATAAGATCAGAAACCTTTCTGAGTATTAGCAGATCCAAACCGTGGCCACAACCCTACAATGTCCGAAATTCAACTAGACGAGCAGAAATTGGGAGACGTCAAGGGCAAAGTTGCTGTTGTAACAGGTAAGGCTGCAATCACAATGCAACGTTAGCGATGGTGACGCTGACACCAGCTATTGCCAGGCGGTGCGAGCGGAATTGGAGAGGCTATCGTCCGTCTAATCCACAAGAAGGGCGGATTAGTGTTCTTCGGCGACGTCAACGCAGCAGCAGGACAGAGCATCTCTAATGAATTGGGCGGGTAAGCCAAATCTTGTCATTTGTTCTAAAAAGGAGGCGCAACTGAGCCATACAAATCTCAAGAGGGGCTACCTTTGTGAGAGTCGACGTTCTCAACTGGAAAGAGTTACGGGGTCTCTTTTCAGCTGCCCGAGAGGCGCATGGCAGAGTTGATTTCGTCTTCGCCAACGCAGGTATCAATCAGGCCGAAGTCTTTGACGAAGACATTCTCGATGAGGACGGAGAGCTCGTCGACGTCAGCCTTCCGACTGTTGACGTCGACCTCACTGCCGTGATCAAGAGTAAGTAACGATCTACAGACCTCCTTGGATGTAAACAAAGACCACCACTAAGATGTGACAGCATCGCGACTTGCATGGCATCATTTTAGACGAAACAATCCTCCGGGTGGCAGTCTCGTTATAACCGGCTCCACTTCCAGCTATAATGCAAGACCGAACATTCGAGTATACTCGGCAGCGAAGCATGGGGTGCGCCCTGATGCAGACTGGAACACGAATTGACAAGCTAATCCTCTAACAGGTTCTTGGACTTATGCGAGCTCTCGCGGCTGATGGGCCTAAGTACAACAACAGCACTAGTTTGATTGCCCCAAGTGCTACAGGTAATTTCGTCCACTCTCGAATGCATATAACTAACTGACGGCCATGTAGCTACGGGAATCCTCGACGCCACTGCTCGAGCTGCCTACGAGAGACTTGGTATACAGGTTCAGTCACCGGACTACGTTGCTCTAGGTGCCTTATTCTTGGCTAGCAATGGGCAACTGACGAATGGATACGGTCTCAATCTGATGAACTTTCGAGCACTCGAAGTCGAAGGCAAGTTGGCAGAGCTGCAGCCTCAATGGCAAGGCTTTGTGTACGAACTGGCGGCTTCGGCTTCCAACGTCAGTTTCAAGCGATGAGGGACAATGTTCGCCATCATATCGTGCATTTCCTACCTTCCACAGATGATTGAATCCGAAATACCTCCTAGTAAAAGGCTGGGTAGCCATTATTTACACAAAGCGGTCAATACCAACCTTCAGAGTATTCACGACAGAAATACTTAATCTAGAGAAAGGCGGTTAGCTTCTCTGCTGCGAATTTTGGTGGCTTTGGCCCCATAGAAAATAGACACAAAATAAAGATATTGTCTATCCATAACCAAAAAAGCCTCCTGATCAATTCAACACGACTCAGCTAACCTGGACAAGATGTTGTGATGCTTGTCGTTCAGAATGATTCAAACTCTGCTCACATTTCAGCCGACGACCACGAAACCAGCGGCTGAACTTTGTTTCAACGGCGGCTCTCGGCTATTCTACTTTGCATAAAGAACTTCTCAACAAGTGCCTCAACCTATAAGTGAATTTATCTGGCACTTCAGTTGCCACATGTACTCAGCAATTCCTCAGGGGTTGCAATCATAAGAGGAAAATCACGACAGTCATGCCTCTCCCAGCGTATACCAATAATGGTCCGGTGGACTGCTCAATTAAGCCCGACGTAACTGATTTAAAGGGAAGAAGCGTCGTGATTACTGGAGGTCAGTATATCTTGTCTCGAAACGAAGGTAATTTTTAACAGTGCTTCTCAAGGGGCAAACGGGTTCGGCGAGGCATTTACTAGAGCGTTCGCGGCTGCAGGGTAAAAGTTATTTGTCCCACGACCATACGGCGTGAGTCTTACGAGTGGTAGGGCATTCGTGACATTCGGCGACATCGATGTCAGGAAAGGCGAGAGTCTCGCCGCAGAACTGGGAAGGTATTTTGAGAATTGCTCCAGCACAACCTCCTTCCACTGACAGCGCCTCGGCAGCAACGTCCGATTCGTCCAGTGTGATATAACCTCATGGGATGATCAGCTTGCTTTGTTCAAAAAGGCTGTTACTGAATCGCCAGCGAAGTCTTGTGATATTGTCATTGCGAATGCTGGAATCACAGGCCCCGATCCAGTTTTTACCCTTGAAGGCATGTCTCGGCCTTTGCCTCGTGTCCCTCAGCCTCATCCACTAACGATCGTCTCAGATCCAACCACGGAGCCGACAAAACCGGACCTTCGGATTCTTCAAGTCAACATGATTGGATCCTTCTATACACTGAAGTTGGGACAACATTATCTTCGGTTTGCCCCAGAGTCAGCACAGAGTGACCGGTGTTTTATCTTCATGGGCAGCATTGCCGGCATACTGGATCAGCCAGGTTCTTTCCAGTACTCTGCGTCCAAATTCGGCCTTCGAGGTCTCATGAGAAGCGCCAGGCGTACGCTCTGGCAAGAAAACATACGGATCAATTACATAGCGCCATGGTAGGTAGAACCTGATAACTTCGATCCGGGAACAAGCAAAGCTGACCTCATGGGCTGAGAAAAAGGTACACAAAGACGACTATCTTGAAACCCCAGGTCATTGCCACACTGATTTCAAAGGGCGTGGAGTTTGCAGAGATTGAAGATTGCACCACTGCTGCACTTCGAATAACTTGCGACAAAAGCATTAATGGTAGGTTACAAGGCGTTTATCCTCTTACACAGGCGGCTACGTGAACATTTTTATTGACATAACCTTACTTAGGACGTTCCTTTGGAATTATTCCACGCTCAGTAGTGTCTGAAGGATATATGGATATCAATCTTGATGACTATGACGAAGGTACTCTATGGCAGAATCTCCAGTCTATCGCTTTGGCGGCTTCCATTCGGACGATGCCGGCGGCTAAGCAAAATGCTCATTGAGCATATGAGCATCGTGATGTCCATGAACGGTACTCTTCAGCTTGTACAGGACATGGATACCCTTTTGTAGAGGTAGTCGCAGCCTGGTCTACATATCTTACGAAGAACGGTGAGAAAGCGAGCATGGGCTTCTCTATTCTTGATTCTCTCGAAGCTGCGTTTTCTCAAAGCCTTTTTGGTGTTTAAATACTCGCAATATAATCATAAAAGATCATTCTTAGCTTTGCATAACAGACTGCTGGATCTCGTGGTCATCAAACTGGAACCACGAGTTGATATCTTGTAGCGTGAAACAGTCCATTAGCCATGCCTCATCAACCACGCTTTCTGCACTCGCATCTGCGGTATTGTCACAAGGTCCATCTCTTCGTTCACTTGAGGGAGGACCGCCGCCAAGTTGATCGATTAAGCTAGGCGAAGACCATCGAGAAGGCCGTTGCGGGAGCTGTCGTAGTCTTGCGAAATCGTTACAGCTCAGGTACTGGAAGAGGCTGTGTGCCCAGACGGGGACAGACCAGTTTTTGCCCATTTCTTCGAGAATGATGAGGCCCATGGAGAATTTGCTGGCTGCAGACTTGAAGCGGTGACTTTCCTTGGGTGACAGTTTGATCTCTTCCGCATAGGTCAGGAGAGCAATGAATATGGCGGTATTCCTGGTAACACAAATCAATAAATCTTGCAAACGGCTGACTCAAAGCCGCCCACGAGGCAAAACTTACATGAATCCATGAGAATATCTGAGCGTGCCTACGACCAACAGATCTTCATATAGATTGATCGACCTCGCAGCAGACCGAACAATCGAAGTTCGAATATCCTGAAGGCTAGGCGCGTCGGTATGAGTGATGGCGGTTTCTGACAGGATTTTATGCAGATACCGACAATTTAGTGCAACAATCCGTTCGTAATTAATATGAAGGAATGTAAGCCACATATTGTCGACTTCAGACTTCGTCCTAATATCGGCGCGGCCGCTAAAGAATTGGGAAAGAGTACGGGGAGGTTCACGAACAAGCTCGTTGTAGCAAGTGGTGAGAGTGTCCAATGCTCGGGTTGGTTCCAGCCGCTGCCCCACGTTCGCCTTGACGATTCGATCCACTGGCAATGTTAGATTCCTTCACGACATTGGTACTTGCTATGAAAAGCCTGGACTTACAAAGGGTGGAGAAGCGGACCAGTTCAGTGGCAAACAAGATGTGCACGGGCGACGAAGCATTGAAGTCTACCTTAGACAGCGACGACCCATCATTAAAGGTAGCATGGCTGGATTTGTCCACAGGTGTCTCAAAGAAATCCTCAATAGTAAGTGGCTCGACATCAACATCGTCGCTATTGATGAGAAACGGCCGAGCCAGTCCCACCGATGCGTTTCGATCGCGCGCCTATAGAAAACAGAGTGTCAGTCGCGATATTGAGCGTGTGGCAAGATCGCTGAGCTTTTCTCACAAATATTGTCCAAAATACCCTCCGCCAAATGCTCCTCTCTTCGAATGATAGTTTGCAAGTTGGGGAAACACGTGTATGCATACCCATAGTTTGAGCGATCTTGCAAGCACACCCAATCCAGTATCTTGTATCTTTTTCTTCGGCATAGTCACGCCACCAAGGGCTGATCAGAAGGAGAGCTTGTATAATGACGAGTTGCTGTCTTTCACAGTCCATGCCGTATAATAGCGTGACTCGTGTATAGAAAAAGTCCTTTGCGGCAGCTCGAGACGAAAAGCCGCCTTCACTTATGACTGTCTCGTCCACATACAAGGCGGCAGCATAAAGAATCGAATGGAGGAGAAGAGGCGACAACACAAAGCCTTTGACGAACGCATCATACATGTCCCGCAGCTTGTTCCTGTCGATGATTGGGAACTCGGGAAGCACGTGCTGTATGAATACCATCATAAACTTGTCCATGATAGGCGTTGGTGGGAAATGAAGAACATTCTTCATTCGACACAAGAAGAATAGGTCCTCCGAAGCAAGATGATTGAAGGGATTATTGTCATCGTCTACTAGAGCCTTTTCGCACCAGGTGTCTGATGGGATCTTAGCGGCGAGACGATGTTGATCGCCATTCGGCAAATTGCACAGCAAGCGCGGTGAATTGACAGGCTTGCGAGAGAAAAATCTTCTGTGGCCTGTCATATGCGGCAATATGGAGTGATTGTGGCTCTCTCCTCCGTAGACAACTCGTTCGCCAGCACGCCACTGGCTGTTAGCGGTGGCAGCAATGGTTGGCGACCGTAAAGTGTGCCCGTGGTTCAAGGATTTCGGCTGACCAGTCGCCGTCATGCCGGATTCCAAGGGTTCAATCCACACATTCTCACTCCATGCAACGGCGTCAGAGGCAGGACTTGGGTCTGATCCTATGAGAACGGAAGCAGAATCAGACAGAGCTGATCCCGCGGTGGAAGTTGCGGTCCCAACATGTGAGCCGTTGACGCCGAATGTTCCAATGCCATCTCGAGGGCCACGTGACGCAGCGGGGTGCTCATCAGGACATGATTGCTGGCCATGGACAATCTTCCGCTTCTTGTAGGTGCTGTGAAAGAAGAATAAGCAATTGTAGTATGTCTGTACATATTTGGGACCACTTACCTTCCTTTTCTACCAGGCAACAACTCGCAAGATGTTCCGGAACTGATGCAGTTTGTGCAAGGAATTCCAGAGGGGCGAGTTGCCGCGTCACAACGTATCTTTTAGGCATTAGAAGTCTTGTTAAATGAAGGAGGAGGGGATGCCGCTACTTTTCTTTTGTGGCAGACCGAACATGCTCTGGATGCGCGCTGCGAGGACGACGTCCGGTTGTTGTCCTCCAGCGAGGTAGCCGTAGGGTGTACGCTAGCCATGCACTCTCCGTACGGGGAAGACACAAAATCAGCCGAGAAGACTCAAGGGTTGGGGCCGGCTTAAAAGATGCAAGGCACATTCAGAACATTGCATTCGCTAGCCCGTAATACAAAATACCCGGCTCGGGTAGGCGGGCCAGTAGGCCGAAGTTTACCGAGTACCCAGCACAATGTACCTAGTACTCGGCAGATGTGTAAGGGGGTTGCTCTGGGTCGCCAAGCTCCCGGCTTAAGCGCAAGCTACGGCGGAGCATAGAGTGGTGTCACCCGAATTCCCAAAGGGATCGATCACGTGCATTTCTCCAAAGCCTTGGCATGAATCTCCCCCACAGATCCCGATACACCTGGCAAGCTGATCACTACCCTGTAGATGCGGTTTCTGCCAATACAATCACGGAATGAACTAGAGGCCTACTTTCTGTTTTCCACATTCCCGTACTAATAGATTCATTCCGTACACTCTGATACCCTTCGATCATATGCCTCGATTGAGACCGTCGATTTTTTTCGTCTCCGGTCCCTCCGCGTCTGCGACGGCTTCACGTCCATGTCTTCACTCGTTAACCCTGTCATCCTCCCGGCGTAGCATTAGCACAGCCAGACATCCTCCGTTCGCCGTCCTCGAGACATGCCCCGAACCAACATGTCCGTGCCGCTCGGCTCCGAAGCTAGATCTCGAAATCGATAGAAAGCAGAACCTCAATGGTTCCATGTCCCCGTATGCGCAGCACCTCATCGTCTCCACGGGCCAATCGGATTGGACTTCCAGGATAGAAGATGAACATGACAATGGTACTTCATGGGGGCAGGTGGTTGGGGATTTCAAGAGCCTTTTGGGAAGGCACGGAGAGTTCCACGATGTAAGTCCTATTTGTGAGGATGCTCTTGTGGTTTTTGTTCATATTGTGGAAACGAGTTGGGACATCATAAGACGCACCAAGAGAGACTTGTCTCGTGGTACAAAGAAGGCAAGACGAAACGAGATCCGGCTGACTTACACAAGCATTGAGATTTAGCCCTTCAATAACATCCTCATTAATACTTCGTCATTCACGCCTTCGTCAGAACCTGAGCCAAGACATAGTCGAGACCTGGTTGAAGGCGTCGACGCCCTCATTTTCCCAGCGTTTCGACGGTTCAGACACTTGGCGCCCCTCGCTCGAGGCAGAGAAGCGACCACCAAGTCGACTGTCTTGACGTCCCCAGCAGGCGCCGGGTCAGGCGGGTTGAAGGACTTCGTTCGCGGCTACCTCCTCCCAGAGCCTGACAGATTACACCCCATCTATAAAGACATCCCTGAACATGAGCGAGCAGCGAAAATCAGAGATGCCACCGCTGCTTCAAACTTCCACAGCTGGCCAATTGTAAATCCGACGATATTGATTTGCAGTCACCATCAGAGGGACAGCCGATGTGGAACGTTAGGCCCGTTACTGCATGAGGAATTTAGAAGATACATTAATCAACGAAAGCCAGACGAGCAAGGGAGGAAGCTTGTCACTCCGCAGTCTCCGGGAAACTTTATTGCCTCCGAGAATGACGGTCCAACCGGATCCGAACCAGGAGTACAGGGGAGCATCCTGGAATCCCTAGGCCAATCATTAATCGACACCACCCTCTCTTCCTTCTCCAATACAAATGCTTCGGCCACAAGCTCGATGCAAGCCCACGTAAATGTGGGCATGATATCCCACGTCGGAGGACATAAATGGGCGGGGAATGTGATCGTCTACATTCCTCCGACCTTTACCACTTTCCACGGCACGACCTCCAATCACCAACATCCATCATCTGACATGTCTCATGCTTCTGGTGTGCCGCCACCACACCCGCTTAGAGGAATGGGGATCTGGTACGGCCGAGTCGAGCCGAGACATATAGAAGGCATTATTGAGCAGACGGTCATGAGCGGGAAGGTGATTGGGGAGTTGTTCCGCGGCGGGATAAACGCGTATGGAGAGATTTTGAGGTTGTAGAATAACAAAAGAACTAATTATATCCGCTCTTCATCCGGGGTGGTCGCTCTTGAACGAATCTATCCACGGGGACCAGCGTCGTCGGAAAATGTACGAAAAGGGCGAATCAGTGATAGAGACACTGAACATGGTGGAAGTAGGTTCTAAAGAAACTGTGCGCAATACAATCTAAAGATTCATGAAATTGTAATACTCGAAATTGTCACCTATTCTTATCCTGTAATAAGGCAAAGTGGCTGTGCAGTACTGTGCAGGGCTGGTAGAGTGGTAGCAGAGGGGGGAGAAGTTGTCTAGTCACATGTCAAACCAAAATGGGCTGGCAGGGGGGAGTGCGGAACAGTTTACAGTGCTCGCAGAGTGCCATTCTTTACAGTTTGAGCAGAGTATCATGAATTCCATGGCCCTTTAGTGCCGTCTACCTAATTCCTGAGTGTTTTATCAATCCTGTCCTGTTCCTCGATGCTCCCGCTGTGCTAGGTGTTCGTAGCCCTAGCCGCTGCCCCTCTGGGTGGTGTTGGTGGTGTTGTCTTGTCAGTGCCAACCAGAAACCCGTTCTCGATTTCCCGACCTGCTGGACAGGCCTCTGTGCGTTGTTGCACGGGCACGCCGAACCCTGAAGTGCACTGTTACAATATAATTTGATAGCTAATATGAATTAGCTACGGAGAGAGTGTAAACTATCGAGAGTAATGAAGGTGTATATATAATGCTTATACTCTATGCGCTCTGCGTGCTCTATTTCGACAGGGCTAATAGGGCCGGCAGAGCAAACAGGGCATATTACGTGACCTAGCCTTGTTCTTCTGTGGATTCTTCCATGTGTCCAATGAATATGGTGAGTCGCGCTCGTGCAACTCGTCATCGGTCTCTCCTAAGGCTGTGTCTAACAGCTAATCGTAAGTAACGAATAGAGTGAGTTCGATAACGAGTCTTAGAGGGGCTCCTACCTAGACGTAAAGTAACGTAAATAACTATAGATTATATGAGAACGTTGCTAAGGGCCGTATGATCCTAAGAGGACCTCAGAAACGTGAGAGACTAGAGGTTAAGAAGATAAACGTGGTGAGATGAGAACGTATCTATATCTGGTTTGATGGAACTTCGGTTTAGACACAGCACGCTGCTGTTCGACTGATCTTTGTCGCGGTCGAGGGAACAGCAGGGGAAACACAGGCTGCGCTGTGGCTGTAACGGCTCTTTTTTTTACAATCAACTCGTCTTCGATAGGCTATTCGATCCTTTTGCCCAGATCAGGCTGGGTTCACCATTGTAACATCAAGGAGGAGGAAGAGGCGCTGTATGACATGGATAGCAGTGGTAACATAGGGAGTATCATATTGGGTAACTATCTAATGACAGTGATGACAGCCAAGAAGTAGGCACTCAAGTGCCAAGGCGCTAAAAAGCCTCACACCGTCGCTTCATACCGAAGCCAGGCCAAGCAACTAGTACCACTAGTAGAGGGTGATCAAGTCGAGGCGGTTTTACTCCCAAGAGTTAAACTGCATAGCTATCAAAGAGGACTGTATCCTTGAGGCTACAGTAGCATGGTCTGTATTGTATGGATTTCTGCTGGCTTTCTAATGACTTTGTAACGCGATGAGGAAGTTCATCAAGCAAATAAAGGGAAGGCGCCCTCAACGCGGAGATGCACGCAGACAAACGGGTGCTCCAGATGCAGTAACTCTATTGCTACAACGACTGCTACGCGGGACGCTGATTATTGTACCAGGACAAAGCATCGAGTGTTGTACAGGAGCGCTTACCGCCGGAACTGCAAGCTCTGGCGGACGAATCTCGCCGCTATGGGCTCAAAATACTCCCTTCACTACCAGAAATCCCTATATCTGACCACTCTTATGAACTAAGCGTTGTTGCCGTGCACGGTCTCGGAGGTGATTTCTACAGGACATGGGCGAGCCGGGATTCTCAGAAACCGACATTATGGCTTTCACAACTTCTTCCGAAAGAATTGCCTGGCGCACGGATTTATTCCTTTGGATATGAATCTGCACCAACATTCAGCCGCTCCGTAACAGGAATTAGCGACGCCGCGAACGACCTACTCCATGGCTTAAAGTCTTTGACCGAGCAAGTGAGTGAAAAGTCACAACTCGGAGCTTATCGAGCTCATATTGACCAACCCTTAGTGGCCAGCCAAACCAATCATTTTCATCTGTCACAGCCTTGGAGGAATAATAGTGAAACAGGTACCATTTCTTGCTTGGAGTTTGGATAAATTCGAAACTGATAGATCTCGTCTCAGGCAATGATCATGGCCCACGAGTTTGACTACTTTGCCGATGTTTTGCGCGCTACCCGATTGATCGTGTTTATGGGTACGCCACATAGAGGGAGTCAGATTGCGGCAGCGCTGGCACCCCTCGCGACATTCGCTAACTTCTGGTTGGATATCTCCTTCACCTCGACTTTTGCTGGTTCGATGAGGACCGATCTGATCAGCATGTTATCGCAAGATTCTGCAAAACTCGATGAGATCAACCAATCATTCAAACGACGTGCCAATGCGATGACGATTATTTCGTGCTACGAAAGAGTGAAGCCTTCTGGTTGTTCTTCACTGGTGAGTTCATCAAGCTGCTGAAGCCTTCAGATCGCTAGCTGAAATCTTCAGGTCGTTGAAAAACAATCCGCCGTTCTTGGACTACCGGAAGAGATCGAAATATCTATTCAAGCCGATCACATGGCCATGTGTCGCTTTTCGTCAAGGAGTGATCCTGGTTACGAACCACTGACGCGGGCCATAGTTCACGCTGTAAAGCAGATGATACCAGACACCTCGCATCGCTGTACGTCACGTTTCTAGGTAGTGCTTAGGAAGAGGCTAAAGTTCTCCACTCAAGCATTCACAGAATCGGAAAGCAGATACATCGCGACGTTCGGTCGACGACCTGATATTTCTATCGACGAACCCTTGCAAGGTACTTGCGTCTGGTCGATCTCCACGCGAGAATATCGCGATTGGCGGGCCGAACGTAGGCCGGCTGTACTGTGGTTGACGGGCGATGCGGGTTGTGGGAAAACTGTACTTACCAACTTTCTTGTTCGAGAGCTGAGAGACGGCGTGGCAACGAGCTCGACAAAAGACGAGCTAGTTTGTTGCTTCTTCTGTGCGAGGGACATTGAGTCACAAAAAGACGCACGGTCTCTTCTGAGATCGCTGATATTGCAAATTTTTTCGGTCAAGAAAGACGTTGTCCGCCAGATTAAGGCTGCATACAGCTCGATAAGGCATGAATATGAGCCGTCCTTCGAGACTCTCTGGCACATATTCGAAATGGCGGTGGGAATCACTTCATGCAGTTGTCTTTACATTGTAATTGATGCCTTGGATGAATGTGAGGAGAAGTCGCGATCATTGTTTCTAGCCAAGTTTCTCCACATGGTACAGCCACGGAGTCTGGATGGCGAGACATGGCGAAAGAGAATCAAACTCATCATAAGCGGACAGCCCCTCATCAGCCGAGCTTGGAAAATTGGGGATGAAAGCCTCTCCCAATTCTACATTGATATGGAGGAGCGTCCAGAAGGTTTGGTGGGGGACCTCCAACGCTTCGTCGACTACAAAGTGGAAGATCTTGTTTACAATGCCATTTGTTCCGAAGCACTCGGCGAGCAGTTGAAGCGGAAGCTTTACACTCTAGCCGAGAACTCCTTTCTATGGCTGAGCGTCGTGCTCGAGGACCTCAAGCAGGGGCTAAACTATCGCGATGCCGATGTACAAAGGGTATTGACAACCATTCCTAGCAACCTGAAGGATTCCTATACGAAGCATCTTCCCCCAGTATCGGAAAGTCAATTGCCGCGATTGAGGTGCTACTTGCAACTGCTAGTAGCATGTGCAAGACCATTTACACTATCTGAAGTCGACGTATTTACAACACTCTATGATCGGCAGTCGACAGAGTGCATCTCTCCTGTCGATGGGGCGTTGGTGCTGAATAGCCTTCGTCGCGCTCTCGGGCCGCTGGTAAAGTTTCCCGATGGAAAGGTTCAATTCATTCACTCTACGGTAAAGGGATATTTCTTAGCCCTCCAATCAGAACCCGACCATCTACTTCACAAGACCCATGGTGTGGATCTCGACACGGCGCACTTGCTTCTCGCAAAGGCTTGCATTCAAAACCTTTTGCAAGAAGCGAATAGCCCCGATCCCCACGATGAAGAGAGACTTTCCTTCGAGATGCCCTCTTCCAGTCCGATCTCTGCCCGTTCTTCGAAAGGCGAAGCCGACCAGGACGTACCTTATACTGAATTATTCAACATTGAGGATGTCGCCTTTTTGCGAGATGAAAACACCCTTTCAGAGGACGTCTTATCACATCTTAGCAGTCGCTACCCGGGTTACGATTATGCTACACGGTACTGGGACCGTCACTACACCCAGGCTGAACACATTGCTGATGCTTCTGTACAACAAGATGCGATCAAGCTGCTGTCCTGCGAGTCACCGCGACTCTCTCGGTGGTACAAATACAAAGCCAATCATTCGCCTACCGCGATGCCTGATCAGGCTGAAGTTAACGCTCTGGTCCTAGCGGCATTGTTCGATTACCCGACAATCTTACAGAGGCTCTTATCGCACCGTGGACTTGCCAATGAAAGCACTAAGCTTCAATCTGCACTATATTGGGCGTCATCCCGTGGTCATATCAAATCCATCAACGTCTTACTCGAGCACAAATCACCTCTACTCGATGCAGGCCGTAATAGGTCAGCGTTGGCTGTTGCTATTCAAGGCGGATTTACTGAAGCTTGCGAGGTGTTACTTGGCGCGGATGATGCTGATCCAAACTATTCCGGTCTTAGAACTCCGCCACCTCTTGTCCTCGCCGCAGCTCACAACCATGTGGAAATATTGGTCGGGCTACTTCAGCATGGATCCATTGACGTGCATCAGACCGATGCATCAGGGCATACCGCCCTAATACAAGCGTGCCGTTCCGGCTCCGACCAATGTTTGAAAGAGCTTTTGAGAGACGACCGTACCAACATCAACTCATGTGATAGTGACGGCCGTAACGCCCTGATCCATGCTTGCATGTCAAGCCATGCATTAGCAGTGGAACAGTTAGTTAGGAAACCGTTACTGGATGTGCATTTGTGCGACAAGGATGGCCGAAATGCTATGTCCTACGCTGCTGAAAAAGCCACGCTACCTATTGTTAGGCGCTTGTTCCACGTGCAAGTGTCTATAGCAAAAGAGGATGCCAACGGCCGAAACGCTATCTCATGGGCAGCGAACAGCTCCGGAGCGACGAAGGACCCTGATCATTATGGACAATGTGTACTTAAATACCTTATCGAGAAATGCCCTGAAGGCGTTGACTCCCAGGACAAAGATGGTTGGTCGCCTCTAGCCTGGGCCCTGGACCGACCAGGATATCCCGAAGCTGTCCGACTCCTTATTGCAACGGGCAAAGCAGACGTTAACCAAAGAAATCAAACCGGCGGTCGTTCCGTGTTAGCTTGGGCAGCAAGCGAGGGTTTTACGCAGATTGTCGAGTATCTGTTGGGTCTGCCGCAATTGGACAAAAACGCGACAGGCGATGATGGTCGATCACCATTGTCGTATGCCGCAGCAAATGGTATGGTACGTACCCTAGAATTGCTTTTGGGAGACAGCGAGGTTAGAGCGGATTTGCGGGACTCGAAAGGAAGGACCCCCATAGATTGGGCACGGATGAATCATCACGATGCAATCGTTTCCCTGCTATCTAAACACGGTTTGGAATAGCGTGTTGGCTGTTTTGGGTCACGATATGATGGAGGGATTTCACGGCTTCAAGCATTCGCTAGAATCTCCGGGTAATATTCTTCGGCAAGGGGTCGATCCCTCGAATTCAAGGCCCCCGAGTCAGAGTTGGAAACATCTAACCCCAGGTGCGTACACGAGACAAATTGCATGAACTTTCTCGGATGAATGAACCTTCCAGAAAAGTGTCTCCATTCACTCCTGTGTGGCCGTCAGAAAGGTATGATATCCGTCGATCACTTCCGAAGCGGAACCTCGTCGTCCTGCATTCTGGTAAAGCACGGTGCGGGATTCTCTCCAGAAATCAGGACGGGACAGGACGGTTGGCGCGGTCAGACAGTCGCCATGAATACGCCGTCCTTACAGTGCCCTTTCATTCTTGCTTGCTCTGTCATGCTAGAGTGCGATCCAAACTTTGGACCAAGGTCAGCGTTCCTCCCTCGAGTGTTGTCCAAGGCCGCTTTTCTGAGGCTACCACCACATTCTTGGGTTAAGTTACTGACAGGGATAAGCTGGGTTCTGGCATATTTGATGAACACACTATTCCATGTTGATACCATGTGACTTGAGCTTGTCGAGTGCTGCCTGCTTGAAATCCCGGAAAGCCTCTTCCGACACTTGAATAGAATCCCTACGATAATAGTTAAGTCGCAAATTTCTTATAGAGAGTTCCTGTCACACATCTTATTTAGAACATGCACGATTGAACGTTTAGTAGACTTTCCGACTGTGATGCCGACATCGTCATTGATCATGTCAGGGGACAAAACTAGTACAATACTGTCTGTGAGTTTATTTTCCGGCTGCGAATCAACTAAAAACGATTATGATCATTGCCACACTCCAGAAACCGCTGAAAACATAGGGATGACCACCTTGAATGAAGGAGTATAGAACGATGGCGTCTTATGTAGTTCCCGCAATGTATGTAAGATTAGATCGTACTTTGCTTTGCCTTTTGCTTCTAAAACCTCGAGCGACTCGAGGTCGACGCCGTTCAACTTCATTTTAGCGTAAGTATATACACAGATACACAAAGAGGGTTAGGGCGAGAAGGAGAGAGAAATAGGTTTTCAAAGAGAGGACAAAGATACCTGCTACAGTAGCTGCCCGGCAATAGTCTTTTTTCCAGCACTGGCGGGTCCAACAGTTTCGAAAGTCCTGCCTTTCCCTGAGTCAGTCGACAATGAAAGCGCATCAACATCGTCTGGTTTAGCTCACTTCATCTTCGTGAATAAAAAACCTGGCTCAAGCAAAAGAATAAACGTCGTATGGTTGTAAGGAGAGGAATTCAGTTTATCTTAATGTAGGCGGAGCGTCACTAAGCTTAGCAGTAGAACCACATTGACGTTAGATCGGCTCCTTCCACAACAGCAAGCCGCAGACAAACCGACATGACCCTGCCTTCATCAACTTAGCACCGTGCATCGGTAATGTCGCATAGCTTCCGGCCCCTTATGAATGCTGATGTCCCCGAGAAGGAAGTCTTTGATGATGAGGCTGGTAACCTAGCAAAATGGCTCATGGAGAACGAGAACTGGCGGCCATACCGCGGGAGTGACAAAGTCGAACAATGTAGCCACCTAGACCGAATGGAGTGAATCAAACCTTTAATCAACGCGACGAATGTGGTGGTGTGCTCAAATTGGCTCATGTGTATGTGCAGATGCTCATTTCTATCATAAGGCCATAGGTAAAATGGCTTTCCTTCTCCGGTGTCGCGGCCCCTACAACACCTTTCTCGAACCAACCGCGGTCGAAACGTTTCCCGGAGAGATCTTGATGCTGTATCACAACGAAAGATCCTCCTCCACTTTTGACGGTGAACGGCTGGATATTTCGCATCCTGCTCGCAGGAGTGTTGATCTTGAGGACACCCTACTTTTTTGCCTCATTTTTAGAAAGCGTGGAGTTGGTCCAAGTCGATTCCGAAATTGTCGACGTTAGACCTGCCTACATCAAGAGATGGTGAAGTCATATCAATACCGTCGAAGTCAAACTCGATAGCTGCCTCCCGTGGAGGATATTAGCCAGAGTCTGATACGGCAATTTTGGTGTAAGGCCGAATCTGTGGAGGAGAAAGTGGTTTGAGATACATTTTTGAGATGAGGAAGTGTGATCAGGGCAGCTACCGAGCCTATTGCACATATAAGAATCCTAGCAGATCCCAACCACCCTTCTCCGGTCTAAGAATGCAGGCTACGTCCTTCATCTTTCGGTAATAAGCCCGACGCCTCCACGAAGAATTCTTACGGTGAGGACTGGGGCACCACCATCCTCAAGCTCCAACCTGTATTAAGCCTGGCGGCATCCGCAACAGAACGCCGTTTGAGTATGAGAGCAGCCGTTTTACCACCACGCGGTAAGCGAACATGCAAACATGGTGAATTGCCAAGGCATGGAATTGGGCTAACTATTCTTTTGTAAAACAGCGTCGACTGAACACGGGTTTGCATGAACGGATGACTTGTGATGGCGATTTCTGTGATCTTCCCAGTTGGCTTATGCCAACAATCTCAAATCTCTGGGCCTTAATCTGACACATAACTATGGTGCTCATTCAGCCGATGGGATGGTGCCGCGGAGGTATTGTATTTAACATGGGATGAAACCCAAGTGTTGATATCTAGAACATTGCTGCGCTAGTGACGATCCTCCCTTTACACCGCTGAGAGATATCAGCATAGAGAATAGGAAAACTCAAATTGCAAGCTTCTTTTCTTCTTGCCCTCGACGTAGAACGGACACTGTTCATCGTGCTCTGGGTTTTGGATGTAACGGAGAAAAAAGGCATGGTTCCAGGTGGAGCTGCGAGGGCCGAGACGACAACATTGGCAATAAGACGAGAAACGCCCAAGTGAATGCTCTGGTTGCACATTGAGTGAAATGCTCGACGCTTCGTCGCACAAACTCTGTAGCAGGCCCGGCTTGGATATGGGTTGGCGTTGGAGCGCATTTGTATCTGGCTCCTTCTGGTTGTTAGCTGGGAGCTGTAGTTGCGCATTGATGGGACGTTCATTAGCAATTGTTGAATGTCGGTTGCTGAGGTGGCAGAGGATATTTGCATGTTGCCCCTCTGTTTAGAGAGGCTGTCTAATCGCCGCATGATCATTTGAACGCCTGGATCAAGAGCTGCCTTCATCACGTGCAGCTCCCCCCCGCACCGTCGACAAATCGACTGTAAAGAGGAGAGACCGTCGACAGTATCTCAAATACTAGATGTTATGACGCCGGAAACGGATACGACAGGATCGAGCTTGGTGTTGATCACATTTTGAGAGCTCGCTGCGTTGGAGGACGCGTCCCAGGAGGGATCAGATGTAATGACCACCAAAAAGAACAGTGAGCATCTAGCCTACAAACTGGCAATGAAAAGGATCGTGTCTGGGTTCTGTTATAGTCGATCAATTGTGACAGACACCTCGATCATGGCGTCCTTCCTGAAGGAAAAGACGGCGTTTGGTGCTAGGTGTTGAAGTCTGTCCTGATGAAGGCTCATGTCTTCGCTGTATATTATTAGCGAGCTTGGCCTCGCAAATGGAGCGCTCTATCCGGCGTGCTGCGGTGGGTGTTTTCACTATCCATGATGGTAGAACTTGTTGGAGGATGCTTACAGTCTTTGAGACCCTCGGCTCGTTCGGTGAGGTTGTCGAGATATTGGTCTTGGCCTTTCAAGGCTGAACAGTAGGAACATCAGCCTTGACATACTGTCAAGCTCAGAGATATGACGCCTATCGCACTGCTTGCTAGGGAGAAAGGGGTCAGTCATAGCAAGAGTGCGCAGACACACATGAAATTGACATCTAGAGATGTTCCCAAGAAATGATGATGTTGATGAGGCAGCAGTGAACGAGGCGGAGAGGCGGGAGGCTCCCGCTGTAAATAGCTGCTCTCGTGCTGGGCGCGAAGCACGTGCTGCCTGTGATTGGAAGAAAGAGCTGCAAAGCCTTATTGGTGATCTCTCAGAGGCGAAACTGGGGCGAGTAAACAAGTACAAGTAGGTCAGATGAAGGAGAGGAGGGAGAGATGAGAGAAATGCACGTGACATCAAGACATGCACGTGCCGCGCGTCTTGGGCACGTGATGCGCTCCGCTGACATAATATTCCGTCTCGGCTCGGCTGCTTTGGAACTCCGTTAGTGCTGCTAGCGGCCTTGTCATGGTCAGCGATACTAAGCATCCGACAGTGGCGCCAGTCACCGACCAGTCACCGAGCCAGCCATCGGCCCAGTCACATGCGGCGTCCCAAGTCATCGCCTGCGCTGATCTATTCTTGCGCCTTGCACAAAATGTACAGAGGATTCAGTACATCCGGCCACATCCGCAACACGCGCGAAACCGAATCTCTCACACGGACCTGTTCGACTCGGGCTCTTTCAACACTTCATCTTCCCCTTTCCTCTGTTGCTCTGTTATAACCCTCGTCCTCCTCTCGACCTTGCTATCTTATCTCCTCTCGTTGCCTCAATCGAATCAGATTCAACCACAGCAATCATGTACATCACGCCTGCGCTGGTCGCCGCTTGTCTCACCCTGGAGGCATCCGCCTTTCTGGTGCCTCTCGAGGTTGCTACTGCTGCGAAGCAGGCAAAGTCGGAACTCGCCTCCCTCCTCGCTACCACTGGCCATACTGTCGACCTTGATTGCCCCGGATGTCCATACTTTGGCACTGAAGAGAGCGAGCTGCAAGACGATGTCGAGAACAAGATCGTAAGCACGTGCCTGTGTTGAAAGAGTAAGACCACCATGCTGACGACCACGTCTTGACAGCACCTCGAATTCGACGTCGACTCCGAGCTGGGCCTGACCATCAACGACCTCCCCATCTTCTCCTCCGACCCCAACACCGCTTCCATTCCCTTCATCGTCTCGGCGCCTCAGATAAGAGTAGAAGACGGTCAACAAACAGAGCCTGTCCAGCTGGATTTTGCTTGGGAGAGCTTGACGCCCGTAACGGCCGTCGAAGAACCCGACAAATCTATCCTCCCCATTCGGTTTACGATCCTCGGCCTGCAAGGTTACCCTGTAAAAGTCGACACCATCGCCATTGACCTTCTTCGGACCCCCGACCAAACTTCGATTGCTCGTATAACCACGATCCCTTTCGAGGATACACCCGGGGCCACAACTTGCGACACAACTTCGAAATGGTCTCTCTGCCGTCTACGGGCCATCATCGCCGCCCGTCTCCAAGCAATTATGGAAGCGGCCACCGCACGTGCCTCTGCAGCGACCAAGGGCTGGGTGAACAGTGGCAGCAAGGGCTGTCATGGTCGCAAGGGGCCAAAATCGTTCGGCCCGATGGGTGGTGAAGGTCATCATCACGGTCATCACAAAGGTGGTCATCACAAGGGCGATCATCATCACGGCAACAACCACCACCACCACCATCATCAGCATCATCACCGCTTCCACCGCTTTGGTCACATGTTGCACCAGACGCTACGCTTCTTCGTCATCCCTGCCCTGCTGGGGGTCATTGGTGGTCTCATGGCCAGTGCCATCGGTATGCTTGTCGGCCAAATGATTTCCTACCTGTGGATCAGATTCCACCGCCACAGCCAACGCGGTACCGCCAGCCGTGATATCCGCGTTGTTGAGATTGTGATTGACGAGGAAGAAAAGGATGCCTTGATGGCGGGTGAACAGATTCAAAGTGAGCTCCCTCCTCCGCCGGACTATAGGGACGTCGAAGCTGGGGCGCGGGAAGAAAAACAGTAAATGCAAGCAGCAACAACAAGCCCCACGAGCAAAACCGCACGTCATTACCAAAGTTGGGGACGGTTTTGGAAAGGCCAACAACAACAAGACGAAAAACGTCAAAAGTCACATATATACATTTTACGAGATACCCCAGAGCATTGCAGGTGTTATTGTTGGAGCGTAAAGAGGAGGATCACTGCGCAGTCTAGCAGCGAAACTATCCCTGCTCTATACGGAGGATTTGTCCGGTGTCGGTCCTCGAGGAAGTTCTCCCCCGTGTATATGACGAGATTCGAATTCAAGATAGCCCCCTTACCACGCACTACCCGTGGTCTCAGACAGATGACGGGGGCATATAATTTTTTTTTTGCCTAATATGACTATGTCGGGGGTGTTGTTTTTGGCTTGAGTGCGTGGCGTTCACACAGGATAGGGAAGCTGATCATCGGATCAAATAGGATAGGCAAGACAGGATGCGATGGGATGGGATAGGAGAGAGTAGTGTATTATTATACATACTATACTATGAAACTTCTCATTAATGAGCTAACTACGTGTACCTGTCTATGTACTTGAATCTGCGAAATGTTCAGCAGGCTATCGTCGTCGTCCGGCCTCTCAACTTCTGTCTGGTTCTCGGGAGCTTCCCGATTTAATCGCTATCTGTACTGCGTACCTCTATTTGTCTACCTTTCCGCTTCTATTTATCTTTGTAACCGTATGTGTATGCACATATGTTTATATCTAGGTGTGTACGCATGTCTCATGTCGCCGTTATGACTGGGGAACCAACTCGCCAGCCGGCGAGGTAGCCTGATAGTTAGTGTATCGTCCTGACCCTGCCCTGCCCTGCCTATAGAAATCACGCTCTTCTAGAACTTCTGCTCCCCGGGCCCAATCCGGTCCGGAATTTCGTTTCAGGAGGGCGTGGAAATCTCGAGTTCTCCATGGTGTCTTGCCTGTCTGCCTTGATAGTTGGAGGATGAATTTAGTCCATGTTTCTTCTCCCCTTCGATTCTCATCTCCTGGGCCAAATGGAGCCGTGGCAAGCTTCAGTATGCTCCGACACCCCGTGTTCCCCCCAGCAACAGTTGTATAACACTGTACTGCCAGATATCCAATTGTTGCTGGATTTCAGGCAACAGGCCCCAATATGTCGGACCGGTGTATAGTCGTTGCAGCTGCAAGTTTCGCTGCCGAGTTTGTTTGGCGCGCTCGCCGGTCTCGGATGCTGTAGCGTCGATGCTCCTTCGCAGAGGCGAAAGTCGTGATGAAGACGACGATGTGGCATAAGGCTTGCCACATAGGTCGCTTGATGTGTCTGGGCAGGAACAAGTCCAATATCTGTCGTCGTCCAGCTCTCGAGAAGCTGGTTTGGGGAACGGGAGCGGAACTGGGGTCGGTCCCGCGGCGCTGAGGATGGTGCTGCTTCGTTCAGAATTTGATGTTCGAATCTGACGTCTGAAAGATCGGGTCGGAGGGAAAGGGGATGGCGAGTCCGTAAAAATAGTCACAGTCTCTGTCTTCATTTCTATTCGAGTCTCAGTTTCCGTCTCCGTGTGTATGTGAATCTGAGTCGGCATCAATTCAGTTACAGTTTCCGTCTCGGTAGACTCCAGTATCAAGGGTTCGGTAGGCCAGGCTGGCATTTTCACAGTCTTCATGTTTGCCGCCACTTCGGTCCGTGGTTGGTAAGCCTTGTGGGCGGAATCCTCGGAGATAACTGGACAAGGTTGACATATGAATAGTGGTTGAGGTGAGGCTGGGATGCCCGACGTCATATTACGGAAGAAGGATGGCGCTGTGGATGGTGAAATGCTTGTATATATTGCCAGCAGCGTCAGAGCCAAAAGAGCAATGCTTTTTGTGATTGTGAAAGCCTTTGCGACGGTTGACACTTTGTCTGGGGTTATACGACATCGACTCCCATCAGAGATTGAGGATTTGCTGATAGAGGCTGCAAATGAAGACTGCGCTATCGGTGATTTGCTTGAATTTATGGGTTCAGCTCTTGATCCTCCAGGTTCGGTGCCTTTCATGATCCCATATTTCTCCAGAGTCGCGGATATGGAAAATCCAGACCAAACGAATTCTAGAGAGTTCAAAAATCCAGATCCGCCAGTCCATCCAAACATCTCTCGGTCTAGCGGTCTCCCAGAACCTGCATCGAAACTGCTGATGATTGCGCCCGAGGGTCCATCCTCTGGGGCCTGAATCACCCCGATGGCGGTTTGAGTGGGCTCGCACTCGAAGACGGCGCGATTTCTGGAAGCATCCCATCTAATGCACATCGGAGCCGTTCTTCGCAACGCCTCACGGAATTCTGCATCCTCTTTCCGTGTAGTCGGCATGGACAGCGCACGGCGTCGCAGAGCCTTTTCCGCTCTTGCTTCATCCTCCATGGGGACGGCCACTTGTCGGCCATTGTTTGCCTGCGCAGGTTCGTGGTGATGAGGCCCATCAGGAACCAATGAGTTTCGCAACGCTGATGGCCTTGCGGGTCTGCTTTTCCTAGAAGAAGGATCAGATTGCCGCCGAAGTAAAGAACCCACCCGGTGACGACCAGACCAACTTGGTGTTGGCCGGAATATAAGTGAATCATTTTCTAGGAATGAAACCCTTTTACTTGATGGCGGCCGTTTTTCTGCGACGGTCTCAGACTCCATGGATGGGGACTGTAAAGTCGTGGAGCCACTTGCAGCTCGGGGGAAAACAGGGGAGCTTGGCGACTCATTGAGGAAAGTCCGCGATCTCCAGAATGCCTTTTCGGAAACCTGCGACTGGCTGGTCACACTCTGGGGCCGGGAGGACCAAAAGTCCCCAAGAGTCTCCTGCTGTTTGGACGATGTTCGACCAAAATCGCTGGTTGTTGAAGGTCGTCGCCTGTCAGGATTGAATAGGTATGTGTCATGGAGGCGAAATTGTTCCATATCTCTCTGGGCTTGTTGTCTGTGTGCCTCCTGTATCCATACAAGCGATCGCTTGATTTGCTCGGACAGCTTCTTGCGCTCTTCTTCGCTTTTTCTTTGCGCTTCTTCAGACTGCTGTTTGGACTCACGAAGCTCTTGCGCTTCGCACAATAGGGAGCTCACCTCTGCTTTCTTTTGCTCGAGCTCACCATAGAGATCCCCTAACTGCCACTCGGCTTTGTCTCGCCTCTGCTTTTCATCCTCCAGCAACCGGAGCTTTGAATTCTCTCTCTCCAGGTCACGAATGTGTGCTTGTGATTCAGCCAGCTCTTTATCGACTTTTTCCTTTGATCTTCCTATCTCCACAACTTCGTGTCGGCGACATTCGGCAAGACGCTCGGCTGCAACCTGCTTCTCTTGGCAGAACTCGATCTCTTTTTGTTGATTTTCGCAAAGTCCGTCAAGCGCCCTGATCCCTTTATCAAGTGCAGTGTTGTTAATGCGAAGCTTTTCGTTCTCCAGTAAGATTTTCTCATAGTAGTCCTTTGCGTGTCCCACCTCTCTATCCTGTTTGTTATTTAGGTCGTAATATCGAGTCAGCCCGCTCTCGTCAAAGGGAACCGCGTTGTTTTCAATGTCGGTAGTTGCTGGCGTATATTGCGACTCGGCACTCGTCTTTCCTCCTAACTGAGCCTGTCGGGCGACGCTGTGTACGCTAGAGGCAAGGGCGTCCAAATTAGCTTGATGATTTAGATCCGCATAGTCGGCTCCTCGGTCACTCCATCCAGAAGCGTTGCTTGTGGGACTGGAGAGTGTCGACCGTCGACTTGCTGCTGATGTTGGTCTTCGCGCTTTGGGCGACGTAATGGTATCGAGACCTACATCTGAGAAAGGATGGAAACTTTGGGTTCCGTCTGGATTGGTCGGCCTCGCGATGTCATCCTTTCGATCAGCTCCAGAGAGGTCATGAGGCGGATCCATCGCCGAGTGATCAAAGTTCGTCTAACCTTTCCGAGTATATGGTGAGTCAATAGTCATCTCCCATCTCAATGAGTCGTGATTATCTCGATGGCGAGCCGAATTCTTAGACCCCTATTATCATCGGTCCTCGGGTTATGAGGAGCAAGTTGGATGGTCCGTTGTTGTCATAAAGGGAGCTTAGAGCCGAAGAACAAAGAAAGCCGAATGCCGGATCAGGCGCAGAAAGAACAATGTGAAGTCAAAAATAAGTCGAGAGCGACAAGCGAGATAAAGAAGGATTATCCGCTTTCAGAAGTCAGTCAGGGATGAGCAAAGTGCGAATTTGGACAAAAAAACTTCAGAAGCGCACTTGGACCGGCCCACATTCCAACGAGAGCCATCACAACCAATTGAGAAAATCAAGTGAGAGCCACCCTGGCCCCAAAGCGACGCAGTTGACGGTTTGAATAGTCGACCAAGAACCCGCCTTCTCGAAGCGAGACGCAAATCTGATAGCCTCGAGACCCCGAAACCACCAGATTTGACGACCAAGAGCTTGCCAGTTAAGCAGTCCGGTCTCCAGCCATATCTTCAGCCGCAGTGCATGAGAGATGCCTGTTCGAAGACCGTCGCTTTTCTAGGAACGGTCGATTCTCAACTGGGTCAATGTCACCTCATTCCTCCCTATCTTTCCTAGATTTGGTGGTGAGATTTCCCCTTGGTCGTGGCAAATGTGTATTGCCCTATCCATATATTCTTTTGCAATCCCATCAAGTCTCGCGGTGAGGTCCAGCAGTAACAAGTAAGCTTAATCGCCGTATCTACGCTCGATGAGAATATTTCGCGCCGGCATGTCTCCAAATTTCAAGCCGCTTTCTCGGCCGTAGGGTGTTGTGTTATGCCGTCTCGGAGAACGTCAACTGGGAGTGATGCCCCTTCTCTGTAATTCTTGCTGTCTACTTGGATAATTTCCTGTTTTCCGTTGCCGTCGACAACCAAAGCCGTAAGTCTACCTCCGTTGACGCAGCCGCTGTCGAGGCCTTTGGTGTATTTGTGAATTTGCAAGCCTGCTTTAGCGTCGTGACCGTATATAACAGTCATATGGGTTTCATGTTCTCGGCCTCTGGTGCCTTTCGATCCTCCGAATCGCTGCCGCACGGGAAGGAGCTGTTGGTATTTGTTCCACAACCTGTACCAAGCAACACTTCCTTTTTGCTTGTGCTTCTTGGATGGTGTGTGTGTGGCAAGGTCAATAATCCTCATATTCATGGCCGAACTAGGATCCTGGGATTCCAAAGCCAGACCTGGAACGAGTCCACCGTGGACTACGACGGCATCACCATTGAAAGCTTTCACTGCGCCTAGACGAAGAATCACAGGACATGATTGTAAGTATTCAAGTTGCTCGGCATTCAGCGACATTGCCAATTTCTGTACAGGATCCCGCGCTTTGGCAAACTCGTCAGTTGGGTCCAGTCCTACTTTGTGATCCATGGAGGTCTCGAACGCTCTTGGCCGAAGTTGTTGCGCGACCAAGAGAAGGCGGTCGTCATGGTTTCCGCGGACACACGAAGCGTTGTAACGGCGTAAGAGATCAATTACCCCAAGCGAATCCGGTCCTTTGGAGACAATATCTCCAACAGAGATCAGATGGTCTGTTGAAGGATGAAAATGTACTTTCTTCAGCAAGGCTTCCAACTCCTTCCTGCAACCATGGATATCGCCAACAAACACCAATCTCTTCTTGCTGGAAAGAGGGCCGACATGGTTTGTGACAGGCTGTGGAATCAACGTAGGATCCAGTGTCTTCATGAACACAATGCCGGGAAATTTGGGATGACTGTCACCGCCGTTCACGCCTGCAGCTGCGGAGCTTGACTTGAGTGCAGACCATGCAGATCTCCCTTCTTCGATGATAGGGACTATGACCTTAATCCACAGAATGATCGAACAGGTTGTGAGGAAAGCGACCACAATCACTAGTCTTCTAAATTTCGGGGCTCTGAAGAGAGTATCCGATTTGCTAGCAAAAGCCTCGAGACCTCGTAGGAAGCCATTGTCGATCAGAGATGACGGTCTTGACGAGTCAGAGCCGATATTTTGCGACCCCAAGATAGACCTCGAGCGTGATATAGGAAGCTTTGCATTGGCCATTTGTATTGTCTCCAGCTCACAAGGTCCGTCTCTTTCCCAAGCCACAACAAGGTCTTCTCGACATCGGCATCGCAGGATTTCGCTTGACAGGGCAAGATCGTGGTGCTAGCAACGGATCGTGGTTCACGCAGTCGATTTTGCAGGGTATTGGAGATGGGGTTCAAGAGTCTTCTATCGCCTACCTCTTGCGGTGAAGGAAAAATGTGCCAACAGTACTACTGTGGATCTAAGGATGTACCTACTGAGCTAATACCATAAGAAAACCAATCCTCCTGTTCCTATCGTGACGTAACTAGCTACTCGCCGCTTTACTGCGCCTCGGCTCAACTCCCATGTACAGGGTACTAGGTACTGCTTCCTGAGCAACCCCTGAACGCTCCAGAGTCTGCCTGAGAAGGCTGAGCAACTTGGGACTTCCGCCTTGCCGCTTCCATTAATTTTAGGCGACGGGATCCCGGGAATGCCGCCGTCCCCCTTTTTAATGCACTTAAGCTTCTTAACCGAGTACATCCCATCAGCAAGGCTGCCCCGGTCATGATTACCTGGATTCAGACAACCTCAGGGCAAAGTGTAACCGCCGTCAATGGTGAAGTCTGCCCCGGTAACGAATGAGCTTGCGTCGCTTGCCAGGTAGAGATAGATCGCTTTCAATTCTTTAACGTCGCCTATTCTCTATCAGGAACAATACATGAAGGTAGCTAAGGGGTCATCTCTTACCTTGGCGGCCCATCACAGCCATGCGGAGGGCTTCGTTGATGCCCGCTTGATCGGAACTCATATCTGTGTCGATCCAGCCAGGGGAAACAATATTTACTCGACAGAATTCGCGCCACTCGCGGGCCAGACTCTTGCCGAGATGCGTGACCGCTGCTTTCGTTGTGTTATAGGTAGTGTGGTCGACCGGGACCGTGACAACCCACCCACTAATGCTGCTCGTGATAATGAGGTTGCCGTAGCCTTGCTTCTTGAACACAACGCCAACATATTTTGCGCAATAGAATACTCCATGCACATTGACGTTCATCTGGGCATGGTATTCTTCCAAGGTCTGCTCCAGAACGGATCCCGGGAGGCAGATACCAGCGTTTGCGACGAAAACATCGATTCTGCCAAATTGGGTATAGATATCAGATATCAGGCTCTCGACCTTTTTGGCATCGCCAACGTCGCATCGCCGAGTCACGACTTTGACTCCACACGACTCAGCTAATTCCGCAGCCTTCTGATCCATGACAGGGTTTTCGGAAGAAAATACCATGATGATATGTGCACCGGCTTCTGCGAGGCCCTCTGCAACCGCGTATCCAATCCCCCGGCTTGCCCCTGTGATGACACAGACCTTGCCCTTCATATTGAATTGATCCATGACATTACTTGGAATCTTAGGTACTGGTTGACCAGGCCGAGTGGCCATGCATTCTTCGATTGTCATCGACATGTTGAAAGAACTTGAGGGTCGACTGAACTTTCCCTTGTCGTGGGCACAAAGCAAAAGTATGAGAGACGAGGAAGATTTTGGGTCTTAGGGACAAGGTGGTTAGCAGATTTTCATGAGGAAGTCTAGCAAGTTGCGATATGCCCTCAGCATGACACATGCAGTAGCGTCAAACCATTGAACTATTTGAATCACTGGTTTTGACTTCGTCGAAGGTCTTTTCGAAAACGCTACATATATTACGGGTCTAGTCCGGAAAGGGCCAACATGGTGAACGTGAACTGATTGACTAGCGCGAACAACTCGGTAACTCGGAGATAGATCCTCGATTCTTCTTCTCAGACATTCTTTCTCCTGGCACACTCGCAAACAACAGAGCAGAATTTTTCTTCCTTGCCAACAGCAGCATGCAGCTGTTGATTGCGCTCCGCGGGCCAAATTTTGCGGCTTGTTGCGGCCTCCAACTTCACGTGGTCGTTCAGCTGCTGTCGCACCAATTTTTTGAAAGAAAGCACGCCTCCTTCCCGTGTGGTGTGCAACGGCCCGTGAACATAGACTCCAGAATCGAGGCTTCTCTGGACCCCGTTTACCAGGTCGTAGTCCTCCAGCTCGATTCCTTCGAAGAAGTCGGCAGAACGTTGAAAGGTGTCCTGCGTCGAGGCAGGACTCCGGAACGTTTGATACTCAGTGATGACCGTGTTGTGACCAGCCAGGATGACGCGCATGATAAAAAAGTACAGGGTAGACAAGTTGACCGAAAAGTTGGGGTAGTTGTAAGTGAAGGCGCCGTTGCTGAAGTACTCAAAGTCTTCAGGCTTGATATCATCTCTGTTCGTAGGGAAATGCTCCAGACGCCCCGAATGGGGCTCTACCGAGTACCTGTCTAGGTTGGTTGTTTTGGTGATCCCCGGATGGCTTGCTTTGCAATGGTAACACCAAAGAAACCCAAGTCAGTAGCTGCGTCGCAGACAGGGGAGAGAGAGTTGCCTTACTTCGTTGTAGTTGTCACCGACCAATTTCCAGTTGTATTTCCCATTCGTAATCCATGTCCGGTGGTACACATAGGAGTTAAGAGGGAAGGCATTTAGCCGTGGTTGCTCATCCATTCCGGCGTTCATTTCATCCCATGGAATAGGGTTGTTGGAGGCATTGAGGTTGATTCACACAAATCCAACCTTGTCGATATGAGTATGGATTTCGAACAAACTGTAGTCTTCTCGGTTGAAGTCTTGCAGCTCCTCAAACTTGGGAGCCTTGGTCAATTTGCTGTTTAGACTGTAAGATCAGTCTGAGGGGCAGGTTAGCGGCGGCGGCGGAGAAGCCAATCGTGCAATACAAACCATGATATCCGCAGCTCAGAATTGACTTTTTACCTTGGTTGGCATCGTCTTTGGTAATGAGGGGGTATACTCGAATGCGGCAAATATTGTGGAAGGCTTTGATTTGCCCTTCCTTGGTTTTAAGCAAGATGAAATCGAAGCCGGCCATCTCGAACCGTACATAGTTGCCGGGGTTGCGGCAGACGGAGGCGGTGAGTAGTGAGCAATCATTGCTTTGAGAATATTGCACGGCGTTCGAACTCACAAAACTGAGGCTGAGTTTACCATGAAGCTGGTAAGTTGCCCTCCAGGATCGGTTTGGTCATCTTGATACCATCCGTGAAATCGGTCGCATTGGGGTCAGCGATGCCATCATGCGGCGCCTCCAGCATGGTGAAAATTGTTCGTAGAGCAGGTGCGATGACAGTTTATTCACATGCAGGAGAGAACTTAAGATGAACCTGTTCTGTCAGGAGCCTTGAAGAAGCTGTCTTTTGAGAGCAGATATACCATACTCTTCAGTTCGCCACGCTCGGCTTTGTTTACCAAATCAAGAAAAGTATCGCGCAATAGACTTTATTCGACGAATCTCGCTACGCCGTGCGCTTCTTTAGTGATCGCGTTGGGCATTTTCCAATTTTATATGCACACCTTATCTTCGCCCTCGCGTTGTCGGCGAACCGTAATCTTTGCATTGGATGTCTCTGAGGAGGATCGGCATATCCAACTCACCAGAATTCCTCCTAAGTTGCGGAGGGGTTCCATCCTTCATGATTCGTGAATTAAAGAGATCAAAGGTGTCATGTCCCGAGTCCAAGAAACCTGTCTGGAAATTTCTGGATCAGCCTATAATCGTGACCAGACCCATAGAGTGCAAAACATCCATCCAAAACACATTGACTCCAATGTCCAGACGCTTGAAAATCTCCAAGACCATTAGCTTCACACAATGCATCGGTTCGGAAAGGTAGGCGATGGAAAGATAGGAGAGTCGGTCGAGGACGAATCTACGCATCCGGAGAATCTCTTCCTCTTCACCGCCCTCCAGTTCAGGAGTAGTCGGTAAGCATGCCGACCCTACAAGAAGCAAGAGTGGCTGAACCCAAGACGTCCCGGAGCTGACTCTGATCTCTTCCAGTCGCGTAAGAATGCTCCGTCCAATAAACATAAGCCGTTTTTCTGTGTTTCTATTGGAACACGACAGAGCCGAGCATAGCCCTGCTTGACTCTCTGCCCAAGAGAAATCGCTCGTCCCCTCAGCTTCGGATATTTCTATAATCTCTTTTGCTCTCCTTCGGCATAGGTTAGGGGATGTATAGTAAAGTTGGTTCAGGTTTGCAAACATGTACGTTTCTGCGGGTAGGAGGTGGTGGATTGCTGGAGTATTCTCGTCTCCTGTATTAGCTATTTCATGCAGGCTTGGAAGTTCCAAGCTCCAGAGCTCTTCTTCCAACATGTGGACCGACAGCAGAAAATCCCTGGGGCGATTCGGAAAGGACCCTGACCGGCGAGTCGTCAGCTGCCCCTGTTCGAATATTCGGACTTCCTGGATTAGACGCACGACTCGGGTAAACATGGTTTGAGGCACTGAGGCAACGCCAGTCCATGGATGGGATCTTATCTGCGCCACACTTCCAAGCGTCAGGCATTTGCACGTAGCAACTCCAGATGGTTGAGGTTCGTATTGAACCGAATAGTCGTTCAGGGTGACATTCTCATTCAAGACACACGTAATCATTTTCCAGTATATCAGTGCTTCATTGAAGAAGTCCGGTGGTTGGGATCCATCTGGGGACTCCACTGCGCAGTTGAGAATGACATTTTGCACAGCTTGGAGATGAGCGATACCCAAATCTTTGACATTATGCCACGAGGTGCTAAGTTCGAGCATGAAGACGACGAACAAAACTCGGTGGTCCAACTGGATGCCTCTGAAACACAGGTACGGAGGCTTCGGAGCGCGAGTGACTGATATTCGAGAGCATCACGCTTGAAGGCCAAGTTTTAACGGCTCAGTTTGGCCGCAGCCATACTCAGCATGGCATAGAAGATGGAGCCCGAATCTTGCCACTTTCTCATGGCAAATGGCCGAAACGTATTTGCTGCGAATCGAACGTCGAGAAAAGAGGACAGACAACGGTGAAGTATGCCTCAACAAGCATGCTAGAAATGTCCTCTACTCGAGCCGGCAACTGACTGTGATGGTTCATTTGGAGAACTTCTGGTGCACCCAGATAAGCGGAACATTCTAAAGATAGAAGCTCTGCCTCTTGGGCATCGAGATTCGCGGCCCGACATGACCCTGGAGAGAAGGAAAGTTCAAGCTGAGCAGGAGAGAAGAGATCATCCATGAACATAAACTGCAGGTTTCCTTGCTGCGACTGGCGCAACAACTCTGACAGCTCCTGACCGCGCTCCATGTCCGCGGTGGATATTGATCTTATCTCGGGGTCTGGATTTTGGTTACTGTTAAAGATAATTCCATCGTCAAGGGCAAAAATGCTGTACCAGATTTCATGTCGCGTTGCGCCAGCATCACCCTGAATGGGGAACGGAGGGCTCAAGACACGGAATGAGTATGCGTATCCCACCTACTCATACGCGGCCTTTGGCGTAACCGGGATTGGTATATCGGATCCTTGAGCGTTGGGCCTCGCCATCGTATCTGAACTGACCTTGGCGGCTGTCGAAATTGCTGCGTCCGCTTGATAGACAGTAGTTGTCGACGTTCGTACGTCCGGCGATGACATTTTGTCGTCTCTTCTTGAGGATGGATCCATTTCGTACAGTTCATGCTGCTTAGCCCAGCGCAATGTGTGTCCCGTCGGGAATCCAGGACACAAAATTCCCTTATCGCTGCAGCATAAGCAAGTTGGCTTGGTCTCGTCACATTTGATCTAAGCATCATGAGCACATCCTCAAATCTACCTAGAAAAGCACCAACATCAAATTACCTTTCGAGATTTACATCTGGCACAGCCAGTGAATGATTTCTACACATTTCTTCGCCGTGGTTTAGGCGCCAGCGCGCTTGACCCTGGTTCGAAATTCAGAGGGGTCTTAGACGGCGTGCGTCTTTGTTGCGGTTTGGAGGATATCCTAGGGACCGATGACTCCATCGTTCATGGGGACGGATGTTGCCAAACCGGCCTCAGTAGTAGCGAAAGGAATTATTCGAGAATAGAGAGACTTTCTAATCAGCCGTGAAGTGATCAGTCTGAATTTCTGGTAAGCATTTCCAAGGATGAGGAGCTAAGTTGGAGGACCAAAGCAGTTCATTGGATATCAACGGATATATTCAGGCCCCAACGACCCTCCGAAATTCGCCCAAATCAAGAGTCCAGACGGATTTTGAGTTGGACAGACCTACCTATGTAAGCATTTGGCCCTTATCAAATGCCAGCGGGGAATCAGTACGATAAATTGGCCAAGTTGCTGTTGGGAGAGATTCGGCTCTCTCTGCCACACTCGTGGGACAATGTGCAGAGGGATGCTCGATAAGGGAACGAGTGGTCGACTGAGACGGCGTCCTTCAAGCGGTGAAAGGTGCTAGAACGATCAACGATTTCGTTTGGGCGAATTTGGTACAGATGTTCTTTCGGCGGTGATATCGCTGTCAACGGGAAGATCAGCGATTGCGAAACTAAAATGGAGCCATACTTGCATTGGCAGCACGTCGGACATTGAGAAAGGGCATCATCGACGAACGCCCTGTCGCCTTGGGGCGTCTGGTCTGTTTTCGAGGTTGCTGTTACCTAGCCTCATTGTTTTGTTCTTCAATAGTGCCGAGCCGACCAGCTGAAGAGAGCATCGACAACGGAATCGGCGATCAGTTAGAGGTAGGCTGCGGTTCGCCAAACATGACTTATTCTTTTTGACTGGAAGATGGACCAGCTTCACCGCCCGAAGACAAGTTGGCTGGACGTATCAGTCAATTTTCACATTATTACCGAGTAGCGAGAAGCCACTACCAACCTCTGGGGTGGCTCCCCGTGATTGACAGCCCATTAGCTAAAATTTGCTGTGACATCTGTCATTGCTTTTCGTAAATGGCTTTCGCGGCATGGCAGGCGGATATCCTGATCCGCCCCAGCACAAAAAAAAGGCAGGGAAGAATCGCGAAGTTGTTCCCGAAGATGGCGTCGATGGTGTCGCCGCGCTAAGTCAGAAGTACTTTGTACTGGGTAGTGATCTGGTCAACAGCACCTTCCTAACGCGACCGACGCTCTGGACCAACCCGCATTCAGTTGTCACGACAGGACTGGGTATGGCAGCCTTATCGTCACCCTTTTACGAGGGACTCAGTGCTTCGTACCCAGTACGTGATGCGATGGCCTGTGGATCCAAGAGCCATGCCGGGGCCAGCGCCTGGGGAAATGGAACGGGCAGCCGAAGTTCGACAGAACACGAGGTAATTTCCGATGGACTGTGTTTTGGGGGAAATTTGGCCCACAATGATGGAAAGATGAAAATTCCCGATCGACGGGCAGCGAAAACTCTGTTACAGGTCTTTTCTGTAGCTGTCTGCCAGCCATGTGCACCATCCCGAGTACTGTAAGTACGTTTGGGCTCACCGGACCCCGTCCTTGTTGCATCCTCGTCGAACTGTTAAGAACACGAACACCGCACAGTCTGAAACATGCAGCACTCGCCACAAACAAATGCTGCGGGCAGTGGCCGGGTGCAACTCGGTTGTCTCACTGGGGCTGCGAAGCCCGTCGAATCAGTCACCGCGGTCGGATCGGCCCACGAGCTGCAGTCTGCATCAGCCCAAGAGCCCAAGAAACGAAAAAGTCCGATTGGGAAAGACTAGCATCAATTTCAGCTCCGTTGCAGCGGAGCCCAGGGCCCCCTTGCAAGGCTCCGTCCAGTGTCCACACGGGAAAAACTCGCTTCACGCAGTCCGAAACACCTGAGCCTTGGATCAACCAAAGATGGGCAAGACGGGCCTTGCAAATGAGGAAATCCTGGGGAGATTTGACCCGTGGATTGGTGCTTGGGGGTGGAAACTGGGAAGGCGATTGTGTGCGCTCCCGCGTCCAGCCCTTTATAAACTATTTACTCCCTGTCGCGCCCACTTTCTGATCGTGTTCGCGAGTCCACCAGTTGTTTGTATACATCCATATACTCTTGTGCTGGCACTTTGCGCCGCGACATTCGTTTCTACGCTCGTTCTCGATTGATTCACAGTCACATTCGCTTCCACTTCTCTTCAACCCGCGCTTTACGCCGCCGACTTCAGCCTCACTTTCTATATCCCCTTGCGACAAATCCCCGTGGTACTTTTCCCGCGAGAGAGTTCCCTATCAAGATGCGCTTCTTCACTGCCTTCACCACTTTCGGGCTAATCGCCTTCGTTGCCGCTCAAAATGCAACGACTACTGCTTCCGCTGAGACGACCGAATCCCACGTGGCATCGTCGACTGGCTCTTCCTCTGCCGCGGCTACCGCATCCCTCAGCCCGCAAGTGAAGTGTCTGCAGTCCTGTAAGTCAGGCTTTGAAGGAACAGAGTACGGATGGATGCTGAGATAGTGCGTTAATTAGGCGGCTCCGCGGACGTGTGCTGCCAGGCCAAATGCGTTGGTGTTCCGTGCCCGTCTCAACTCCAGGCGAATGCGACAACGGAATGCGCCGCGCAATGCCCGCAAGGTAATGGCACGGCCGGCGAGACTCAACAGTACGCCTCCTGCCAGGCGTCGTGCATCAGCTCTTACTTCTTGACTGCCTCCTCCACTGCTGTTCCCACCGCCAGCCAGACCGACAGCAGCACCTCGGCCACAGCCACTTTTGGGCAGACCAACGCTGCTACAACAGACGGTTCCGCATCGGCGACAGGTACGGGTTCCATATGACCGCAAGATCTGCTGAGTTACTGACGACCTTTGCAGAAGGCAGCTCCGCGACTGGCGCATCAGCTTCAGCCTCGCCCACCGGTGAATCTGGCAATGGCGCCGACAACCTTCACGTCGGCAGCATTGGACTCGGATTTCTGGCCCTCGTCATGGTCGGACTGGCTCTGTAGAACCCCCGGTCATTTGGAAACTGAGGGATTCTTATTTCACTTCTGGAAAATGCTTGCATCACTTTTGGTTTATTTCAAGGGCCGCCTTCACCTTTCTGAACGACGTTCTGACACGATAATTCTCGGGACAGTTTCATATTTTCATGGTAGTAGTACGTAGCTGATGTAGTCGTCCCCTTTGTTGGGCAGGAAGGATCTTCTGAGAAACATGACTTCATTGCCGATCATCCACATAACCTCTTCTCAGTGTCTAACTATAACCACCAACACTGAACGCCCAGTGTTTTGGCTGCAGAGAAAGTATCTTTCTCTCACCCCCGTGGTTGTGCCGAGGGGTACTTGTCCCACTGACTTTACATCTTCTCTGGTATCTCCCAGCGATGGTCCTCGTCTCGGACGGTAAGGTGCCGCAAGTGACGGTGTCGCTACTCCACGGATGATACAGCCGCAGCATCTATGAAGGCATTTCGCATCTCTTATGCCACTGGAAGAGCATGGTGGGAGACGCGATTCAATGCTGGCTCCGTCATGATGAGTGACTCAAGTCGCCCATCGCGAGAGCGCAGCTGCATCTAGAAGTTTTGCTGCAGTGCCTCTTTGCGTGAGAGAGCAGCAGCAAACGCCAACGAGCATAAATCAAACTTTTAAGGTCTTACGACGGAGACATGACACGAAGGAATCTTTGCAGCAGCACCGGATTGCACCAGTTTAAGACCAGATTAAGCTCTCAAGCTCTCATCCTCAATCCGAAGACGGCCTGAACCGAAAGCAATACAGAGACTCTGGCGCTTCGGATACCCTCACCATTGAGCATGTTGACGTCCTTCGACGTTCTCTTTCAATTCAGACAGAGGCAGAGCGTCGCGGCCAACTGGATTGAGACATCTCAGTCAACATACACCAACAGCTATGGGATCTCCAATCCAATGATCCTTCGCAGCTGCGGTTCCTTATCGACCACAAGGAGGAGCTGGCTAGATGAGCGTTGTCGATACTCCAATTGACCAGCAAGCACTCTAACGGACTGTATCAGGTGTCGACGCACGTATGGCCGCCTAGCGCTGAGTAATTTGCGATAGAGCGTTGCTCCTTTTCATCTATATTGAACAGAGTTCTTGAACTGGTGACCAAATACGGAACTCTATGCTTGATCGGGAGATAATTCGAGCCATCTGATGAAGTCTACCCAAGCGGTAACGCACACCATGGGCTCCTTCTCGGGCATTAATTGTGGCCCCGGCTGTGGCGCTGATAGGCCAAATCAGGCCGTTTCAGCTGAAGAGTTATTTCTCCCAATGAAAGGTAACTTTTTGACGCCTTTGCATACGCCATCTCGTGAGGCTCTTCTGCGATAGGCTTCCATACTCTAAACAGTGCAAAGGCTTGCCCCAAAGCTAGGTCTTCACGATCACCTAATCTGATGCGATTTTCAGCTAAAATTTTCGCTCAGGTGTCTAATGTTTCGCTGAAGAGAATATCAAGTAGATTACTCCTATATGTGATCCCCTAGAGCAGAGGTTTGGATGCCAAGGGCCACTGGGTGGGCTGTGAGAGTCCGAGCTACTCTTCCTTAATGCTGACACAGCACTACAGGTTCAGAGTAAACAAGCCACGATCGGCGCAAAAATGCCACTGAAGAAATTGAGAACCGTCAAAGACAGCCCGTTGCCCGAACACTATGATCCAAAATTCGAGTAACCTTTGTCGTATCTTTAGTATGTCTTTCTAATGTCTTATAGCGTATTAGCCATACCTGCAACTGACGAGGACCCTTATCCGACATGGGATACATAAAGGCCATTCGATCGGGATGAGAGCTCCCTCGCAGGCTTCCAGGGGGCAGACATATATCTCAGCGAATTCAAGTCCCATATATCCATCGAATAGAACCGGTGAACTATCTGTCTAGTCGAGCGGGCTTCTAGATATACTCAGCGACTCGAGCTTTGCTCGATCCGATCGCCCTCTCCAAATTGCTGGTTTCTGTACTGGCAGATTAGCCCTTGAACAAGCGATTGCCGACCAGTGGGCATACCCAGGGATAAGAAAAGATGCGTCGTCTCAAGGAATTTTGTATCGATCCGAAGAGAAGGACGTACGCGTCCAATCTATGCTCTACTAACCCTGCCATTGTACCAATCGTTACACATCTAAATTGTGTCCTTTAAATTTTTTTGTCAGAGAAGGAGAGTTGTGATGCGAACGCAGGGAGGCATTATGTTATAGAGACAGAAATAGTTGAACGGCGCAGGTAGAGCCAAACAACGCCACCTCATTATACTTCAACAACAACCTCACCAACGCGTTGTTTGAAAGCATCTGAGAAGACGGGAGCTAACAGACTGACTGAAATAGCCATGCTGACTGAATCAAAAACCCGAAATCCAACGCAGCATATGTTAGCGATTTATTATTAATGGAAGTTTGCACTCAGAAAGCATTGTCACTTAGGAAGCTGAGCTCTCACCGTCGAGGAAGGATCGTGTTCTTTGGTCCGCGATCATTATCACTTGGTGGCTGTGTAGTTAGAGCCTGGTCGATCGTTCTCGAGGCCTGGAAAGGTCGGCCTTCCTTACCACTACTCATAGACTTCAAATACAGTGCACTGTGGCATCGTTGTATTATGCAGTGACAAATGGTGTTGTCCGAGATAGGTGGCGAGCTAAAACAAACCGCTAAATGAAATTAGGCAGGTTAGGCGAGTGCTGTTCTAGAGAAATGCTATCACGTGTTGTCGCGTTGCAAACTTGGCGCGTCTTCCGCGTCATTCACTTTCTTCATCCACCATTTCGTCACAGCTCGATGATTCGCAAAGACATCAACCTTACAAGAATGGGCTGAGCTGAGAAAGACATGGATTTCCTAGATGATGAGGCTGAAGCCAGCTCAGATGTCCTTGTCCCGAGTTCTCAACCCGATTTGAACACGCGTGCTCGTAAGCGTCGCCGCCTTAACTCCGATCTCAGCTGCTCTTCACCCACACAAGACGACGAATACGATCTGCCGCCGAACGAAGATGAGAACGGAAAAGACATCAAAAAATCAAAGTATGAAGATCGCATACATGTTCCTCAGTATGGAGACCGTCCGCTGGATACCTTCGTCACCCAATTGACTCAACAGCACTCCAGTCCATCCAGAATTAGAGGGCCAAGATGGATGAAGCCTCGGAAGAGCCTCTCACCCTCATCTTCCATTCTGAAACGTCAACCTACTACCATAGACCATTCTTTTCAAACCGCTACGCCTAGCGATGAGTTCGAAGTGGTCGAGGATGACCTTGAGCTTTTGGAAGCCTTAGGTGATTATAGCAACCCGGCATTAATGCATAGAAACACATGCCTAGAAGTCATACAAGGCAAGCCCGATGGCAACTCTGCTCCTCGTCGTCCTCTGCAGAAATCCAGCTCGTTCCGCCAGACGACACTACATGGGATTCATACGACTCAGCAAGAACCTCCCACAACGCAATCCCAACCCAAGATACACAATTGGCCATTGGCAAGCCGAAGTGAGCCTCCAACCCATCATGAGCTAGATCGTGATGCCATGGCCACGTGGGTATACCCAACGAATCTTGGCCGAATTCGAGACTACCAGTATAACATTGTGCACAAGGGGCTTTTCCACAATATTTTGGTCGCGTTGCCCACGGGCTTGGGGAAGACATTCATCGCTGCTACTATCATGCTGAACTGGTTCCGATGGACGAAAAGTGCGCAGATTGTCTTTGTGGCGCCGACCAAACCACTTGTATCACAACAGGTTGACGCCTGCTTCAACATTGCCGGCATCCCACGATCTCAGACCACGATGCTGACAGGAGAGGTCTCACCAGCAATCAGAGCAGAGGAGTGGCTAGAGAAAAGGGTCTTCTTTATGACACCTCAGACCTTGATCAACGATCTGAAACATGGCTATTGTGATCCAAAGAAGATCGTTCTGATTGTGGTAGACGAAGCACACAAAGCAACTGGAAGTTACGCGTATGTGGAGGTGGTTAAATTCTTGAGGAGATTTAACTCGAGCTTTCGAGTTCTTGCTCTTACAGCAACCCCCGGAAAGGATGTGGAGAAAGTGCAAGAAGTGATCGACGGGCTTGGAATCGCTAGAGTCGAAATCAGGACGGAAGAATCTCTTGATATACGCGACTTCGTTCACAAGCGGAAGGTCGAAACCCAGACATTTGACAACTCTGATGAGATCACCATGGCATTAGAGATGCTGTCGGCAACACTACAGCCCCTCCTGAATAAGTTGCACTCCCAGGGTGCTTCTTGGGGAAAAGATCCACGAATGATTACCCTGTTTGGGTTGAAGAAAGCCTGGGAAAGATGGCTGTCATCCGAAGCTGGCAGAAGAGCGCAGCATTCTGTGAAAGGCATGGTGAAGGCGATATCTACTACATTAATGAGTCTGGCTCATAACATTGAGCTTCTGAAATATCATGGCATCGGGCCTTTCTACCACAAGATGAAAATATTCGCGGATGAAGCCTTAGGTGGCGGCAAATACGCGAAACAAATCGCAGATGACGAGAACTTCAAGAAATTGATGACGAGGTTGAGAATATGGGTCAACAACCCAGATTTTATTGGACATCCGAAACTATCTTACCTGAAGACTGTCGTTCTCAACCATTTCATGGACGCTGGTGAGAGGACTAGTGATGACCGCAGCACGGGCTCTTCAAGTACAAGAATCATGGTCTTCACACACTATCGAGACAGTGCGGAGGAAATTGTGAGAGTCCTCAATCGCCATGGCCCTATGATCCGTGCGCATGTCTTCGTTGGGCAGTCAGGCACGAAGGGTGGGTCGGAAGGGATGGATCAAAAGACTCAGCTGAGCGTTATCAAGCAATTCAAGGCGGGAAAATACAATACAATCGTCGCGACATCAATTGGAGAAGAAGGTCTAGATATCGGTGAAGTCGATTTGATCGTCTGCTATGATTGCTCGAAATCGCCTATTAGGATGCTTCAACGCATGGGCCGGACCGGGCGGAAACGGGCTGGAAGCATCGTCTTGCTCATGATGCGTGGCAAGGAAGAATCAGACTTCGCCCAGTCAGAGGACAATTATCAAAAGATGCAAGAAAAAATTGCCAGCGGCAAGGAGTTCAATTTCCATGAAGAGCTGTCGCTGAGAATTATCCCGAGAGACATCGTTCCCGCGGCCGACAAACGCCTAGTAGATATTCCAATCGAGAACACGCAGCCTGGCTCGGTCGAGCCTAGCCGACGAAAACCGAAGAATGCCAAAAAGCCACCAAAGAAGTTCCACATGCCAGACGGGGTGGAGACGGGCTTCATGTTCTTGGGCAACGGGAACAAGACGACGAAGGCCAGAACAAAAGAGACGGCACCAAAACAATCGGAGCCAAGAAAAGACCGCGAGGTAGCTGCACTACCTCCGTTGAAGGACGCTTTGCTGTCCGAGACCGAGGAGCGAGAACTTGAAGACCGCTACGTTCGACTCGTGGGGGCCGAAGACGAGTATATTCAGTTCGTACGATTTGATGCTTACCCAGAACAACAGCGACGGCTCGGAAAGACAGATGCTGTTAAGCATTCAAGAGCGACCAAGACGTTGGTGAAAGCGTTCGAAGCGATGCGGAATCCAAGACAAGGGTGGTGCCGTCCGTCGGACTATGACGCGTTATCAGAGGGGGATGAAGCCTTGCCTAAGGCGTCGGAAGTGGAAGAACTGACACGTGCGAGTCAGATGTCCAAAAGGAAGCCAAAGCCTCGGACACTTTGCCACACAGATGTTTCGAGCGACACTATTGGTCGTTACGATGACAAAGACAGTTTCATCGATGATGGAGAAGCAGATCTCAGTGCGGCTCGGTGGGCGGGGTCCAGACGAAAAGATAAGGCAGTGTTCGCTGATAATGATGACAACGACGACGACGACGACGATTTGTTTTCCCCTCTACGAAAGATGCCGAGTCCATCACCTACTAACAAGGATGTAGAAATGCGGGTCACGAAACGGTTCTACATCTCGCCACAAAGCATAGATTACGATGCCATGGACGACGACCTACCAGATCTAGAAGACCTGGTTTCTACCAAGAAGACAAGCAAGCTCAGCCCACAGAAGGCGAAGGTCCAGAGTGCTACGACACGGATCTCGCCGTTAGCGAAACAGAGACTCACAAGTCCTGCACGCAGGAAAAGGACGAGGAGGGTGATCGATAGTGATGAAGACGATGACGAATGACTTCCAAAAGCATTGACTTGGTTTCGACTTGTTGTTTGCTTGTGTTCCGTTTTTTTGTGTTTTTGGATTGTGCATATCCGACTTACTTGGATGGGTGGAGGATGGATGGATAGTACGACTCTTTAGGTTGGGAAACGGATCGCCGGGCTATCTACATTCTTGGCTACCTAGTCTGGACTCTTCCACTGTCTTAATTACAGCTCTCTTCGGGTCTTAGCGCCGGCCAGAATGACACAATCCAACAGAATCAGAGTTTAACACTACGAGCTCCCCCATCATTCTCTCAACACATCCCCTCAATCAGCCTACGCAATTCCAACGCCCCCTTCAATGTACAATTCTCCCTATTCTCCGTCAATCCACGGTAAACCATAGCCCCGTTCCTTGCGGCACTCAGCAACAAGTTGTCAAACTCACCTTTACCCACGGCAACCTCCTCAACCCTATCACTTGCAAAGTCATACACCTCAATTTTCGTACCACCATGTCCCATCTGCATGGATGGCGTTGGAGCCCTGATTCGAATTACCCCCTTTGAACCGTAGATGCGCCAGTCTAGACCAGGGGTATCTTTGAATGCGGGTTCGGAACGCGGTGGGTAGCTTAGCGGGACGCCCCTTGCGAAGGTGCCACGTAGGGAGATTGTATCTTCGGTTTCTTTTGGGTAGGTTGAGGAGATGATGGGGCCAGAGGTGCGAGAGATGAGTTTTACGTCATCATTAACAAGGGACTTGAAAGCCTCGATGATACGGTATAGCTTGATGACCTCGATTAAAAAAAAATGATATAGCTGAAGGCGGTCTCAGCATAGGGGCTCTCTGAATATATTGTAACAAGGCAAAGTGCCTGTGCTGGGCTGGGCTAGCGGGGAGGGAAGTTTGTCTAGTCACATGTCAAACCAAAACGGGCTGGTAGGGGGGAGTGCGAGACGGTTTACAGTGCTGGAAGAGTGCCATTCATTATAATTAGACAGAGTATCAGTGTTCCATGCTTTTTAATGTCGTCTACCTATTCCTGAGTGTTTCATCGGCCCTTTCCTACTTCTCAATGCCGTCGCCGTGCTGGGCGCTCGCTGCCCTAGCGGCTGCCTCTCTGGGGGTGGTGTTGGTGGTGGTGTTGCCCTGTCAGTGTCAGCCAGAAACGCGTTCTTGATTCCTGACCTGCTGAACAGGTCTCTGTGCGTTGTTGCACGTGCATGCCGAACCCCGAAGTGCCCTGTTATACTATTCGTCATCCGGGTCGGTGGGAAAACTGACGGAGCACTCATTCGATCAGATCATGGATGGACAATCATAAATTTGTGCTCAGAAGCACATCCAGAGTGTATGCAGCGTAGCAGACTCATTAGGCTGTATGAGCGAAATGGTAATATCACAGTGTCTTTGCGCAGCGCGAGGGTCGCCTTGGGCATCAGTGGCCCGGTATGAAGTGTAGATGGCGAAGATCAGGCTCAGAAGCAGCGAAGAGAGACTTGTGGTGAGACCGCTCGTCTGCAGGGTAATGGAGTGCCGCGTCGAAATGCGGCAGAATGCTAGGTACATGAATCACGGGCGACATAAGGCGATGCAGATTGAAGAACTGGCCGAGCAGCTCACCCGCATGGGATGGTAGGGTGTACAGGTCCTCTTCCGTGAGACGAGATATGACTTCTCAGATATCGTTTTCGGTGGGCCTCGAGTATGCCTCGACACTTTCATGACCATGAAGGACACTCCGTATTAGCTAAGTATGTGACACCCAACCAATAGACAAATTCGCGCCAGCGACCATGATTGGAGGCTGACTGGTAGAGGACCTTGCTGTCGAAGCGCAGAGGGATGATGGATGCCTACAGCTGGTAGTTCGTTCATTTCCAAAACCCGAAGATCTGAGCGGTGCGCTTCGTTCGTTACGCAGAAGTAACGTGCTTTGAATCGATTCTTGCTAAGATCTGCTTTCTAGAGCTCAAACCCATTGCTCGAGCGTTTGTAGGTAACTTCAATTTTGGCTGTATCAGTATGATCCTTGGTATGTAGCAATCTAGTTGCTCACTCCTGCTCCACAACCACTCTCTAGTTTGCATCCTGGAGATGCCTCGCTGCGTGTAATGCATCTTCGTCCTCTGTGCTCGCAGGTTGAGCAGACGGGCCTTCTTCGATCATACCAAGCTCTGAAATGTCTGCAGCTGAAGCAGGAGACAATAACTCGGTTCCCGGGTCTCCCCTGGGGTCTTCAGAGACTCTGGCATCTTGACAATCGAGGGGGAGAGTGGCGGAGAAGAGGGACAAGTCGTTTCTGATCTAGGGATAAATTTTCACGTATGTAGGTAGTGTCGCACGAAAAAGTTATCCTAATCTTCTCTTTATAATTAGCCGCTCGTCACTTTGCTAACCTTCAGCTCCCCTGCTGCTGTTTCCTAAAGCTCTGTGCATAGAGATATAGATATGACTCTATGTGGCCTTAAAATACTCTTCGAGGCAGTCTGTATATCGTATCTCGAAATGGGGTGAAGGTAAGGAAAAGAAATAGAAGAGCCAGTGTAATGGTAAAGATTAGCTTCGGTAGCACAAAAAGTCAGCCAGCATATTTAGCTATGTATTTAGTGGACTGCCTTTAAGGGAGGAGAGAAACGGAAAGGAGGGGAAGAGTAGATAGGCGAAGCTAAGTAGCCGGGCCATATTAAGCCGTACCTCAGTGCACCTTCCCTGTATGTGACACTCTATTAGAAGAGTAAATATCGGTCTATATCTCACGTCTGAAGTATAACTAGAACATTTACCGGCACCAAGCTAGAGGCTGCCCCGTGGAGGGCAAATGGGGACTCTAAAGGTTTTGTGAGACACTGTATGTAAAAAGGTAAATGCTGTCCAGAAATGGCGGTTCGTGTTCGACCCAGCTGGCTACCTTGTAGTGGCCACATGGACGATTATACCTGAAGTCCAATGTTCTTTCGCTTGTCGACCGACTGTGTGTCGAGGTTCATACAATATCGGACGACTTTCAGTGCTGCTACTCGAAGCAGGCTCCCCTCGAGCCGGCTAACGTGCTCACTGATCGTCGTGTCATCCGAACTTTGCCTTGATATGTATCTTTCCGAGGGTGGGAATGTCAGCTAATGGCGGCGGGTCCAACGTGAATTTGTTGCGAGTCGTGTTGCGGACTAGGTCTGATGGTTCTGCCCGAAACTACAAAATACAGCCATAGATTACAGTAGCAGCTGGAGCATGTCCTGCAACTCGCAATTACTTTTCCTAGGACTGGGCCAGTAGTCTCTGGTTGGGGCTTCTATTCTCAATGTTGAGATATGAAGTAAGGCTTCATGGTGTAGCCGACATTGCTGAGAGGTTACAACTACAAACATCTTCCATGTGATTGAATTATCGCGTGGAAACAATACCCCGCACGTATCTATTCCGTAGCAAGGATCTCATGGTCCCGAAGATTCACTGGTTGCAGTGGTCGTGGCTCTAGCGGTTGGGGAGACCGGTCAAAATCCGCCCCTCCTCCCGCTTTCCCCCCTGGCGAAGTAGCCTGCCAATCGGTAGGGCAGCTGGAGACCTAGTCCAAGATAGACCTGCGCAGGGTGCGCCCGTTTGGATTAGTTGCGTACCTTGGCATCGGGCCGAGAAGTAGACACTGCCTTCGGTTGGGCTCGCAACCACAAAGTATGGAACAATTGGCATGTGATGCACAGAGCCAATGCATACTGTAGGCAAACGAGGCTCAACGTTGAGGTCGGTGAGAAGTCGCTACAGACATAAATGCCCCAAAGTCGATTCTTTCCTAATTTGTTAGGCTGTCTCTTGCCTGTGTCCAGTGGCAATGGTCGCTTTTGTTACGCGCTTGTGCAATTCGGTGATTTGATGGATTCTCTGTGTGTTTCAGTCTGCCTTCTCTCACTCCAGCGAGATCTATATACAAAATGGGCCGGATTCTAGAGCATTGCTCAAATGCCTCGGAGGAGGGCCTGAAACCGGAATTCGGTTCTTCCGCACTGCGGCCCCAAGACCAAGCCTGTGAATGTCACAACAGCTTTCTTTCTTTGGAGAAGCTCCGAGTTTCGAAATGCCGCGCCCTACACATCTGTCGTCGTGGGCTTCCAGATTCACTCCGGGAATAATCCTAGTTTGTGATTGGCAAGAGAGCAGCAAGTATTGTCCCCTGGATTTAGCCCACAAAGCCCGTAATGACCCAATATCAAATACCCTTTTGTGGAGATTAGTGATATGTTAAAGGTTGCAGGGATTCTAATTTTGTTTTGGTTTGGACATGGGAGGATGTCATAGCACGATGCATTGCAAGGGTGGTAGGTTATTGTCCACGGACAAGGACTGCATCTCAAACTTCATTCGGCCTCACGGTCTCAATGCCGGCTCAACAAGTCATCCGTTATGTTGAAATGTCCCAGCTGATATCTTCGCAGTTCCGAGGACGATCAAAATCCGACCACTGCATGGAATGGTGTGATTGAACCAACATCTGCTCTGGCATTGGACAGCCACTCCTTACTGACCAGTGTACGACAAGTCGCTGCCTATTCAAACTCTTCCGGGGATTTCTATGGGAAGTTCTACCTACTTCAAGAGTTAAAAACAAGAGACTCCGATACCGACAACCTATACAATTCCTTAGAATAGCTACAACCCCTGCGCTCCGTTACGGCAACTAGCTACATTCTCGTTTTAGCGTAGAGTTTAAGCCGTTGTTGATATTTCAAATGCTGTCGCCTTCTACGAAAGACATGATATCACAATTGTATGAATAAATCTACTGTCTTGCAGTCTTGAACAATGCCGACGACGTCTTTTTTACCTCCTGTTTGCGTCTCGAACTTTCTACAGACAAAACATGTTCAAGCTTATCATGGTAGATTGACTACCATCCCAAAGATCGACGGCCTGCAGCAGGTGGGAGAGAGGGAGAGCATTTCTCTTGCGATTGCAAACACGGTGGCGAATCTTTACAAAGTGCAAAGCCGCGAAGACTATGCACACTATGTGAAGAATATAGCTCCTATCATGTTCAGCAAAGTCCTCAGGCATGTCGCAGAGAACGAACCAATCCGTCTCGTTGTTCTAGCGTCTCAACTATCACAATATGAGGGCGTCCCTCGAGGCAGAAAATTCGAGCCGGAATCCAACCTAGCCCGATTCGATGAACTCTGCAAGCATATATCCACGATCTACAGCCCTGGCGCTCGAGTCGATGTGGTCATGGACGGGCTCATTCACAACGGTATGCACAAAAGACCCAAGCGTTGACTCACATTGCTCAGTTCATCACACAGGTCTCTTCGGAGTCGGAGACGTCGAAGAGTGGGAGTCTATCAGGGCAATGGAAGAAGCTGCAGCTAAGAGGCACTCTGGAACTCTCAAAATTCTCCCAATCTGGAATTTATTGGAGGACGAGCACGACGATATCCCGCTGCCTCTGGAAGAGGCTAGGTTCTATTTCTTACACCATGCACAGCTGCTAAAAGACCACCTCATATCAAGGTTCGGCAATCCAAACAACAATTCTATCACGATTCCTCCAACATTCAAGGCAATATACGTCAGCGAACAGTATTCCAAATTGCGTGGTGGAGAGAACAAGAACACTGCGGCCAAGGTCGCACTACATGTAGATACATGAACTTTCCGCCCGCAAGACTCTTACTAACCTTTTTCTCTTCCAAGGCTCTGGCAAACGTGCTGGAATCGGCGTTCGGCAACGCTGTCCATATCTCACTCTGACCTGTGAGTCACACGGTATCTTCCTGTACTCAGTCGAGTATTCGGTCACACCTGGAGCGTCGGCACCGGTCTCTGGAAATTGGAAAGGATTTTCTCGGAATCCTGTGCTTACGGATACTTACAATGGCAATACAATGGCACCTTTCTGATACCATTTTTTTTATGAAGGGTTGACTGTGTCGTCTCCCAGGCAGTGCACGACTACCAGTTGTGTCCATCTCTATACCCAGAGTGCAAGAGCAAGTACTGGAATCTATCAAATATTGTGGATATCAACCAAAATTTAAGAAGCGTAGCCCATCATTTTGCATTATAACCAAAGTATTGACCACGTCAGGCCATTAGAGTATTGCGTCATTGAGAGGCCGTCAAAGTATTGATCTTAGTTTCAAGCTCTGTAACACCACTCTGTATCCTCTTCGGTTTCTTCCTCGCTGGAAGCTGGCACCAACCAATGGAGCTTCAATTGGATTCCTCGGCCAGGCGGACGCTCGCAGACGATTATGATAATGGCCATAATAACAATAATTAAATATAGACATAATACGAGAGAAATTGTTTCGATCTAGTATCTTATTTTAGTATACGGACATTTCAAGTCCCCTACAGTATCGCAGCGGTGCTCAATCTGGCGCCAAGCCTTCAGACCCACTCCACCTTCCGCATAGTGCGTCCCGTGTCAATAGGCACTACTGATGCACTGGCTGTGCCAAGAAAAGACTTTCGGCAAAAGCGGGCAATGAACGTTCTGTTGTCGCAAAGCAACAATCTTCCCTAGGTGGGAATATAGATTTTCTGTAGTGTTTTCGAAGCTGGTGATGGATACTCCCGCTAACTAAGGGATGTTGTGTGGGATCCAAGGGAGGAGGCTGTGTCAAACAGCTTCCGCTGGTGATTGAATAGTTTCATTCGAAGCTCCAGCTTTTCAAGGCTTTGAGATCTCTTTTTTTGGCAGTATTCGTGGTAGTCAGCCGTATACGAAGCTCTTGTGACCATCATTGAGCATCTGCAAACACAGAGGTTTCCTTCCATCGATCTCAAATTACGTGCTCCGTCGCTGTCGCTACCTCTGTCTCTCAAACACCGCCTCCAGCCATGAGTCGAGCTATACCCTGCCACTTTGTCACCTTGACAGCGAGCCAGCTGGACGAACGCCGGGCGACACTCGACCGACACGGCTTCTATGCCTGGCTCTCGCCTGTTGTCCTCCTTGGAATCGTTTTTGCCATTCGTTTCGCCGGAGCTTTCTACGAAGACCGTATTGTTCCTCTTTCCAAGGACTCCCCGGGCCAGCCTCCCTCGACTCTGCAAGTCCAACAACGGCGCATTTCCTGGTGGCTAGACCAACCCATAACTTCAGAATTCGGTACTATAAAAGTGCACATCCTTGGAGTTGCCTACGCGTGTTGGTTGCTGTTCCTCACACTCCGACAAACTGGCGATGATTACTTGTACCTCACCAAGCTGTTAGGCCATGTCGCAGTATCTCAGCTGCCGTTTCAGTACATGATGGCCATCAAATCCCCTCGAAACCCGGTCCAGTTCGCCACAGGCCTGAGCCACGAGACCCTAAATCCTTACCATCGGCTCTTTGGCCGGATCATTCACCTCTTCTTAGCCGCACATGCCGTCCTGTACATGAATTTTTTCGTCATGGAGAAAATCTTGTCTCAACGACTCAGAAACTTGGATGTCTGCCTAGGCTTGACTGCATTCACCATCTTCACCGTTCTCGCGATCACAGCGCTCCCACCGGTCCGCCGGACCGCTTACCACAAACACTTTTACAGGCCACATGTCGTCTTGTCAGGTCTTCTCATGCCTGCCATATTCATGCATGTGCCCACTGCCCGTAAGTACGTCTACCAGATGGCTGCATGTTACATCTTCAACGGGGCCGCTCGTTCCAACTCGACCAGCGTGCCGATTACGTCAACCCTGTCACTAATCTGCGGCACGAATCTCGCCAAACTTCGAATCCCGGGTCCGGCATGGGGCGTTCCACCTCTTCTAGGCGCCGGTACGCCTGGATGGGTGCCCGGACAGCACGTCTACGTCAAGCGGAGTATCAGCCCGGCAATGCCCCGCAGCCCATTGACTGTGGTGTCTCTTCCACCGCGGGAATCCCAGGACGGCGGAGACGAGAGCTCAAATATCGACCTGGTGCTTCGCGTCATGAATGGTCCAATAACCAGCTGGCTGGCCGCCCAGCCGATGGAGACAGGGCTCGTGGCTCAAAATGCAAGATTGTTCGTCGAGGGACCCTACGGGCAAGCTCGTACGTACGTGCCCACGCTACTTCGGGCCAGCGAGAGTGACGGAGCGATCATGCTTGTTGCCGGCGGAGTGGGTGCAACCTTCACCGTTCCGATATACTTATCCCTCCTGGCAACACGGAAGTCGACGCAGAAAATCTATTTCACCTGGTTCGTGAAGTCGCTCCGGGACGCAGAATGGGGCTTGGACATGCTGCTAACAACCACTGTATCGGAACTGAATGCGGCCGTGTATATCACAAAGCCGAGTAACGAGAAGCTTCGTGAGACGGTTACCACGAAGTGTGGGTTGAGAGTGCTCGGCTACGGCAGACCACCGGAAATGAAGGCGGTTGTCGACGATGTGTTCTTGCCGACTGGAGGAGCGCTGGAGAAAAGCCCGATTGCCAAAAACAGCGTTGCAAAGGTCAGCGTTCTGGCTTGCGGTCCCCCAAGCATGACGCGGGCGCTGCGCAAGGAAGTGGGCAAGCACGTCATACGTGACGGACGACATGTGTGGTATCATGAGGAAACTTTTGGCCTGGGGCCGTAATACTCTGTGTTTTACTCAAATACTAATTCGGAAGGCATATATTAATACCTGTCCAGATTCGATGTGGCTCTGATAGCGAAGGAACCCGACGAGTATTTCTTATGGTTTTCCAGTCGAGCTGATAGGTCTTGTTTTGAAAGGGGAATCGGACTGCCTTGAGAAGTGGGATGGAGATGATGGAGAGGGAGAGGATTGTGTGTAAAACAGATTGCCATGAGATGACCAGATAATCGCAAGAAATACAACGCTCTTGATGACTGGAAATCTGAGGAGGGGCGCAAGTATGCCCTGTATCTAACTTTACCGCAAATACTGCAAAACGGCATAGCCACTCCACTGTAAACGAATACTCTAGAGCTCCTTACCAAAAAAAAGAGAAAAAAACAGAGGGGAAAATAATTGTTGAGCGTCATCACTAGAAATAGGTATCTGTGTCTGCTTGAAGCATAAATACTAGCCATTAGTAATTTGAATAAGTCACTGTCACTCCAGTACCACTAGAACACCTTCGTGCATACGTAGATGCAACCTCCCAGTCCAAGTTACGTCGTACGTGCATGTATCGACACCCGGTTTCCTAACACAAACGCTAAATGCCTAGCAACCCAGCATCTTATTCGAGCAAGTTTTACTCCCCTTTCTGCAAAAACTGGTCTTTCTCTTGAGCCTGTACAAATGCCTCCATGATTTGTTGTCTTTTCATTTCCGATCGTGGAACCAGGTCGAATTGGAACGGGTTAGGTTTGGTGATCAGGAGTGGGTGGTAGTCGTTCACCGGAATGGGCAGCTCCTGGCCCAGCTTGTCCTTCTTCCGCTTGATGTCAAATCCCCACGCGACAGCGGCCAACAGGCAGAACGTCTGCGTCTGCACGATGTTGATGCCTTGGCAGATCCGTCGACCAAACCCAAATTGGTGATAGCCGTGGAGGGTCGGGAACTGGGTGAGAGGCTCCTTGTAAGTTGGGTAGCCCGGCAAGAGCCAGCGGTCAGGGTTGAAAGTCTCCGGGTCTGGGTAGACTTCGGGATCGCGAGACAGGGACCATTCCATCGGATGCACCCAGGAGCCCTTGGGCAGGAAATATCCGTCGTAGATGCAGTCGTCCTGAAGTTCGTGTGGAATGCCTTTTCAGCAAACACATCAGCGGGAGCTACTGAAAGGAAACATGAACAAAAAAAAAAAAAACATATGGACAAACCTGTGGGTACCGCCGGCCTCCATCTTAAGCCCTCCTTTACAATCGCCCGCATAATTGGCAGATCCGGCATGTCCGAGAGTACTGGCATTCTGTCACCACAAAGGGCATCGATGTCCTTTTGTAGTCTCGCCATCCATTCTGGATGCAGTGTCATGGCCAGGAAGAAGGTATGGAGCGGAGATGATGTGGTATGTATCCCTGCCATTGAGACCATCCCGACATTGAATGCGGCTTCAATATCGGTCGGAAAGCCAAAGCGGTGGCCGTGTTCGAGGTATGTGCGCGTGAAACAAGGAGATGCCTGGCCCTTCTCCCACTGCTCCCGCACCTCGTTTTGGCAATTCTGGTAAAGTCTAGTTTCCTTTTCTTGCCGGTCTTCCTCGTCAACCCTCCACCAGGCGATACATTTGGGCACTCTCATGCATCCTGGTAAGATATTTGAAAAACGCCCAGATGGTGAAATATTAATAAGCAGTCTCCAGGCGTTTGTACACAGCGCAGATGCGTGGTTTGGAGTTCCAAAGGCACATCGACTCAAAAAGCGCGCCTGATGCTGATCGAGGTGTGAACTCCATCTTTCAGGGTTCTGAAGTAAGCGCACCAGCGTGCGAGGTACTTCGATGGTCTGATGATCGTAGTAGTTGTTCTCATGGGCCGTGCCGAAGATGAGATGAGTAAATTTTCGTTGGCGACGCCAGGTATCATGGAAACCTTGGAGAGGTAGATACTTCCAATCTTTTGTTCCCGGGACATTGGGGAATGCAGCTGGTCTGTCAGAACAAATGGAACCTTGTTTGGCGAGGATGTCGAGGACCATGTGCTCCTTTGAAACCCAGATGTGCACGATTCCTGTCCAAAGACGATCAGGTACTCAGTCTCTATTTCTATCGAACAAAGGAGCCTACCCATCATAGTGTGCTGATAAATGGGCCCATACTTGGCTGACCATTCAGCAAATTTCATCCAGGTCTTCTCGCTGGGAATGTCGTGAACACGGCCAATCCATGGAAGACCTCAATATCATCAGCTAGTCGATTTTGGAGGTTAAGAAGACCGATGTAATACCTTTTGGCCCAGGAATCTCTCGAGTTCCCGCAGGGCGACGTGGCTTGCTGAGAAGTGAGCGCCCGATAACCACTCCAAGCACGATCAGTACGAGAGCAATGAACGAATATACAGCCATTGTTTCTTTCAAAATCTACTATGCAGGTGAAAACGGTGAGCAAAGCAGTGTACAGCAACGGCTGAGATACTCTGATGTTTTTGATCACACCCTCAATCGGTTATCCTGACACTGGAGCAACCCTAGAAGCTAGGGGGACAGCAGTTAACAACCCTTTCGCGTTTGCATCTCCCAGGTGTTGCGGACAACATGGAGTGAAAGCTAATGCAACGGAACTTCAACCCACGGACCTTTTCACATACAAACTGGCATGGGAAGAGACACTAGTAGGCGGCATCTCAGTCGACCCCTGCACCGCAGCGTATATATAGTAGCACTGCCTTCCGACAACTGATCCCCTGGGGAAAAGTGGCATTAGGTCGCAGAACGAGACACGAGCTTTCTCGTGTGACATGGCGCTGTTTTCGAACAAAGAAACTTTGGAGGGGCTAAAGTTTGTGGTCTCGTGTTGTAGCGGAGTGGTACCTCCGCCCTTCACCTTAGAGCCGTTCCAAGCTCGTATATCTTAATTTAGCTGCACTCCGACATGACGAACTTTCAACAATTACCCATTCTCGGGAGTGATCCCGGCTACACCATTGATGATGGACCATAGCCAAGTATGAGTTCATCCCTGTATTGGGTGCCTAGTTCAATCACTCCATTATTAGACCCGACTATATCAACCATTGTCTTCCGATTCAATTTCTGCTGCGCGAGAGGGCTCCCAGCTTAGGAAGCGACCAAACTCAAACTGCCAGGTTCAAGAAACAACAACGCACGCTTCAATGTTATACGAAGAGGGCGTCCTAGGCGCTCAAGTCGCTCTAAAAATAGGCGCTGGACGGGGATCCCAGCGACTTGGAAAGGTAACGGAGTTTGAGAAAAGTCGTTCTCCATACTGGCTTGGAAATTGTGTTCAGAATGCTTCCCTTTCAGTCACAGCTAGACCGTTTTCTTCATCGAGGCTTTGAGTCGTCAGCTATGACGGCGATTGTTCTTGGTGGACCCAGAGAGATTGGAATAGGGGATACCCACCCGGTTCGTACACCCGGACAGCATTTCCCCCTTCTCCTTTGCTCGAGTATTCTATCTCTTACCTGGACCGGGTAAGGTCTGTTGCAGGGCCTGCCTTACTGCCTTACTGAGTCGACACTCTTTCAACCCTCCGCCCGCAGTGGCAATCTGTATTACTGGATTGGCAGTTTGTCTCATTAGGTAGGCCAGCCCTCTCTGATCCCTTCTCATTAACCTAAAGGACCGCAAACTGAACGGCGGACGAAGGGAAAATTACTGTAGCCCGATCCTCCAGCAGAAGGAGGCGCATCACGCGGGTAAGGGGATAGGTTTCGCCCACGCTGGGATGAGCCTGTCGAGTCTTTGCCAACTGAACAGCCGCGGAGCTTCCAAATTGATTGGGAAGTAATGGAAAAATTGTAGTAGGCATATAGAGACATATAGAGCTGTTCCGGAAACCTACCTACCGTGTGACAGTACTCGACAGGCAGCATGAGAAGGTGGAAGCTGTGGCAGATATCTTAGCTAAAGTTCAGGTTGAAGCAGTCTTCGCTCCCCTCTAGGATCAAACCGTATATCGCCATTACGTTTTTCTTTCGCGAGGAATCTAGGTACAGAGAAGTAGCCTTGTTTTGAGCTTGCTTTCCTCAGACAAAAAGCTTCCCCTAACCAACAAGCTAAATTCACCCACTGGGTGTCTTTGGCTCACGGTCTGACCGTCATCTATATTTGATGCTCGAGCTACGGCGAGGCATAAATCTGCTACGTGACCATTGGCTACATCTTCGGCCCTCTTGGGCCCTCTCTTCAAACTTGGCTTCTCTGAATATCCCATGGAACCATACTATTGGGTGGCAATTAGTGTACTCGTCCTGATTGCGAGTATCTCCAGCACAGCCAAAGCGGGACAATCAACGCCGACAAGCTTCACTGACCAAGCAGCCTTGCGCGCCGTATGTTTCTTCCTACCAGACCCCCGCAACAGCTATCCTAACTGACTTGCCAAAAAGTGCAATATCCTTGCTGAACGCTTTCCAGCGCTAGTCTCGTTCCCGAACGATAGACTGTACCTGTCTCAGCAAGCTCAGTACTGGGCCTCCAACCAAGCAGATTTCGCTCCAACATGTCGCTTATCACCGAAGAAAGCGGAACAAGTCAGCAGCCTCGTCTCTCAGCTCGTTGCCTTTGGAGATGAGGTCCATTTTGCCATCACGAGCGGTGGCCACTCGACCGCCCATGGCGCCTCAAATCTGAACGACGGCATCACGTTGGATTTGTCCGGACTATCGTCGGTCTCTGTCGCACCTGACTATTTATATGTAGAAGTTGGCCCCAGGACCCGCTGGCTGGACATTTACCAGATTCTTGACCCTCTCGGACAGACAGTTTCTGGAGGCAGAGCTTCCTCTGTGGGCGTGGGAGGATACCTGCTCGGCGGTCTATCACCCGCTGTGCTTGCTGAGATAACGTTGCTTACAAGGCTGACTTGGTAGGTGGCATATCCATGTTGTCTGGCCGATATGGCTGGTCCGCGGATACCCTTCTGTCAATCGAGGTACAAAACATGCTTGACCTGACTGACTACAAAAGCACCCGAGCAATCACTAACACTTCCGGTCTTTCTTCGCAAAGGTGGTCCTCGTAAACGGCACAGTCATCAACACTTCCCCGTCGAGCCGTCGCGATCTCTTCTCCGTACTCAAAGGGGGTAGGAACAACTTCGGCATAGCAGCGGGATTCCACCTGGAGACTTTTCCACTTCAAGAGTCATTACGTGTCGCTCTCCTACGATATTCTGACGACCGCCTCCCGCGGGTGATAAGGGGCCTCGCAGACTTCGCGCGGAATGCACACCTCGACCCTTCCTCATCGGCGGAGCTTTCGGTTGGTTTCGATGCGCTGAGTAACCGGACGGCATATGTTCTTATGCCGACCAGCGCCAACTCGCGCTCGGGCTCGGGCTCGAAAAAGAAGGACGAGTTCCCGTTGTGGAAGCTGTTTCTGGAGGTCCCGACCCTCGAGACCTCCATGTTCAGGGCCGGGATGACCGAAGTGGTTGAGATGATTGAGATTAACAACCCCTACGGCTTCCGGTATGCCTCTTTGCCCTCCCTCTGCTTCTTTCCTGGCATTCACCTCACGTCATCTCTCATGGGCATCCCTGATGACGCTCGATCCAGGGTGTACAAAACGACTCTCACGGTCCACAACGACCCTGAGCTCCTGTCAAAAATCACAGACCTCTTCACTGCACACGTCGTTCACAACCGCACGCTAGACACAGAACAGCATGGCTCCGACGCGCGATCCCATCTTCCGGGCCGGGATGCTGCTTCAGCCACTTACACTACCGCACCTACATTACTCCAGGGGGAGAGGGGCGAGGAATCTGATGGGGCTAGACGACGAAGCGGAGCCATTGATGCGTAGGTGATGTTCTTGTTCCTTGCCAGACAGGTATTGCTTGTCACCACCGTCATCCCTTCGCATCCTCTTCTATTCCCTTCGCAAAGGCTTTCCTCCCACTGAGGATCAGGACTCATCACTCTCGCCATGACATCTCCCACGTCCTGACATATAACCCCGCCCCATTCCTTTCTCCCCTTCCCAACTTCCACCCTCCCTCCTCTCTCAGCCTGCTTCTTCCCTGTCGAGCTCCCGAATCCGATCATCAAGCTTATCCCTACCACCCAAGTCCTCTCCTTCGAATCCCACCACCTCCACCCAACCCACGACGCAGACTCGGTCGCCACGATAACTCGCATCCTCGCCGAGGCCGAGACCCTCGCGCGCCGCCATGGCCGCTCCTCCTCCTCTTCCTCCTCCACCTCTGCGCCGCTCAGAAGGGACAGGATCGGGTACGGGAACAGGGACGATGGCGCACTGCATCCGTTCCGGTACATCAACTACGCAAACGCAGGGCAGGACGTCTGGGCCCTTCTGGAGCAGAAGAACAAGGGCGGGATGATGGAGGAGGCGAGGAAGGTGGGGGACGCGTACGATCCGCAAGGCGTAATGGCGAGGCGGGTCAAAGGCGGGTTCAAACTCAGGGAAGAATAATATTTATTACCGTCAGGAGTTCCAGAAACAGCGAGTTCGCTATTAAGCGAGCGAGCGAGCAAAGCAGGATGAGATGAGACATGATATCTTCTTCTGTGTCTGGGTCATTGTTCGAGCAATTTCCGCTTTTGTCCTACGTCTAGCCCTCTAGGTAAAGGCATTTTTGCAGTAGATTGTCCAAAGATGAATGTGCAATGGTCGTCGTCGCTTTTTATGTCAGTTACATCCAGACCTCCCTTATCGGGTCGTAAAATCTCGTGATTATCCTTCTGCTGTCCTGTCGATATATCCGCTGCAATCGGATATCCAAGACATGCCAACAGCCCTCGATCTCATCCGCCGGAGCAAAAGATTGGACCTGCTGAACTGACCATGCAAGGAAACAGAATTAGGCACGGCCGGGCAGCGTGTGTGCAAACCAGTGGCGGCAACTCCAGCAGCCAAAAGGTCCAGACTCAGGTTAGTTTGCCTGCTGGTGAGCATCATCTCGAGTCTGACTTGTGTTTCCTGTGCTCAGGTCTCATCCCCCAGCACAGCGCCAGCGCCAAATTGGTCAGCGATTTCCGTCTTGTAGCGCGGTAGGAAGCGACCGCCGAGAATCCGAAGAAGTTCCTGGCAGAAGCAGTCAGAAAATGCTGCCTTCCATTACACTTGGTGCGGTTCAGGAGACCTTCCGCACCGCAAGAATCCGTACCGCCGATATCGACCCCCTCAGCCACCCCTTCATATCAGCAAGCGTCCTTGTAACATCTTTCCAGCGACGCTTTACCCAATCTTCAACTCGGCGATCTTTGTGCCCCTTCCATCTCGCCCACACGACGAAGAGAAACACCAAACTTGCATCAATCAAAATTTGCCGCACAAGTGCCCACGCCAACCACTTGGCCCACGTCGATATTCTGTAGAATATCCTTCTCCGCCTAGATGTCAACTCGGGGGAGAAAGACGAGGAGGAGAGCAAATGATTTGCGGATAGCTGTTCTCGCAGTGCGGCGACCTCGGTCGAAAGATGCCTTAGGTGAGACTCAATGCGACTTCGCCAGTCTGCATCAGAGGGAGCTCGTCGTGAAGAAGATAAAGGACCAATAACTGCATGGGTTATCGGATCCACCTCTTCACTCTCCACAATTTCATCGCTCCCTCGCTGTGAAACTGGTGACAGGACTCGCATCCTATTTGGGTCCGAATTTAATCTGACCAGACTTTGGCCTTCGCCTCGTGTGCTTTGGCCGGGAGGTAGACTCCCGAAACTCGTTTGTTTCAGACCGGCCCGCTCCAACCGTCTGGTGGGCGACTCTGCCTCGTCGTCCTCTGAGCTCCCGCTCTGACTTTTAATCTGGTTCCAAACGAATTCGAGTTCCGCCACCAGCTCACGAGACTCCTGCGTCCCGGAGGCATATTCCTTCATGGTATCTATTAGTGTACTGATGTACCGTCGTTTGGCTTCGGTGCGGGACATGCCGGCGCAAGCATGCCACGCATCCCATTTCTCAATCTCGGCTTCAGCCTCTCGTATCCTTAGGTCTCGAGATGCATAGCGGTGGACGTTGTTTGACTTGGAGTTGTTCGGGTCTGGGGAAACAGAGGGCACGGTCGGACGCGGGAGGATGGATTCAACGTCACCCTCCATGGATTGTTTATAGAGGCCATAGAGACGTAGCCGGGCGGACGGAGGCGGCCGTGAGGAGCCTGTTCGAGGGAGCCGGCGGACTGTGGCCAGTGCATGGACAAACACGCGATCTGGGTCGGGAGACGTGAGACTCTGACAGTGTACCATCAGGATAGCGGAGATGGGGATCAAACATACCCACAGAGTCCGACATGGCGCCCACTGCGCCCGAGGCCTGCTTACCTCTCGAAAACAGCAGAGCCGAAGAGGGGTTGATTCAATGTCAAGTCGTGGATGTCATTCAGTGCCCCGTGCCGAAGACGGTGGACGGAGAACGCGGGAGATCCAGAAGTCGCGTGAGAGGGTTGAGACGAATCTAGAAGACGGGAGAGACGAAAGACGAAGCAGACACGAACATGAGTCCACCGATCAAGTATGGACCGTAGAGATAATCCGAGAAGAGGATGTAGAACAAGGGTGGGTTGTGTAGCTGAACGACTGCCGAAGTGGACGAGGACTGTATCGCATTTGCCATTGAGTATGGAGTAGCCATTATTTGATCACCTCTGGCTTTTCGGGATCCCAACGCCTCGGCCTGCGATTACGGCAGAGCAGCGCTTCATCGCCATCACGGCGGAGCATGTACCTCAAGACGCAATCCGCCATTCAGTCACTTGGCAATTGCCCTCTCTACTCCTTTCTTCCGCACACCGTATCACCAGTACACCTGTCAGCTCTATCCCCCGACTCTCTCGGGCTCCACCTTGCCACTCAGCTCTGTCGCCTCTCTAGCGATCCTATGTGAAGGCTGCTCCGGATCACTGTGGGCGCCCTGTCGGTTTCTGGTCGATTCCTTCGGAGCTTCTCCGCTCATGGCATACTTGCTCAAATCTCCATACTTGACAGTATTGAGGGCACTCTCGTGAGAGGCGTGGAGATGCACTCGTGGCACTGCCGATGGTGATATTTGTCCCTTTTGCGCGGCGTCGAATGCTTCTTTCCACCGGCGCGCACAGAGACACCACTTCATTCCATCCTTGACTCCCGCCTCTCTCAAGTTGTTTCCTCTTGAATTTGTAAAGTCGAGAAACTCGTGGTTCACTGTGGCTGCGACCGAATGATTGTCTTTGTCTTCAGGTCCAGTCCTGCAGTATCCATCGCGAAAGAAGCCGGTCGGAGGAGCTTTAGAGTGCATTGCGAGCTGGCCCCCGGCGACTGAGAGCTTGTTAGTGCCTCTTCGCGAATCTCGAACCAAAGAGAGAGCGCACCATTCTTGTTCTTCATCATTTCCTTGCTTGAGTTCTGAGGAGTCGTCGCCATCTCAGATGATTCGCTCCTATACCGGATAGTATATCTCGGACAGTTCCTGCTGGATTCAATCAAGGCCCAGATATTGCGATTTCGTCAAGAGAGGAATTAAGAAAAGAAAATCCATGATACATTCGGAGGCTGTCACTCATTTTTCAGTCTGGGCCAAATTGTCAAGCTTACGACACCTGGTGGCGGTTCTGAAGTCATGACGTTTTCCAATGCGTTTACATCACTGAGATCTAAGAAGTATTCCCAGTCGGCACGGGCCATAACTCACCGATAATAGCAATATATTGGCGGCGTTGAGGGCTTTTCAACAAGCGTGAAACAGAATATAACATGTATATCTTCACTTTGGCACTGCCTCATCCTTGAAAGACAGCACGGCAAATACCCCTGGAGCTGTAAAGTCCAGCTAAAAGCATTGTATAACCCAAGACATATGCCGAGAAGACACGGAAACAATGTCCGTCAGACATTTCGTGTTCAGCGGAGAGCTCGGATGCCTGATATGCCATGCATGATCCGGTGTGTTCTTTCTCCGCTTCACCAGCATAACAAGCATATAAATACAGCGCCTGCGGTGGATCCATCAGAAGCACGATGGATCAACATCTCTGCATGTCTACGGAGTATGTCTCGACGGAGTCTACCTTTCCTCCCCGGCAGTTGCACCTCGGCAATGTATCCGGGGATGCGGATAGAGGCCGCGGGAAGATGTACGGGGTATCCCTCCACCATTTCTACTCACCTCGTTGGTGCACCGGTTATGCTACTGACGCCAGCGTCGATCTTTCCTCTATCTCCAGATCTCTCCAGGGGAGTAGCGGGCGCCCAGAAAACTTGTTAAAGGTACCAATCACCCCCGAACTAACTATTACAGAGCTCTATAGTGTCTTTTCTCTCGAAAATACTTGTACGGATAGGGCCATACCACGGTAGTCTTCTGCTATGCTGGACAAGGATGGCTCAAGAAAATATGATGAAGCTTCGATTGACGATGTTATGATCCCTATATCCGTAGGTGGCGTGGACGACTTGACGGCTCAGAATGTGCCTCTCCAAAATGATCCAAGATATCCACCAATACCGGGACCTCTCGATGCCAATGACATTGAATATCGATACTTGACCTTTGAAACGGACATGCCACTGAACGCGATACTCCCATCTGGGGTGAAGAATGAGCTTCCGCCATGCCCCAACCTGCGCGACTACGACAACCCATTTACCTGGTCACTGACCCGGAAAAAACTCATGACCTACCTTTCCTGCTCGGTCAATATCACAGCCGCCTACTCCGCCGGCTCTTATGCATCACCAACAGCTCAGCTGACTGAAAAGTGGGGAATCTCGGCTGTGGCATACAAGACTGGCATTACTATCTTTACGGCTGGATTTGGAATTGCTCCCATGGTGTTGGCGCCATTCTCAGAGATCAATGGAAGGAGGCCTGTCTTTATTTTTACCGGAATTCTTTTCGTCTTATGTCAAATCGGCTGCGCGGTAACCGACTCATTTGCAGGGATGCTGCTGGCTCGATTCTTCCTCGGCGTTGGAGGATCTACCTTCTCTACCATGGTCGGCGGCATTCTGGCAGATGTCTGGGTCACGGCTGACCGGAACGGTCCCATGGTCCTTTTCACTGGGGCGACCCTGTTTGGCACCGGACTGGGGCCTCTAGTATCTGGCTTTGTTGCACAGCGGACCACGTGGCGTTGGGTGTTCTGGATACAAGTTATCACCAGCGGCACCTTGGTCTCTCTTGTCACTGTCTTCTTCAAAGAAACGCGAGGTAGCATCATTCTCAGTCGCAAGGCCAAATTGCTGAACAAATGGTACGAGCAACTAGAGGCCGCAGGAGCCCTAGGAATGGAAGTCGATGGTGATGGAATCCATCAGGAAAGAGGCTCGAAGAGGTGTTGCCGGATCCGGTGGAAAGTGAAAGCGGACGAAGAAAGACTGTCAATAAGCCGGATGATCGCGGTCTCCCTTTACCGACCTGTTCACATGCTCGTCACCGAGCCTGTGGTCTTTTGGTTCAGTCTCTGGATCGCTTTCTCCTGGGCAGTGCTATATCTGCAATTCGGATCAATCCCCCTGGTGTTCGAGGTCAATCACGGCTTCAGCCTAGAGCAGACCGGGGCGGTATTTACGGCGATGTGTGTCGGGGCTATTATCTCCACGGTCCTCAGCATCTGGCAAGAGAAATGGGCTGCTAAGCACTATCCCGTGAAGATCAACGGCAGCCCAGAAGGGAGACTGTTGTTCACATGCATCGAGTCGGCCTTCATGCCAATCGGTTTATTTTGGTTTGGTTGGACATGCTACTCCTCCGTCCACTGGATCGTCCCTACAATTGCGGTTGGCGTCGCCACAATGGGCATCTTCAGCATCTTCCTGGGAACCTTCAATTACACAGCGGACTGCTATCACATCTATGCGAGCTCTGCTCTTGCAGCTTCGGGCCTTTGTCGAAATCTGCTGGGTGGATCTTTCCCACTGGTAACAAATCAGCTATTCACCAACCTGGGTTTCCAGGCTGCAAGCAGCTTACTAGGCGCCATCGGACTTGCCTTGACTCTTGTTCCTTGGGTTCTTGTCCTTTACGGACCAAAGATCAGGGCAAGGAGCAAGATTGCGAGTTCATTCACGTGAAGCATCATTGCAGACAGCAACCTGTCACTCGCAGTGAGCCGAGCCGCGCCCTGCAACGAGGCAACCGCCGGGGCAGTTTGGGGGGAAACTGTCCTACTTCTATACGCTGCCTTATACTCGGGCAAACGGGGTAGTAGGCATCCACATAACGAGTCGTTACAGCCGATGGCAAAACGAGTGATGCCAAAGCGAAAGAAAAGGGGTGACTTTACACGGTCTGAACGAACGGAGAGGAAGTCTCGAACTTTTTCGATTTTTTGGCACGAATTCCATCGACTTTCGTCCAAGAGGACCCGTGCAGACGACTTGTACCTATCTCATGCACCCACCTCCAACCCTTTGAATCTGCAAAAGCAAAGCGATCAGAGCTCCTATATTACATGCACGGGGCAAGCTGCCGGATGGAACATAAAGCGAGAATTTACATCGAAAGTACATACACGTAGACAGTACCCGAGCCTTTATGAGTAGAACCAAGTTCACGGGGCTTAAACACTGCCTGCGGCCCGGTAGAGTCTCGGATTAAACTGACTGCCAAACACCTTCAAGAGAGCTGTACCCCGGGCAGTACAGTTTACCCCGAGGCCTCAGCTCGAGTTCATAGCACGAGCACTTCCCGTATGCACCTGGGCAGAAGATGCTTGTAGGCAGGTAGGGGCGCCCCGACTATGTGCAGGAGTTAAGTGGGTAGTAGATTTGTGAGGCGCTAGCTATAATTGACAGCTTTATATGTACAGTACATACAATAATTAGAGCGAATTTGGTCGCAAATACCGCCCTCATCATGCTATGTTCGATAGGTCCAACCAGTAAGGACCTAGAAATCATCTTTCTGGCCCTGGTGGGTAAAGTTGTCAATGTTCTCGGAAACAGATGTGACGGCCGCCGCTTTCTCCCCTTCAAGCTGGCCAATCCGGCGCTCGGCGTCAGTGTAGTGGATTTCGGCGGGTCGAAAGGGGTTAAATGGGACTGCGAAAATGGCGTCAATCTCCTCGAGAGCGCGACCCTAGAACGAGGAGTGGTACGTTAACTTTTGTCATCTCCTTGGGACTGGGCGCAAGTTGACTCAAAACTCACCTTGGTCTCGGGAAGGAAGAGGAAGGTGAAGATAAAAGCGAGCACGGAGATGCTGCCAAACACCCATCCAACTCCGAAGTGGATGTTGTTGATCATGTACGGGATGACAAAGTTGGTTACAAATGCCCAGACCACGTTCCACGACGTCCCCAGTGCCTGCGTCTTTTCGCGGACGGCGGCGTTGGGGATCTCAGAGCCGAGCAGGTACGGGATCGAAGCGCCGCCCATCTGCAAAGGGGAGCAATATTAGTACAATTAACCTTGTAAATTTGTCAAACATATGCCGCTGACGTCTGTAACTCACGTTGTAACTAAATGCGTAGAGCATGAAGGCAGCCACAATCGTGTTCTTAGCAGTTGCGCTCTTGTGGTTCATCCCACCGAGCCCGGCTAACAAGTAGATCCAAAAAGCCTGGAAAAAGTAAGTGATCATGAGGCTGTATCGACGACTGTGGAACACAGCTATCAGCTCGCGTACGGCCCGCACAACAGGAAATACAACTCCGGGGATTTAACGCACCCAAGCTTATCGACTAAGTACATGCCTGGGATGACGGAGAGAAAGCTGAGACAGCTGTTAATGACGGGATAGGTGAAAGCCTGGTCCGAATAGCCGTTTGTCTTGTAGAACGTTATTTGATAAGTCGAAACAAAGGCTTGGCCGGTAGTCTGTAACACGCATGGTTAAACCAAATTATTGATCGCTTCACGGATGGATGTTACTCACCTGCTGGAAAAAGTAGTAAACAATGACAAGTGCCGTCCGGCGGAGGTTGGCCCCACGCACGAGGTCGAGCCAGGGGGCTTTATGCACTTGTTCCTGGAGAGCTTCTTTGATGGCTTGGATCTCGGCTGCGCACTTGTCATCAGAACCATCATCCTTCGGTCTGATGCGACGGAGGGCGGTGATGGCCTCGTGATCGCGGTCCTTCGACAAGAGCCAACGGGGAGAGCTCGGAATGAACAGCGTGAAGAAAATTATCACTGAAGCCTTGCGTCAGCGATACTGGACCGTCCCCAGAGAGTAAGAGACGGGGGTGTGGTCACTTACAGACGGGAAAGATAAACTGGATCCCAGTGACTGCTTTCCAACCTAAACCGTCGGTTCTGGTCGAGAAGGCCTTATTGACGCCAGTGGCAATGACGCTTCCGGCGTTGAGAAAGAGTTGCAGGGAGACGACGACAAGGCCTCGGAAAGGTGCTGGAACAATCTCAGACTGGTAGGTGCTGCGACAAACTTGTCAGTCTTGCTCGAGCGGCATCGTTGGATGCTGGCAACTCACGTCACGTCGACTTCGACCAGACCGACCGAGATGTAGACAATGATACGCCCAACGATGAATTGTGCGAAACGTCCGGACCCGGCGTCCGTGCCGGCTGCGGTGATTTCGACTAGAGGGGGCATAAATGAGCCAGGAGGAAGCAGCTAAGGGAACGAAGAAACTCACTGATGATACCAGCGAACGAGACGGCCGACAGACCAAAGAACACAGCACGATGGCCAAACCACTCAATGGCGGGACCAGCGACCAAGCACCCAACAAACTTGCCGATGAAAGCGAGAGAGGACAGCAGCGACGTATGAAGAGAATCGATGGCGTATTTATCGGTCAAGGAATGGTACACACCGAATTGTCGGACAAAGCCCTGGCAAGACGGTGTCAGTCCTGCGCGGCTGGTCTATCACACGCGTCAAATAGTAGGACACTCACAGGGTTGGCGAGGATACCACCAAAGCTGCCAGTGTCGTACCCAAAGAGCATGTCGCCCACGAGCAGACAGAAGCAGGAGAACAGAAGCATCGGGGTCACCACGGACCACGCCGAGGGCGATGTCGCCATCGTAGCAGGAGTAACTAGAGGCCTGAGTGGTGCGCGTTCCTTTCGGAGGCAGACAGACTGGTAGCAATGCAGATCTGAATTGGTGCATCTGGAACGCTGCGGCGGGGAACTCGCTTGTCTTATATCCAGAGCAGGTAGCTAGACGCGACATCTGCAAGAACCCCCATGGGGTCCCTGGATGAGGTGAGGAAGTGAGGAAGTGAGCAAGTGAGCATTCCGAGCGAGAAGGAAGTCTGGAAGTCTGAACTCTCGGAGCGACATCTCGCTCGGAGCGGAGTGGGTCCGAAAAAGGGGCCAGAGCCTTCCGAGCGAAATGGTCTTCGCACCCTTTCCAACCTTTCGTCTACCATCTCAAATCTTACCTTCTCTCGTCTAACTGGAGCGAACGCGGCGCTCGCACACTGCTCCTAGCGTACTCTTCGGCATGCAGTCCACGAGTCCAAGTCCCAAGATCCTCGACCCCGATAACTGGTCTCACATCCTTCTTCAAGCATAAACTTTCCGAGCAAGACTTTGAGAAGAGGCTTACTGCGTTGCGCAATTAGACAGGGGCAGCTCGATCGTGCTTAATAGATTCTCATCACTCGCCCAACTTGGCGACATCTTCAGTTCAGTTTCGCGCATATTCTGACCATAGAAAGCCGCAAGACCGCTCTCCTGGAAATTTCCAATATGAACGGTGGTCTTAATGGGATGCCCAAGCGGCCCAACTTTCTCTTTATCCTTGCCGACGACCTTGCAGGTGCTCTCCCTCCATCAGGCTGAGTACAGCTGACCATATCGTGCCAGGGTTTCTCCGATATAGGCTGCTATGGCGCCGAGATTCACACTCCCCATATCGACCGCCTGGCCGCCGAGGGCATCCGTATGCTAAATGTCCATGCCGCTGCGGCTTGTTCGCCCACACGCGCAATGCTCCTTAGTGGGACTGACGCGCACCTCGGTGGGCTTGGCGTGTTGATAGAATACAAGAATAGCGAGAAAGGGGCAAGGCGATGGTCCGGTAAAGCAGGGTACGAGGGATACCTGAACAATGACGTGGCGACTTTGCCTGAGATCCTGACGGATCATGGATATTTCACCGTCATGTCGGGCAAGGTCAGTCCTCTCCTTGGTCCGTGTCGTTCGTTCTGCTTTCTAGTTGGATAGTCTGCACGTTTGGCCGACTTTTTCTTCCAGGCTGACCAACCATTAGTGGCATCTGGGGTTGCGTGCCCGCCAGGGGCCTTGGGAACGTGGTTTCCAGAAGGCCTTCGCTATGCTTCCCGGGTGTTGCAATCATTACGGTTGGGAACCAGTGAAGGAATCCTTCCCGGTTGGTGGTCGGCCTGTTCACGCTGAAGAGGGGAAAAGAGTTGAAATGTGAGTTGAAGATGCCACAGATTATTGTCACCATTCTGGCATGATGTCGGTGAACATGTATGCTGAGCTGAACTGACCGTGTCCTTTTTCCCAAGACCTCCCAACATGACAGAAGATCCTGAGGGCTTCTACTCGACCGACTACTACACTAATCGGTTAATTAATTTCCTCGAAGGCCGGTCTGAGGTCGAGGCTTCGAAACCTTTCTTTGCTTTCTTACCGTACACCGCACCACATTGGCCCTTGCAATGCCCCAAGGCACAACGTGACAAGTGAGTTTCGGCCCCAGGAGAACCTTTGTTTCTAGCCCTACTACCATGTTTTGCTGGTCATGGCCGAACTGATTCTAGCCTCAAAGGTACGCGGGGATGTACGATGATGGCCCATACGCCTTGAGGGATCGCCGACTGAAAAAGCTTGCTGAGATGGGAATCATAGACAAGTCCGTTGTCCCGCACAAAGTAGAGACAACCACGCAAGGCGTTGGGGAGTGGGATGATCTCACGCCGGAGGAGAAGAAGCTCTCAAGCAGGGCGATGGAAGCATACGCTGGGATGGTGGACTCTATCGACGTCAATGTTGGCAAAGTGATAGATTACTTGAAGAAGACGGGAGAATATGGCAACACGTTTATCGTGTTTATGAGTGACAATGGGGCGGAGGGTGCTGCGTGAGTACTCGGTTTGCCTTTAGAAGTTTTGTTTTTGGGCTGACCATGGTAACCGTGGGAATGCAGACTGGAAGCCGTCCGTGAGTTGAGATATCCTCCCCGAGTTACTGCATGGAGTATACACCAGCTGACTGTCATTTCGCAGCGGTCATGGGCGAGAACATAAAACGCGCCATCCACCAGTACTATGACAACTCTTACGAGAATATTGGCTCCTGGAACTCGTTCACCTGGTACGGTCAGTCCCCTCTAGGACAGGACATGAGCTGACATTGCAACTCCAGGCTCGGTCCGCTTTGGGCTCAAGCGTCAACCGCTCCATCGAGGTTATTCAAATGCTACCCGTCCCAAGGCGGGATCCTGGTGCCCTGCATCGTGAAGCCTCCTGCCAGAACCTTTCTGCCCTCATTCTCTCCCGGCTCCTTTAATCGTTCTTTTGCAACCGTCATGGATTTCGCCCCCACGTTTCTCGAGCTCGCCGGAGTGGGCCTACCCACTGCTTCAGAGAGAAGAAAGCGGACACGCCTGGGCGGAAGCATTGCTCCACGCAAGATGACGACTTTTCGAGGAAGAAACGTGCATGCCATCCGAGGAATCTCGTGGGTGCCATTTTTCTCCCGCGACGAAAGAGTGGAGGACAATGAGATGTGGGCAATTCACTCGTCTTCTGAGCCTGTTGGGTGGGAGCTCTTTGCGCGTGGCGCATTGCGGAAAGGGGATTGGAAGATTGTCCACTTCTCTAAGGAACGGGGAGGTGCAGGCGAAGGCGATGAGGGCTGGGAGCTTTTCAACGTGGTTGACGACCCGGGAGAAACAAAAAACCTGGCCGAGATTGAGCCCACAAAACTGCAAGAGCTATTGGCTTGTTGGGATGAGTATGTAAGTGAGTGTGGCATCGTATGGGGACCAGTGGCATTGGCTCCAGGGTTGGGGAAGGACGATGCTCCAGAGCTGTGGGAAGATGAGCTAGAATTGCAAAAGTCGTGGATGGGAGCTAGAGGAGGAGAATGTCCTGTGCCTTGTCAATGAGCGAGATAGCTTTTCGGGTTGGGGAAGGAACGAATTGTGGATAGATCCCTTGCACGTAATGGTATTTCAACGCCATTACAACTAGGAGGCTTACTCGGCAGTTTTCGTGCGCACATTGTATGTATAGAATCTCTAGTTCACTCAGCTCGCCCATGTATAGACTGACATTATTCACCGAGTCAATTGTTCGCTACACTTTGGTAGCAATCAGACGCTCAAAGGCAAATCATGAGATGGGGCACTTGAAATAGACATCTTGATCACACAATGTGGCAGACGATGTACAGTTTGATTTGGGGAAGGATCGCATCCTGCCCACATATTGTCAATTCTGGTTAAAATTGGGATAGAGACCTCGTAAGGTCATCAGCCTGGTCCCATGGGAGCCCTGATTCATCCAAGAGCCATGAATAGTCGAGCGAAAACGCTTGATCGGCGTTTTCGGATTGGGCGAGTCCCCACCAGGGCTGCGCGGTCTGCGCTACGCCAGCCCCTTCACTCTGCGCTTCAGACAGATTGAGCGCATTTGAGGCAGAGTATGGTAGCGAATGGGCCACCGAAGGTCCCCTAATAGCGTGCCGGACGTCCATCGCATCGAGGCGTGGTGAAGGCGCCGTCGAGGGTGGTGCAGTTTCTTCACCTACCTTGTACTCGAGTAAAGCCTCGTCGCACGCCGCGTTGGTGGACGACTCAGCGCCTTGACGAATCCGTTCGAGCTTCGCCCATCGGAAGTCACGGAAATCGTACTCAGCAGCATCTTGTCCAACTAGCCGATACTCGCTATCGACAGAGTTAGCGAGAATCCGCTCACTCCAGAGCTCAGGGCACAGGCCACAGACCTTCGAAATGCGACAAAGTCGATTTGGTTTAGGAGGTGCGCAAAGTCACATCGTAGAAGCCGAAGAACGGCTTCGATATGCTTCATTTGAAGCGTCAGCTCTTGTGTCTCGAGACGGCTGTCTCACTTACCAGCTGCTTGACAAACTCGGATCGATCTGCAATGTTCCGAACCACAGTGAGCAGGTGAGGGATCGCCTCCATCAGCTCGGGCGCTTTGGGATCGACGAAAGGATCTGTCTCAGCCAAGCGACGTGGCTCGAATAGAAGGACTGTCGCACTTCAGTCAGCAGTGTTTGTGCAATGACTAGGATGAGAGATCATTGTACTTTCTAGGGCGACATATGCCTGGACCCCAACCTGTGGATCAAAGCTGATATCCGCCTTTAGACCCTCTGAGATAAGGCCAGCTATTGGTAGAGCATGAGAAATCCTGTTCCGCCGCACGCCGGCTATGAGCTCTGATTTGGCCGAATCCCGCTGATATATTTGTAGGGCAGCTCGACCAATGACGATGAAAAGGTTATGGCGTAAAATGTGCAGGAGAATAAATGTGATCAGTCGATCACGATGCAGAAACATATTGTCGGTGTTGAAATGAAACCGCTTGGGCAACGCGGTAATAACCTCTTCTACATCAGCCTCAATGGCGGCCAGCTCCTCCATTAGCCGTTCAACGGTCTGTTCACTGTGAGAGGCGCGAAAGGCAAAATGTAATGCCCGACGACGAGCGGCTGCTGTTCGAAGGAGGTATGCTGACATATCAAGAGGCGCACGCTCGGGATTATCAGCATTAGCGTTAGTAGGGTTGTAGAAAAGCGGCTCAGTTATGACCGTCTCGTCGGCTAAGAAGCTCGCTTGGTCGCAGGGAAGCTGGAGACGATAAGCCTTCTCATCGACAATGTGAAAACCGTATCGACCTCCATCGACGATGGTATCGACATAAAAGGTAGACCAGGCAACGCGTCGGAGGGCTTCGCAGGAGAGAAGGGGTGATAGTCGCAGATTTGAGGCGAACTTTGTAGGGTAGGTCCGGTCGAACGTTTGCAAGGACATCATTTGCATCATTCTGGATGGATTATCAATTTCGACACATCCGAGAAGCAGTTATACCGCTAGCAAAAATTTGCTCTTTGGCCGCTCACCTTGTGCAGTTGGCACCTAACAACCAGGCAGATGTAAAGTTGCCACGATTTAGATCGTAGTGTTGGGCAAGGAGGAGAGCCTATTTCAGGATTAGTGATTCTACTTCAGGCACAAAACGAGAAGTAGCTCGAGCTCCTATCTCTTCGAATAGCAAGCAAAGAGTATACCATCGCGTTGCCACGTACCATTAGCTGGACTACTCCAAAACCTTTATAGATACGGGGAAGAAGGCTCTCGATCGCCGTGCTTGCCCAAGCATCTGCTCTCGCCAGGTTCTCTGGAGTGGGCTTGGCGGCAAAGCTGTGGATGGATTATGAGTGAGTATCGTACCTTGAAAAATTAGCCACTCACCGCATCGCGCTGGCAATCATCATAAGGGTCAACTCGCGAGGGGCTTTGCCCTTGGCGAGAAGGCGATTGAAGTGGAACTGGTGGATAAATGCAAAGAACCCGAAATCTGAGGGACGAAAGATTAGGGACTAGTTTCCTATATAAGAGATTACGACGGCATCAAGCTACTCACGGTGAACAGAGGAAAAGTAGAGCCGGACGAGATCCTCGAGTTCTGTTCCTGTCGGCAGCTGTCCCCTAGGGACTGAATCCGATAGCACATTGCTAGCCGGCACCATGGGCTCTGGGCCATGGCCTTGTTGGGTAAGAGGTGAATGGTGCTCGTGCTCCATGTCAGAGCCACTGACTTGCGAGCGAAGGGTAGACGTGGAGGGCAACAATGGGCGGGGAGAAAAGACTGTTGACCTGCTATTGTCGTTTGATGGTAGGGGAAGAGGCCCTGATAGGACTGTTTCAACATCCTTCTGGGATCGCACGCATTCGATAGCCATGTCGCTGCACTTGACACATACATCTCGTATATCCCCGACGCATTTGAGCTGCGTTCGGACATTGTTAGACGGATTGGATGGACAAGGCTCAATGTTCACGAGCTGGGGAAAGGCGGAGATATAAATACCTTTTTGTCCCTACAATTTTCGCAAGCTGTGGCATTAGGCCTCCTTGAGATTTTTGCTCTCTTGTCGTCGGGGCCAGGCCATGCACAGACCCTCTGGCCTTTGAGACACTGAGTACACTCGGGCTTCGTCTCGTCACATTTCACCTACAGCAGTCATCCAGTTCTGTCTAGCCTGCGGACAGTAGAATGTGGATATAATGACTTACCCTCCTAAATCTGCATGTGCGACATCCCGTTCGCGTTCGACGGATCACAAGTTTGGGTTTTGGGGAGGAGTCTTGGCGGGGAGAGGTGTTAGGAGGATAAAGTGTAGCACCATCAGAGTGGCCAGATGGTGGAGACCATGTCTCTAAGTTATTCATCTCCAAGCTAGCAGAATGAGGAGGCTCGGAGAAATGAAGGCATGATATGAGGCTGACGGGTATGAGGAAGAAGGGATGGCGAATAGAACCTTCTTGTTCACTGTGTTGGGTCTAGTCGGATTTAGGGCCCTTGATAAGAATAGCAACTTTGCCGAGCCGGGCCTCCACAGTGCGGGCTGAACATCGCTTACATAGCTCGACCAGTTGAACCCTACCGAGCACTTGCTCCGAGCGAAGTCCCTGCTGCTCCGAACGAGAAGTTTCCCAAGCCCATCACTCCGGAGTTCGCGCGGTCTCATGCTGCATAGCATAATGAGTGAACAGAGCAGATACACGCAAACCACGGCGACAGCGAGCGATGCTGAGGGGAAGTCGCAAAGAGGTGAGATGAGGCCAGCTCTTGACGATGATCGTGTCTTGCGCTTGCTGCTAGAGGCCGACTGCCTCAGGATACGGCATTCAGGTCTCCATTTTTCACATGCCAAGCCACTGAGCCAGTAACTCCTCTCTAATGGTAGGGTCGCCATAGGTCAAGTCACCAAATAAGCTGTTCCTATATATGTCTGAAATATAGGTACTTCGTGCTTGGGAAAAACGACAGTTCCTCGTCCTAACCAAATCAGCAAAGATCGATGCGGAATTCAGTGCGCAGACAACAATTTGCTCCGTGAGGGAAGCCGAAAGACATATCACTTGCAAGGCGTATCCTTGCTCAAGATGGTATGTGGCTGTGATGAATGTACGGATACCTTACCAACCGATCTGGGCGAGTCCGGGTCCAAGCCTTCAATCGCGGACGTCCACGTTGCGCCTCAGGCAGCAGCCCACTTGGTCTTAGCCTTGTCAGTGGCTCACCACTTTCAGCCTCGCCATGGTCTTGAAGATTCCTGCTGTTACAATTATGGTAAAATATCAGCATGGAAACAACTGAGCGACGTTCATGATAGTCTTTCCGATCAATCGCCACCTCGGCCGCATAAATTCGACGCTCAAAAGTCCCCAGTAAGATGGACCCGATTACCGCTGTCCAAGTTGTGGGCAGCGCTCTAGGATTTGTCGACTTTGCCACCCGGCTCCTTTCTTGCATCTACGATGTCTACAAGTCACCAGAGGGGCTGACATCGCGATACGTGCAGGTGTCTGTCATTTCTAACGACTTGCACTGCACTAGCAAGTACTTGCAAGAAAAACTTGCCTTGCTGCCCTCAGAATACAGTAATGACAGCGATCGAAAAATAGGCGAACTGTGCATGCAGTGCATGGACATTGCTAAAGAGGTGCAAGAGACCCGGGGAAAGCTCCGTGCTCGAGGCACGACCAAGTTGGACTATGCGAAAAGTTCTTTCGTTGTTGCCGCAAAGGCTTTCCTCCCCCGCAGCCGTGTGCAAGAGCTGGAGAAGATACTAGAGCAAATTCGAGCAGAGATCGTAATGACACTGATCGCATCTCTTTGGTGAGTGAATATTCTGCATACGTGGCTTATTGCTAAGCCGTTTTAGGGAGGACGGTAATAGTATTCGAGCGATCCTGGACACTATCCTCCTCACCTTGAATGGCACGGATCGCCGTGTCGAATCAATATCTAAAGACCTCAAGGGACTGACACTGCCGAACTCGGCCGAAACAAGATTAAAGCAGAAGATTTTTGTGCAGCATCTCTGGGACGCCAACTGGCAACCAAAAGGCTTAAGTGTTCCTAACCACTCAGAAGACCCTGCAGATGATCAAATCCCGCAGCAAAATATACTGAGACAGATAATATCGAGCCTCTCTTTCGACGAAATCAATAATCGCCAGAGCATGATTCAACCAGCTTACGCCAAAACGTTCAAGTGGATCTTTCCATGCACTGACGATCAACATCACAAACCCGCATCACTGCCCGCAATGTCCACGTGGCTAGAGAGTCAGGATGACTCAATATACTGGATCACTGGCAAACCAGGGTCTGGCAAGCCTACATTGATGTCCTACATCACCACGAATCCGTCCCTCGTGCCTCATCTCCGTATATGGGCTCGAAACCTGCCCCATCTGGCTGCCTGGTACTACTTCTGGGATGCTGGTTCTGTTTTGGAAAAATCCAAGGAGGGCCTTCTGCGAAGGCTTTTGTGGCAGTGCATCGGGTCCAGGCCAGATATAGTGGAGAAGGTGTGCGGTCGTCGGTGGCTCGTTGCACGTGCCTTCCCAGATGCAGAGCTCCAACTCCCGGAATGGGACTTGACAGAACTTGAGGAAAGCTTCCGGTCCCTACTATTGTTAAGTGGTCAGATGTTTCGACTTGCACTATTCATTGACGGCCTCGATGAATTCAGTGGAGATCATCGAGAACTCATGGGGTGGATACACGAAATCAATCAGAACTACGATGTGAAGATATGCGTTGCAAGCAGGAATTGGCCCGAGTTTTCGGACTTACTTTCTCAAGGTCCTCACTTGAAAATGGAAAATCTAACCCAAGCCGATATACAAGCTGATGTGGCTGGCAGATTCGCAGAATGTGGTGGATTCAGGGACCTCCAACCAATTTACCCTTCTGAATGCCAAAGCCTGCTGGACAACATGGTCCAGAAGGCGCAAGGCGTCTTCTTATGGGTGCGCCTGGTGGTGAAGAGTCTGACCGTCTGGCTTGACAAGAGGAGACTTGGAGATTTGAAGGAGCTTCAGAATATTCTAGATGAACTTCCCACCGAGATGGATGCCCTCTGCACCCGCATCTGGAACAGCATCGATCCTGTCGATATTGGAACCACCGCCCGACTATTCCGGCTTTTAGAGGCCACTTTTTTGCGCCTCGAAGGCATGTCTGTGTGGCTGGCATTAGGCAACCTCATCCCACGACAGACGGATGGTACCATCTCGGAAGAGACGGCTGAACACATCAGGAGATATGTACGACAAGGTTTGGATATGCACACACGAGGGATCCTCGAGATTACCCCGCGTGGAATTGTCCATGTTTTACACAGAAGTGCCGCGGATTGGCTCGCAAAGCCAGCGATGTGGAATGATGTTTGTTCGAAGTCACCACTGGGATTCGATCCCCTTCTTGCCCTTCTCAAAGTTGGGGTGGCGCGACTATCTGATAAAATGCGATTGAGGACGGATCACCCCACGATAATCGCTCGACACTTCTGGCACATCGTCACTATTTATATGTGCCATGGTACCTGCGTTGGGGCCAGGCCCCAGAACGAAAAAGTGCTCATCGAGACACTCGACGAGCTTGATTCAACTGCCACAAGAATCGCGAACAAGATCGATCTAAGCAACTCAGACCCCCTCATCAAGGGGCGACCAGGTCCTGATTTTGTCGGAGGGCCATGCTACAATCCTTGTCACTGGGTAAACAGAGATTTGTGGTTTATGCCTTCCGACAAGCCCAGGAAGGAGTACTGTTTTGTGGGGTTGGCTTCTCAGTTCAGCATCCTGCCCTACGTAAAGGCTAAGCTATCGCAGAACCCAGACCTTCTAAAAACAAACTCAAAGCGTGTCTCGCTCCTTGAAAGCGCTGTCTTCTGCTCCCAACCCCCGTCAGTAATCGGCTCGAAATCTATATATGGAATGCAAATTGTACGACGACGCTTCGAAACAATCAAGTACCTACTGGGCTGCGGGGCGTCACGTCGATGGGGACTGGCTCCCAGTACGACGTACTTCTTCAAGAGTTCACTTTGTAAGCATCAGATTCTAGGAGCGTTCCCATACTCTGTAGGAAACCCCGAAGAGATCAGGTTTTACAAACAGATTAACAATCTTTTTGAACAGCACATGCGGAGAACCCGTGTCATTCGTTTTATATTCCGACACCGAAAAGCAGTAGCAGCAGAAGCCTCGGAAAGCTGGGAGTTCCGTACCACGGAAGACGAAACTAAGGCAAGGAGGGAGTCATTGATGAATGTGACGGAGTTGTGAATGAGACGAGCTTCAAAAAAAGGTACAAGGAAAACCATACGGCGAAAACTGAAACAAGGGAAGCTAGGGTACGAAGAGATCTTGATTGGCGTACGTCTTTCTGGAATCATCTTAGCAGAAAAGGCATCAAGTCTCAAAAATGAGAACGGGCGGAATGGGGGCAAAAAAGAAAAAAGAAATCCGCGCTCAGATATGTTATTGTTGTGGTGGCGGTTGTGAGCATCTCTGCCGACTGAAAAAAGACAGATCAATCGCGGTCTATCTGCTCTCAAGACAACAGAGTGTTGCTCACTCGACAATACCATTAATCACCAGTGACTTGATGAGCAAGCCGCTGCTCGAAGATTCAGTTGCCTCGGGGTCGACACCGACATTTGAAGAACGACACCCGGGGAGGAATCAGATGAGAAAATTTTCAAAAACAAGTATGATCCTTTCCAAGGAAGACAATGTTCAGAGTCCTCAAAAGCAAGCCGCTGGAGCATTCAGAAGACCTGTGAGGCCGGCAACAACGCTTGGAAGCGACAATTGGGGGGGAGGAGCAATGAATCAGAGGCCGAAAACGTCCACGAACGGCCACGAAGTTTCGAAGACGACGATCCGCATTCAACAATAAGAAAAACCCTCGGGCTTAGCCGATATTGATTGAGGAAATACTGCGTGGAGAGAACGACCCTACCCCCGTCTTCGGGTTCCCCTTGGTCCGAGGGAAGATGAAAGCCCGTTCTTTCACCGGATACAGATTCACCCAAAGTTGCTGAAAAGGGATACGACTGAGGCTACGACTACGAGGAGCGTATAACGTATGACGAACGAGCATCCCGGACGGACGGACGGATGGATGGAGGGATGGACGACGGATTGGAGCCCTAGAGTTAGGACTCAAAAAAATATCGGGCAGTATTATCAAAGGTTGGTACCAGGGCGATTTCTACCGGCATGCTACTAACGGGCTCGTCATTATGCGTCCCAATGCGTCCTGATACAGCGTCTCGTGATATCTTCACATCCAGTGGGACGCATTGGTCGACCTTGGAGCGGATTGCGAACGAGAATAATGACCGCTCTAGGCTGTTCGTCTGGAGAGATTGAATGGTTTGTTATTTCCTCATTGTAGTGGGTATCGATCGTTTCCGCAACATACAAGATAAACACACTGCGATTGCCATACCCGTACAAAACCTCCAGGGAGGTAATCTAGGTCCCAACACCAACCGACTGACCGACCCTAGGTACCTAGTATGCTTCCTTCTCGATTTCACGAGGCTTCAATTTCAATACAGCTCGGCACCGCCGAGCCGAAGTGTGTTGTAACCGATCCAACGGTTCTTTTGGGTTAGCTGAAACAGTCATCCACTCATGTCGTTGATCTTTTGGCCCCGAACGCCGTTCTCCAACCCCATCTAATGAAGACCATATGTCGAAGGACTCTCCCAAATGCGCCATCCTGTTGGTTTCACAAATCCAACGTGGTTTACCAGAACAACCGCCTCTGCATATCATTCGTGAAAAAGCCTGTATCGACCTCCATCGGTCCACTCTCCACGCCCATCGCAGTGCCCATACCGGTCATGCCCAGGCCATTATTCAAGGTCTGCGCCTGCGCCCAGCTTGAATCGGCGAAACTCTGCAGCAGTAGGGCTTCCGCACCAACACCCACGCCATTGACGTTCGGACTTGAGGTATGGTTGTTGGGCGAGCTGTTGTTGGACAAAAATGACAGTGATTGCCAATTGGGCGTCGATGTTTGGCTGGGACCTGTTTGTTGTTGCTGGGTGCTTGAGGTTGTGGGGATGGTTGGCTGCGAGAGAGAATGTTGAGGTACGTTGACCGGAGTGCTCGCGCCACTGCGGTATGTGTCGTGGCTCATAGAACGGAAAGGACCGGACTGAGAATGGCCGTGGCCATGGCGAGAGAGATCAACCGACCCAGGACGTGAGTGGCTCGCCGCATTCAAAGCGTGGAGGGGGGTATGCGAGTGACTTTCGTCCATGGAATTTCGGAAAGAGGGCTGGTTTTGTCCATTGGTGCCGGAATGTAACGCGCAGTCTTCCTGCCATTTGCGGATGTTTTCGACGGTATCAAGAGGGAACGATTCCCAGTATTCAATCCCTGTCTTCTTGTTTAAGACAGGGGGACTACTCCTCAAAGGGTGGGGCCCAGGAGACGGTGAATCACGGGTTTTCAGGCCCAGGATGTTGAGGTTAGTTGTTGAGGGACTTGAACTGAGAGAATCGGTGGCACATTTTAGTTGTTCAGTTGAGATGATGGGCAGAAGGGCAAGAAGAAGCGATTCGGCTTCATGAAGACGATGCTCGAGGCCTTCAATATAGCCCTTAGCTGGACCTCTAAGACGAAGCGTTAGTACCATGCGGTGAGCTGAAATGAGAGCTGTGGAAAGGTGCTTGCAAGAGAAGACAAGGGACTAGGCTAGGCTGGGCTGCGCTTACCTTTTTCTTTGTTCAGGCCATGTACACTGAATGCCTGCAGCATGGCATTGTGAGCAGCCGGACCTGTCAAAGGGCACACAGTCAGTTCCCTTACCCTCAAAGCATCGTCTGATGACTGCGCAAAGTGAAGTACATAAACAAAGAGCCGATTCTCCAGTCGCGCGCCCATGTGGAATGTTTTGTTTGGTTGGTCGACATGGTCAGACTGATAGACAATTGGTGGAGGTGGTATCAGAGCTAGACCCTGGCTTCAAAAATCATTGTGCCAAAACGATTTAGCCAACAAAGATGTCCCCGCGAACAACGGACTGGAGATAAGATCCTGGGGTAAGAAGGAACTTTTCAATTGGATTCCTGGGTATAAAAAGGAGGTGTCGTCCTCCCTGTCCGTAGAAATGCTTCCTGATCCCACTTGGTGGAAGAAAATGAAGGTCGGCACTCACCGATCACCGCTGCACTGTCAACACAAACCATGTTAGCATACGTTTTCGGATATGATGGTGTTTCAAGATGATAATCCCTGACCTTATGCTACCTTTTACAGTAGAGGCAGAGGTAGGTCTGGATCTCAACGGTTGAATATGAGGCTGGAGCCGTGATGGATTACGCACCTTTTGTTTCTTTGTACGGCACCCGTTGCAGGCACCACTTATCCGAGTGGGCATGTCGATTATAGTGAGAGAAGAATGATGTTCGGTACACACAACTTTGGAGTGCTGGATGGATGGTGATTGACGAGACCGTGGGCTTTTAACAGACTTAAAGATGATGTCGAAGTGCAAGACGTTGGTTCAGGGTTTTTCTGTGATGGAGTCGGGTTCTGTTGGCCTTCGCTGATGGGGTTGATTATGGTAATCTCAAGGCAAGAGAAGTTTCGTTGGACAAAGTCGGAGCAAAGCGGAGTCAGGTGAATAACCTTTGTAATGGTCGAATTGCGTAACCGTATGGACGAATGGTAGGGTGGGCTGTTGCTTTTTCGTAAAGAAGGGAATGCCTGACTAAGTGTGTGCGTCGCCGAGAGACACGAATTGGACCGGCGTGGAACGCAGCTGCAGTCTGGGGGACGATGCCCCGATACTAAGTCCGCAGGAGTTCTTCTTGGATCACGTTGATATATACAAGATCTGAAATTCCGTAACAAGCCAGCCAGGAGGATTGCCAATGATGTCTCGGCAGCTCTCCGTGTACCTGTCTGGTACGTTGTTTGTTGGGTTTGTTAACAGATCTAGTAGTTTGTGGCGCTGCTGATGAGTTTCTCGGTCTCTTGTATCCGAGGCAGGTTTGGGAAGGGGTCCTTGGTTGGTAGATAGAAGACGCGAAGTGGATTGATGAGCCGGGATATTGGTGGTTGATATAGAGCCTTGACTCAAGTACTCCGTTCCAGATGGTGTATCAGGATGCCGTTCTTGCGCTGAACGATGTGATGAGACGCAATTTCCGCACACCCGTGTGAAGTTTGTTCCGTCCCTTATGTCACCGAGAATTTGGGTTGAAAACAAGTCTTGGTATATACACGAGGAGGAATTGGATCACAACCCAGGGATCATGTCCGGGCAATAGTTCGGACGCAGATGGTAACAGCAGATGCGTGGCTTTCTCGGGGCGGCGGGCGCTGATCAGGGCGCGAGCTTACGCTCCGATATGGGCGTTTCTTCTGGAGGATTGAACACGCGGATATCGGTCGGGCGGGGCTGTGGCGGCGTACGATTGGTTCGTCTGCTGGGGGGAGGAAGGTTTTGCTCAGGGAGAGAAAGACGAGATCCGTTGCGTCATAAGTCGTAGGGGTTGAGGGTGGTTGTGAGACACGATGGAGATGGAGGAGATGGCTCTTGATAGGAGGCGGTGGGAGAGAGTGGGAGCAGAGAGTAGGTGGCGGTCTGTGCAAGGAACGGTTGGACGAGGCGAACAGGGCCAAAAAGGGCGCATAAGAAGTTGAGATGGAGCAGAGACGAAGAGGAATGCGGTGCCGCGAGCCAATCTGAACTGAAGGAGGTGAAGGCTGATCCGGCGCCATCAGAAAGGACCACGCAAGCCCCTGGGAAAGGCAACTGACCTAGAGGTGCTGGTGGTGTAGGAGGTCCAGGAGAGACGCCAGAGAGACCATGTCCGCTAATATCAGCGCTGACTCACGGGGAAGATGGGTGGTCGGTGGGGTGGAGGCCAGGCTGAGAGTGCGCAACAAGGGGAATTGAAGATGGAAGTTTCCCAACCAACCTAAGCCTGATGGAAGAAAGCGTGCCGGAAAGTGAGCGATGCAGGAACAGTAGGAGACGCAGAGGCGACAGCAAAAGCAAAAGCAAAGGCAAAAACGCAATTGCTTCGTACCCAGTACAGTGGGTTGCCCAGAGGCCATGGCGTTGGGATGGTGAGAAGGTCGAAGTCAGCGTGGACAACGTATCGCTGGGGGGCAGTTTGTCACTGTCTCTGAGGGGCCTGAGGGGCCTACTGGGTAGGAGCCTGAAGGGACGCCGGTGGGTGGCTCTTTTTGGTCTTCCCACGCCTGGAGTAACGTTCTGCCGGGCACCACCATGTCCCCGAGAGTTGTCTAGGCTTGCTAGGCTTGCTATTCGTGAAGGGGAACCCAAACCTAATTGTTCACGGCGGACCCCTAACTATCTTGGTCCAAGTCCAAACAAGCACCGACGTCATGCCGCTGGCGGCCCCCCCTCAAATCTTCCACACGCCCCTCAATTTCAATCTTCCATTCACTGGACTTCCATCACGTACTGTAGGTACGTATCTCGGTCTCCCCTTTCCACCAACAACTACTCCCGTCGAGGTATTCATGGTGTCCGTTACGAACTAACCGGCGTACTTGATACCCAGTCCTCGACCAAGCATGTGACAATCAGATAATGTCACCCAACATCCTCCGCCCAACCTGGCCGGACTTCCGTCGCCAGGGAAGATCAAGGACAGATAGTCTCCAAGATCGCGGATACAGCCGGGAACTGGGAATCCCCAAATGGTCACCAGAGTTTGAGGACCAGCGAAGAACTTCCTGAAGCAAGATAGATTCATAGTAACCTGGGCTGTGGCAACTGTTCACGTTTCTTGTCTCGGGCAGATCCCAAGTCTCAGTTGCTCTTTGCACTGTGTAGCAACCGACATCATCCATCGACTCCTTCAAATCAAAAGCTTGGCCCTCGCTTCGAGCGATATCCTTTCCTGGATGTCTGTCAGCTTGCTCACTCGCGCTCCTCGTTCTGCAGGGCATCACCAACCAGCAATGTTGACATTTTGTCCTTCTTCTTGCGAGGCTCCGGCCTTTAGTCAGGCTCCAAGACTCTTGAATTGGTTATCGCCAAATCGATGTCTTATAGCCGTTGCCGTTCTTGGGCTGATATGGCGAATAGAGGTCTCGAGGGATTTCCACCGACTCCTTGACCCCAAAGGCGACCCCAAACGCCACGTCTCAAGTTTACGGGCTCAGACGGATTGAATATCCAACATCGAATTGTCACGGCTTCGTATGTTGTCTCGTATCGGAGAACTCATCTTCCGAAAAATGGCATAAGTGGACGTTGTCTGAGTGGAGTCGGATACTGTCCTGTTGAGTTCCTAGTTGGCATCTGAAAGTATTGGAAGTCATTGTCCTTCAGTTGGAAGCATTCGCTGTCGAGCGGAAGTGTCGCTTGCTAATCTGTTGCATTTCGGATGCCGAATGCCTTATTTGTCATTGTCTCTCCCTGCTCTTTCCTTTTCCCTCACGTCCTGGGCGAGTGTGGAGGCACGATCAGGTTGTAGAACATCCAGATGAAAGTCCGGATATGTCTTTGATGTGTTCGTCGGTGGAAGCGGATGTGGCAGACCATTGCTTAGTGTGGGATGTCCTGTTGTGGGATTTCTGCCAGAGACGACGGACAATCTTGTCTGACGAGACAAGTTATATAGCGAAAATCGTGACGAGATGCGAGGACTCGGTGCGGTGGTAATGGCGCAAGATTTGGTTGAGTGTGGCAGTGGCTGGTGGTGATGGTCGCTTCCCTCGTGAATCGTTGGGAAGAAGCGAGCTCGCTGGAGATGATATTCTGGCAGACCTCTTTCCATTTCCTGTTCTTTTTCACGTCTGCCTGTCTCGAGTGACCCGAGGTGCATCCAAGAGGCTCAAAATATTCTCACCTGAACATCAGCGGCCGCAGAGTTGTGGCCTTCTATTGTCTCACGACAGTCGTAAGATGCAGCCAAATCAGGGCTACAGTCAAGTTGAAAACAAGGAATAGCGCTTGCATTGCGCAAGCGCCCATTGGACCCTTTCCCCAGAATGCTTGCGTGGCTTGAGCACACACCAAGGACCTACTTGGTATAATTGAGAGAGCAATGGACGCTGCGGTGGGGGTAGCTGAATGGTAGCTGAGAGTCCACGCAATGTAGACCAGGGCAAAGACTAGGGTTGACCAAGGCCACGAGCCACATGAGGCTTGGACATTCGTGGCGTGCAGCCTCTCATCGAACAGGGTGACTGCCGATTGCCTGGCAAAATGATCAACCGGAACCTCTCTATCGAGTGCGAGCCACCACGTCTCCACTACGCAACGAATGCGCTGGGGACTGCATAACTTGTCCATCCATTTGTGCTTAAGCCAGGGGACGTTGAACTATCAGCGACGATCTTTGCACTTGCATCAGGCCCTGCGCGAGAGGAGCTAAGGAGGGAGGTGAGGGTGTGACGAGATAGCGTAGGGCCATCAGGGGCCACCACGAAGACCGAAACCCTATTTGCATCCAAAAAACCACCTGCTAGTAAAATCGTAGCGCTGCGACTGCAACGAAGTCAACAAGCCCGAGGCGAGCAGTCAGGGCCACATATTCAATCAGCCTCTAGCAGGGCTTCGGTCCTTTCGTCCCCAAAGCGCGCAAGGGACTGCACATCCAGCTAGCGATATGAGCGGGTAAGCTACTTACTCGAGCGAGACAGACCCTGATTTTGACGTACTTGTATTGTCCCGACGGGATATCGGTACATGGCAAGATACCTAGCCACATGCCAAGTAGACACATGGGTGCTACTACCTAGCGAGCTAGGTATACTCGGTACGAATACTGTACCGTACTGCACTGTACCTACTGGGTACTGTGGCATGTCCACTCAGACATACCCAGTAGGAGAGGGGAGGGCGAACGACGCCCTTGACGCGGCACAAGGCTGAGGCAAGGGGCTGAACGTTGAGGCTTATGGAAACACACTCTCTCACTCACTGTGCGGCACTCGTGGGATGCGGTTCCCAAAGCCCCCCCACTCTTATTAACAAGACACACAACCCCCACGTAGCATCGACACGGCAGAATCTGATTTGCTTTCGACAAGGCTACGTTCCATTCCGTCTCCATTTCTTCCCGATGGTTTGGGTCGTGGCCTGATCTCTCCTTCTCCCTCATCTGCCTCTTTCTGGGACGACGTCATAAATTACCGGGGTTTGCACGACCGAGATGTGATGTTGGGATGTTGGTGTGGGCATCCAGGGTCTTAGGGTGTTTTGGTTAGCTAGTCATCCCCAGTCCCCATCGTGCAAAGTATCAATCTAGGTATTCCCACGTCCATCTTTCCAAAGATCTACAAGAATGGTCTAGTTCTTTTTAATCTCCCCCTCTCTGCGATGTCAAAGTCCCCAAATCACAAACTCTGTGCTTGCTCGCCTCGGCATGCTCAAAGGAGAAATCCCTCTATTAGTGACCGCCGGTATTCAGATCAACCCATTATGACATCTTTCCTCTTCCCTACGTTTCAAAGATACCATGTTCACCCAGGGAATCCAGCCTTCCCCATTGACCCTGCTCCTACATTCGCCATCGCGACCTCCTCTCTCATGCCAGCCGGCCCCTGCCCGTACATCAAGAATTGCAACCCCAAGTAAACATCACAGCAAGCCTGGAAGATTCCGCAAAGACGGAAAGGCCAGGGTACATACTCCTTGCTCAGAAAGAAATAACTCATTTTCATAGCGTCACCCGCTAGCCAGTTGATGATGACTGAGAGGCGAAACCCTTTGCAAGACCGGGCACGGTGATTCTTGAGGATTTGAGGGATGGGGAGGATGGCTTCGACGGCGAGTCCGACGTAGCCGAGGAAGGTGATGTAGAAGGGAGTCCGGGCGAGGATGGGCAGGAAAACGTGGATAAAGAGGAGGGTGGTGGTAAAGTACGCGAGGAAGACGAAGTACCTGATTCCCGTTGTCCTCTGTTAGCATACCAGCAGACGGGAGGGCGAAGCAGGGAACTAAGCAGGTTGCTTGGTTGAAGAGGAGGGCAAAAGGTAAGATCATACGGCTTGGTCCCATTCCACTGCCAAAACCCAAAGGGTCTCCTTCCCTCCATCAAAAAATCCCATAAAATCCCCTTATTCCCGGGGCTGTTATGTGTATACCCATGGAACGGTGTATGCTGTACTCCGCCTTTTTCGCTCCCGCCCGATGGGGCGCGGTTATCCAGCGCGACCTTTAAGAGGATGAGTTGGACGACTATCATGAGGGAGGCCTGCGCGAGGAGCGACTTGTCGTAGTAGGCGCCAAACCAGTAGAAGACCCTGTTCCCACACGCAATATTATCAGCCCAATTCTTTTCGATATCGCAATCATGTCGACTGCATTTAAGCCGTGGAAGCAAGAGAGGAAGGACGTAGCGCATACTTGAGTATCGATGCAAGCAGCATGATAAGGGGGATATCGAGGGAGAATCCATCGCAGGACTTTTTCCGGTGTATCGATGCGATCTGGTCGGCGTAAGATGTTATGGGCGACAAGACTAAACTGTTCCACGGTCATCAATCAGTTTGGAACATCTCATGTATCCGCGTTCCGCCAAACTCACAATATGGGCGCCAGGTAATCCACAAGCAACTGGACTAGACCCCACATCTTGTCGATGTCTAGCCAGGCAAGCAAGGAGAAAGAGTGGTCTCCTACATCAACCGCCATCGTCTCCCACTCAGCGAAAGAAGTCCCGAGTTCAAAGGAGCGGACCGAGTTGCTCGCGATCGGACATACACACCTTCAACAAGACATTTTTGTCAAGGGGATAAGAATGAGGGAACTGGTACAGTCAGCCCCAGGGTTCACCGTAAGAGGAGATTCTGCAATCAATTGGTGATGGACTCATCCGAGAGATCCTGAAATTGCGCACATAATATCCAGGAACAAGTAAAGCGCTGGTGGAATCGTGAGGGCCGATTGGTGGAACAGCCAGATGGTGATCCGTTCTCGCTGCCCTCCGTGGTCACGTGGGACTCAATAGGAGAAATACACTTCGGATGCCAAGCCCGTCGATGCCTGGTCAGGGTCTACCGAAACCGGTTTAGTGTCAGCATACTGCCTTTGACTTTTACAAAAGGCGCCTTGGCATGCCATCGTTCTCGACCTTTTTGTCGTCCGCTCTTAATCAACTTTGTATCGCTCTCTCACTAAAGCTCTCTCACTAGAGCTCTCTCACTAGAGCTCTCTCACTAGATTAAGCCTTATGCATTCTTGCTCCAACAGGTGTCCGTTTAGGAGTCTCCTCGCATGGATCCGTTATTCTCAATGGTCCGTTTCACGAATTTACAAAGAGCTAACAGTTAGGATCAGGGACACACGATACAATTCACAAACTAAGCAGCACAGCTACCGTGCCCCAGAGACGGCTTCCCTAGTTACAACTGAAACCCTCGTTGCAGAATAGTATCGCTTATATGTCTTTCTCCCGCGGAACCATACCAGATGTCAAGTCATAGGCGAATTGGGAAGTATCAATATTGTATTCCTGCCAAATGACCATAGCAATTTTCCAACGGCTGAATTACTTCCTCGATAAAGCTTTCCCGCCATCGGTCTCGCCCGGAAAACGCCCTTTCGAGGCACCAACGAACGGCAGAACAATATTCTGGACCAACATCGTCCATCAGATCGTTACACCACCCCGTGGCGATTGAATGATCCCAGATCTGTGCCGTGAGTCGATTGGTCGCGGGATATGCAGATTCCAGAGCCTTCCTCGGGCCATAATGCTCGATTGGCATGTAGAACTTCAATTCGAAAAGGATGATCCCAAGGGCGCAGAAGCCAAAATCACCACTTGCAGGTCTGGGGATCGAAGCTTGAGGACTGGTAAAAGTCACGCGAGAGGTATGGTTTATCGGTCAGAACGCGGTTCTCGTCCTGTGGATCCACAAGGAATTCGATGTCCGTTTTGCTCCACAAGCTTCTGAGCCACGGTGTCCAATGTAGCTGCAAGTGTGACGATGCCAGCGAAATTGCAATTGAGAGCCGATCTCGGCGAGTGAGGACTATGGTCGAGGTCTTATTCAGTAAGGTCCACAAATTCACCATTTTTCGGGTATCAGCATCCGGATGAGGCACTTCGGGAGGAACGAGAGCGTATTGATTGTCATCGTTCTCCCGTATTTCGGAAAGACCGCCGGTGGGGGAAATTGTGGCAAAGGTTTTGCAGAGATCGGTGATCATAGACGGCTCGATGCAACTATAGGTGTTCTCGTGGGGGACGTCTGTGAGGGTGCGGCAACAGGGCAGGCAGCTTCCTTCCTATTACAATGAAAGCATTGGTGTAATTAGACCAAAAAATCAAAAGAAAGAAGGGGGGAAAACAGGATGTACCGTCTACCTTGACTTGGGTCTGAAAAGCTGCTTGAGCTGTCCTTTCAAGCTAGACTGCTCCTTCGGGGCAGAGGGTAGCTGGCTTTGGAATGTGGGCTGAGGATTTTCTTGTATCGTTCTCTCTGGTGTCAGAAGCCTGAGCATGTTTCCTGCGTCATTGTCGCGAGCCTTGAAGAGTTTGATACAAGCCGTTTGCCAAAGCCAGAATGCAATATTTGGTCCGCCCTCATTGTCACCAGCACGGAACAACACAGTGAACGCAACGTCTGGGCATTTCCAATTTTCGAGCCAGAGGTCGGCATGATGTGATCGACAGCAGTTCTGCTTCCAGGCTCCTTGCAGGAGACCGTAAATGGCGCTGGCATGTTTCCAGAAGCTAAGCAAGGACCTCTGGGCTTGGGGAAGCGCAATTCGTTTTCTGATCTGCGTGATTTTATTGCTTGTTTCCAGAACGTCTCGTAATATTGTGTTGTATCTCTCCACCTTGCGAAGCAGATCGTCACGAGGCGCTTTGTCAATGCCGAAGATGAAACGACGCATCTCATAGTCTCCAGATGAGTGCCCATTCGAAACTTTTGTCTTCAACCCCCCATCACTTCGTTCATTACTTTGACGGCGTCCATGTACAGACGGTAATTTTCCTGGAGACGCTGTTTTAGTTTTGCTTCCAGACCTTGATCCTGCTACCGAGGGCCTTCAAGATGAGCAATCAAAGCTCGTAGGCGCACGTCATCGTCAACCACTAATGGAAGCAAATTTAGTTCAAGATTTTGTTTCAGGCACTGGTGCTAGTATTCGTTGGTGCTTGAAATTGTTAAATTCACTCTTACAACGCCACCAATTGCGGAGGATTGCTGCCGAGTCTCGAAAGTGTTCAAGAGCACTAATTAGAATAGGAAAGGCACCCAAAGCAAGACCCACGAATTCTATCCCACTCATCCTGTCCCTTGTCGGGCATCAATAAATGGTATGCCGGAAGGTGAAGTTTAAGGATCGAAGTCGTTTACAACCCAGCTGTTTCCGAGCCGTGCTGATGAGGCTCTGCGGCTGGTGAGGCTTTCCTTGGCACTTTGATGTCGCTAGGAAGGCTCGCGCCGACTCGTCTTCTAGTTTCGGCAGTAACGACTTCCCAACTCATGAGGTCTGGTTGCTTTGTCGCTTGGTCGCTTGGTCGCTTCCTCCTTTCGCAGACGTCGTGGGAAGGAACATATTGTACACTGAGAACTTCCTCGCCTCCCAAAGTATATGTTATCAGTGACAATTGGTAGGCTCTCGCTGCCACCCGTAATGTTACGTTGGGCTCCCTGCACTGACGCCCTCTCCTAAAGAGCTGTTGTCGATGGCGCAGAGTGCATCCCCCATCGTTGAAGAAGCTGAGGCTTGTCTCGTCCAATTTTCTTCGATGTGCGACGCCCTGAGAGGACTAAGCGGACAGGAGATGGACGGTGTAACATACTTGGAAATTTGGGATGCCAGGGACAGATTCATAATATGGACTTCAAGTATCGGAGCCCTTCAGCATCAACAGTTCATCAGCTCGCCAGAGCACAGGCCGAGAAATTGCAAAGACATCGCGAATCATGTCACTTACTACTCAGTATAAGCAAAGGCTCGAAAGCGGTGAGCTACCGGCGACATGCCATGCTCCGTCAGTTGACTGGATCTGCATTGCGTTCAATCGCCTCGGGCTGCAGGGAGAATCGAGTCAGCTTCTTATCGGAATATGAAGACTTTTTGCATCAAAAGCGCCCTAGAGATCCGATTGAAGGAGGGCCCTTGATAGAGGCAACGGTGCCGGAGATCGAGGAACTATTCGGTTCGATAATATATCATATCTATTCAGGTTGTCAACCATCATTCGGAGTTCTACAACCAGGGATCGCTATGCTCGAGCTGCGGCGGCTCCTAGACATGCGTTCAGTAGCCAATACAATACTGCTCACATCAGACAGAAATTCTCCAAGCTGACTGGTGACGAAAACGAATGGCTCATAAGCCGTCTCGAGGAGGCCAATATCTGGCGCCGCCAGTATTTTAGGTATATAAGGGAACATCACCAGAAACTTTCAGAAACGAAGCTTGAACATGGTGTTACTGAGAAGTCTCAAGCTCTTATAGCAGGCTCTTCTAGGCCCAACAACGCGCTGGCCCCGGAAATTGCTCCAAGTGAGCTTGCGCCCACTACAGCATCTACCATGATTGAGGATACGACTGGACTTCTCCAGTTAGCTAATGAAACTCGCTCTCAAGTATCATATGCCACGACAATAAACGAAACCAAGATGCCAAACATCAATCGGAACATGTCGCTTCAAGCAGCTTCAGAAGGGCGAAAAGATTTTCATTGCCACTACTGCTGAAGTTTCCAAAGGCATTCCAATGAAAAGTCATGGAGGTGCATACTAGTATTTGTCTTCATCTCAGAGTTTGGGACTAATCTTTCTTGGTCAGAAAACACGTCTTGGACGATCTGAGACCCTATATCTGTACATTCCAAACCTGTGGGCTGAAGCGTTTCGAGGATCGTCATTCGTGGTTTCAACATGAAACGCAAAACCACAGATATAAATGGAGATGTAATTTCTGCCACCGGACGCCTGCAAACCCCATGTTTGAGGTAATTATTTCTTTACGTGTTGAAAGACGCGGCTCTGAAGCTCGCAATGATTCCGACACTGACGCCATTTGTAGGCCTATTCCAGCAACGATTTCGAACGACATTTGTCGTCTCGGCATGGGGACAAAGTGACCAGAGCACTTCTTCCTGCCATCATCCAATCCAACCGATACCTGCCTCATCAAATCTCACCAGCAATGTGCCCTTTTTGTGATGAATTGGCGAATGCACTAAGCAAGTCCAACCCATCACCACCTGGTAAAGACTTAGTGGTGACACCTGAGGATTTCATGAAGCATGTGGGTAATCACTTGGAGGAAATCGCGCTGTTTGTTCTTCCTCGCTCTCTTGATGATGAAAGCATTCCTGGCTCAGACGCAGCAGTAGATCTAAGCACCATGAGGAGTTCATTCGAGTACACATCTCTCAACCTTTCTCAGCCTCAAGAAAGCGCCGACTCCGCCGTGATGACGCTTGAAGAATTAGATTCAGATAGCGAGATGCCGCAAGGTGCTACCCTAGCAGATTCAACTCTGGACGTTGAGACGCTCATGCCACATCTACTTTCCGCGACTTCGGACAGTGCAGGAAGGTCCATTCTCGCCGGTGTCTCGTTTACTTGACCCTTCTTTTTCCGGATCACACACGTTAGATACGAGGAGCATCCGAGTCAGTAACCTCTGGTGGTATATCCAGACCTTTTTTTGGCAACCGAACCCATCTGGGAAGTTCGTCGCGGAGGCTTCAGGTGGACTCTGAATCTGGGATCCCGGCCTCATACATTAACTGCTGAGTACAATTCCGTGTCGAGATAACCACTTATCCTTGAAAGAACCGACAATTCAATGTTAGAGAAAATGAGATCAAAAGGCAATGATGACTCTCAAGGTTCGGACGGCCCTGGGGGTGAACTGTGGGCGGCTCCCTAATAAATGACATTGTTGCGCTGCCCTCTGATTTTGAATGTCCTGCACACCGCTTTGAAGTGACCTTTCCGTCAGTCATCTGACTGCCGTACACGTCTCTCACGCAAGTCTTTCCCAGCAGGACTCAGTGATGGGTGATCTCGGTTAGGTTCTCTATCGACGCGGATACTGTGTCGTGATCGAGCTGGTCAATGAGTTGTCCTCTTATATTTGCTTGGTCGGCCTTGCTAGCGAGAAATACTGATAAGCGATATCAGGATTTTCTGCAATGCGTTTCAGGCATCGGTCTTTACATCTCGTCATGTCTTTGCATCAAACGCGTCGCCCTGGGCATGGCCAGCCCAGTCGAGCGGGAGCACTTCCACGAGCCGCTAGCGTCTGCGGAAGTAAGCGAAAGGGCGCAGGGGGATTAAACGCCCGGGCGACGACGCTTAGCCGCTGGAATCTGGTCAGCGCTTGATTTGGTCCAAATATAGGACAGAGTACCTCTCAGGGGCCATTTTTTCCGCTTCATGTGAGAGTTAAGATCTCACAATCATCAACTATTGCTCTTCACTAGCCAAACGAGAAAACAGCCCGTTCAAGCCGGTAAGGATGACGCTATCCTCGAAACCATTTTCATATTGACAAGAGCCGCTTCGAGACTACGCTGCACAACAAACCTAACGAAATCGAGGGGCACAAGATAATGTGGCAGCAGCCCTGTCCTTGGCTTGGGAGGCCTCGTCTGGGCAGAGGGCCAAAAACTTGATTGGCTTCTTCGGTGACCGGCAGCTGGGGCAGGGCTTCGATTCAAGTCTCACATGCACCGTGCCTGACTGGGGACCTTTTGATCCCCAGAGGGCGCTTTGGATATCAACGCGACGATCGTTTCGGTACTCAATGCCCGCAAAGAAAGGCCCATTGAAGCCGCCCAGAGTTGGGTTGGCAGTGGCATGAGTTGGGCCCAAGACGAAGCAGATGCCAAGATCACGAGAGCTGCTAGCCACATAGTCCAAGAGATACAGGTAAGTAGTGTATCAAGGCAAAGTGGCTGAGCTGGGATGGTATGGGGAGGTAACAGGAAGGAGAGTTGTCTACCCGGTAGTCACATGTCAAACCAAGATGGGCTAAGGGGGAGTGCTGAACAGTTCACAGTGCTGGCAGAGTGCCATTCTTTATAGTTTAATAGAGTATTCCATGTTTTTGATGCCGTCTACCAGAGACGCGTTCTCGATTCCCGACCTGCTGGACAGGCCTCAGTGCGTTGTTGCACTGGTATGCCGAACCCTGAAGTGCTCAGTTACAGTAGGTATATACTTACTATAACGAATATGGGCTTACGGTTGGTGGGACTATGAAGGCGTCGCGAGCAACAACATCTATGTTTTGAAAACTCGGCCTGCGGCTCCAAAGCCTTGCCGTCCAACTGGCCCGTATAGGAAATTCGGATATTGACACCCGGACCTCTAGCGCAATATTCATCTTACGTGCCTGCCAGCCACCTGGTCAATCCTTGCTAACCAGCTTAGCCAAAGCATCCTTGGACTAACGGGCCAAAGCCTCGCTATCCACGGGCTGAAGATGGTAGATGTTTTTTGAGAAGTCGCCGAAGTCGTTGCTTGTACGAGGTACCTGGGGCCAAAATAAAGTCTCCGAAGATACACTCAGTACTCGACCAATGCATTATCTGCTTTGGCAATCTAGCAGGGGAGACTGTAAACACCTAGCGGGCGGTAGGCTTCATGCCGCGTTTCAGGCCCCTTTATTCACTCTCGCCTGCTCCAACCGATCGAACACTCAGATAACTTGAGATCAGGCTGCCGTTTATGCTTGGATGGCGGGACTGCGACTGGGATGAGCGAATTACCCACCTACTCTTCTGCATCATTCGCCCGCCCGTCCGTCTTGGGGCCCAGGGGCTCTGCAAGCCGTGCCCTTTCAACTCCCAAAAGACCACAATTCGATCAAAGCTCTAATTGAACAGATCAACTCGTTGCATTAGCGCAACTGACTTACTCCCCCCCTGCTCGCCCCAGAACAAATAGACCCAAACTCAACATGTAAGAGGTGAGTGACTTATCCAGAACAACTTGAACCCCAAATATATGCTGCCCGTGGTAGCCGCACACACTGTGGGCACCCGAATTTCTGGCACCAACGCTTCTTGAATTCGGCCATCGGTGTGTTTTTCTTTCTGCAAAGCTACCCTTTGTCATCAAGCTTTCCGGAACAGAAGAACAATATGCTCTTTCTACCACTGTTGGCGTTGGTCGTGAGCGCGAGCGCTCAAGATCAAGACAATATCTTTCTAACCCCACCGACTAATGGAATTGACAACGACTTTACGCAAAATCCCACTTATGTCCAAGGCTCTAAGCTCACTATCCAGTGGAAGACGACATACCCGGCCACCGACTTGGCGATCTGGCAGAATGGGAACCCAAACGCTCAATTCCTGCAGAGTAAGGATGTGTAATTGGACTCCAGCATCGAATCCCTAAGGTATACTAACAAGTTCAATATAGCTGGCATCACGGGAACAAGTCTCGACTGGACCGTGGGGACTGGGGAAAACCCACCCTTCGACCTGACCGAGGGGAACGTCTTTTTCTTTCAAATGTACAACTCATCCACGACAACCTTTTTCAGCAGCCATTACTTCAACGTCAGCGATCCGTCACTGGCCTCAGTTACCTCCACTGCTCCCTCCAGCAATACTTCACCGCCCGGGTCCGCTTCAACAGGCACGTCGACTTTATCGGACGGTTCATCCAAGACCGCCGCCGCAGCCACTTCGGTCGCGTCGACCACGCCTACTTCTTTATCCGCAGATTCGGCCTCTGACCACAGCAGCAGCAGCGGCAGTAACAGTAAGCTAGGAGAAGGTCTAGGAATCGGCATCGGGCTGTGCGTGTTCATCATCTTGGTTGCCGGGCTAGTCTGGTACTTCCTCCGACGGCGCTCCAGATCACCACGGCTGAAAACGATCGACCCGCCATATCATCAGGCGCCGTATCCATCAGAGACTGCCTCAGTCTATCCCAGTGAGATGCCTGCGCACGCGCCGCACAGGAGGTACGAGCTCGGAACGGCCGCGCCTTCGACGCATGCAGAGCTCGACGGCGGCGGCGGCGGCACAAAAGCCGTATAACGCGACGTCGACATTCGATGTCGACGGATTCGTGGTGGCTGGCTGCCTTCTTACCAATTTGTGGATACCTTAGATAGGAAAAGAAAAAAACCTGGCGCCGCCCTCCGCTTGTACAACACGAAGGGTCAGTCTTGTACTTATAGATAAGCCTTGTTCTTCTGTTTTGATCCGTTCAAGGTATGTCGGCAATTCGATGTAATCCAAACTTCCGACCCTAGCCTTGTGGATATGGCGCTTTATAGGTACCTTCCCTCCTCACTTCCTTGCCCATGCCCAAGCCTACACCCTCGCGGTCCTTCTTTATTGCGTTGCAGCACCCCGTACACCGTACCTACGCACGGATCACCATCGGCGAGAGCGCGCTGAATGAGATGAATTACATACCTGCTTATATTCTTCGTATGGACCCTGAACGCTGTGCTCTGCACTGACATCCTGAGGGTCGGCCCGGCGTCACACGGCCTGCGCCAAGATGGGAGAGAAATTACCTCCCTCACCACCTACCTGCTTGTTGGGGACGGCCACTGGTGCGGGTACAGTATATCGGGGTCGGGGCAGGGATGCACCGGAGTGCGAAGTCTACATACATACCTATAATGTGTAGATGTAGGTATAGGCGTAGGTACAGATGCAGGTGTAGATATACATTGGTTTAGGACTCAACCACTGAGGCTGAATGAAGACGGAGCACATGCCTTTTTGAAAATATTTCTTCGAAGTCATAAATCCCATCTATGTGTGTGCCGTGTTGTACAAGGCGTTTACAGTTCTGTCTTTGGCCCAGAGTCCGCGCTCTCTGGAAACTTCATACTCCAATCCACGCCAATGCCCATCCCAGGACTCCTGATCACCACCCAAGCTGTCTTGTTCCCAGCTGCAGGATGATAAAACATTTCGGCCTTTCTGTCCCCCTTGATGCCGTCTTCAGTCACAGTGATCTCTTCCGCGGACGACCACGCAGCAGGCGCGTTGACCACGACAATCTTCTCAATCTTCACTTCCTTCATCGTCTTGAGATATCCAGCGGTCTTCGCTCCTTTCGTGCCAATATCACTGCTCCGAAGCACTCCACCCGCAATCGAGAAGTGGCGGTGGATATACGCCCCCTGTTGATAATCAAATGTCTCTCCATCATCCACGTATAGCGTGCCCTCCGCTTTCTTGCCTTCCTTATCCAACACGACAACAAGAGTGTATGGATCCCATTTCATCAACCCTGAACTCTTCCTCGGTCTCTCTTTCCTAGGGAATATATGGCCACCTTGCATGAGCAAGGGGATCTTGTCCAATGGTGCATCGACCTTGTGCGTCCTGGAACCGCCAGCATAGATCGTGTAGTCAAAGTAGTCGTAGTAGTTCTCATCATCCGCTAGGTAGATGTCCACGCTTTCCTCTCCTTCAATGGTGACGGGTTTAACCAACAAGCCGGTGGAACCGAGATACATTTGGTCGTCGATGTCGAAACCTTTCTCATCCGTTGGATGCACGAAATACTGAGCGCGCACAATAGGGTACCCGTCTGTAGCGGCTTCGTGGAAAGCTGTGTACCACGCTGGGAGCAGTGAATAACGAAGCCGTAGTGCTTGGGTCATGATACTTGTATATGGCTCCCCTAGCATATATGGCTCGCGTCTCCGCGTGTCAATGTGTGCATGACCACGCATGAATGGATAGAATGCTCCGGCTTGATACCACCTTGTCTGGAGTTCTTTGCTTGGGTTGCCGAAGAATCCACCCACGTCAGCGCCCGCAAAGGGAAATCCACCAACGCCTTGATTAAGAATCATGGGGATCGACGCGGCGAGATGTTCCCAGCTTGCCTGGTTGTCCCCGGTCCACATTGCCGCAGATCTTTGTGAGCCCGAGTAGAAAGAGCGAGTGAGTACGAATGGCCGTCGGATCTCTCCCTTTTTGCGTTCCAGAAGCGCGTGGTAGGTAGCGTTGTGGAAGGTCATACCATTGATATTGTGTAGGTCGCGATGTTCCCAGTTGCCGTGGTGCAAGTTATCCCGTGGCATGGTGATTTCCGGTCCGTTGAAGACGGATGGCTCATTCATGTCATTCCACAGCCACACATTCGATTGCGTACCTTTGAACCGATCGAACGTAAATAGCGATTTCCACCACGCCCGTCCCGCCGGGTTGAATGCATCAATCCAGTAAGAGCTTCCCGGCCAGCACCACCCTTCGAAAATGTTGTTCTCCTTATTCTTGACCGCCAAGCCCTTGCTCTTGAGTTCATCCAGTACAAAGTACCCCTCTTTGTTTTTGATGTGTGGGTCAATGATGACGACTAACTTGCGTTGAGTCTCATCAAGCTGCTTCTCCATCGAAATAGGATCTGGAAAGTTCAACGGATCCCAGGTAAAATACTTCTTGTCGTCCGTATATTCAATATCGAGCCAGATGACATCGTAGGGGATATTGAATTTGTCGAATTTCCGGTCAACGTCCTTAACGTCCTCGTCGCTCACATAATTCCACCTGCATTGATGGTAGGCAATGGCAAATGATGCTGGCATCGCGGTATAGCCAGTAAGTTCCCCGTATGATTTGGAAACGTCTTGAGGCGTTGGACCGAGCATGACAAACACGTCAAGGAGACCGCTTTCAGAAATCCAATGTGTATGTGTATCAACGACTCCACCAGTGAGGCCCAGAGTCAGAGGATTTGTGTCGTGTTTCGACTTGATAATATCCACCCAAGTCTCAGCTGCATTTAGCCAGAAGACACCAACAGTGGAGCCCTTTTTGTGCGCATGCATAAATGGTATGGACCCATATAGAGTCATAGGAGAGTCGAGTTCGTATTCAAAAACGTCGCTGTTGTACATGCGGTATGGCTGGTCATAGTGCTCATCTCCCCCACGGGTCTCCTTTAACGATAGAGGTCCAGCATGTTCCGGGAGACCATATACGTGCGCATACCCGGGGAAGGTGATGTCCATCGCAACACTCTCGGGTCCCTTAGGCTTGGAGTCAGTATTGCCCCCGAAACTCTCGTCCCACCAAGTGCTTTCGTCTTCCGTTGGTTCGGTGGGCGGTGGCTCAGTACTATTGTCGTCCGCCACAGGCTGTTCAACCTTTGGCCGCCAATGCTCGACATTCAAGAACCCTCGGCCATTGAATACGACGTTCTTCTCTTCGCCAGACCAAAACTCTATGCCAAAGGGGGCATGTCGAATGCTGGCCTTGAAGTGACCGCCGGGCCCCCACGATACTTCCGTAACATCCTTCGATACCTTCTTCATTTCAGCCGTCGTCTGAGGGTGGAGACCGGCTCCAGTGAGAGCCCAGGCACCGGCTTCATTGTATCTCTCCTTTCTGGCAACACTCCCATGTCGCAGCTCAATCTCACCCTTCCTTCTCTTTTCCTCGTCGATGGTGACTCGGACATTGCCACGGTCAAGGAAGGTCATCGTCAGGGGTAGTTTCACTGTGTCACCACCGACCAGCGACTTGATGACGGAGCCATCCAATCGGCCATCCTTGAACTTAATCGAGACCGCATCCAGCTGGTAGGGAGAGGATTCAGGGCCGCCCTTCTCTGTCATAGAATCCGCAAGAGCCCTGTTTCTCTTACAGAAGCCAGACTGGTCACAGCGCTTGAAGTCGTGGTGTTTGACCGTGACTGTGGTCTGTTAGCATATGTGTATGCACCGAATTACCGCGCATTGGAGTACTTGCCGGCCGGGGAGGCAAGGAACAGCAGGAGCAGGAGTGAGAAATAGGATACCGCCCAAGACGGCATCCTCCTCGAAGACCGAGCCATAGCTGTAACTGAATCCTGCGAAAGGTCCCTGCTTCGCAAAGATTGGAGAGGGTTGATGGCTGTCGTGAGGGACTGTGTCAACAAGTAAATGTGTCCTGTAAACAGCCCAAGATGTGCCCGGAATGGCTGGCCTCACTAGCCTCGCCTAGAGTTCCTCAGGCTCTCACTAAGCGGGCCCCTGCATTGGGCTACAAGCTGCAAGCTCAATAATTCACTTGCCCCTCCCAACGTCACCTGCTCCTTCCCCACCACCAACTTGATTGAACAAAATATTTTTGCCCAATTCTCTTTTCACTTGACCGCAACGTGTCTTTCTCTCGGCCAGTTCTTCGTTCCAAAATACCAGTCTTCTTTGCCTACATAGCCTTGAACGGCACGCCAACATGTCTAACGAACAAACGTAAGTGTTCAAAACCCCCATTGTTGCGAAAAACGAAATACTAACACTCTGGGCAGCTTCATTGCTGTTAAGCCTGATGGCGTTCAGGTATGAATCCCTCCTCCTTCCTCCTGAAATGCCGTCGATGCTGACAGTACCATCCAGCGTGGCCTTGTTGGCGATATCATAAGCCGATTCGAGAAGCGCGGGTGAGCAAAGCCATCTTGATATTATAGTGCAGGGAGAGTCTGAGACTAAAGGGCGGTGAAGATACAAATTGGTCGCCATCAAGATGGTGTCTCCTTCCAAGGAGCACCTCGAGAAGCACTACGAAGACCTTTCCGGCAAGCCCTTCTTCAAGGGACTCGTCACATGTATGGAAGGATCTCTACAAGCGTTGATCGAGCGAGTCCATTGACAGAAATATTGCAGACATGTTGAGTGGTCCGATCGTCGCCATGGTCTGGGAAGGCCGCGATGCTTGCAAGACTGGTCGATGTAGGTTGCCCCAAAAGCTCCATATAGGACGCACGACATGCTGATCATTGATGCAAGCCATCCTTGGTGCCACCAATCCTCTTGCTTCCGCTCCCGGGACTATTCGAGGTGACTACGCCATTGACGTTGGTCGCAATGTCTGCCACGGCTCCGATGGTGTCGAGAGCGCTAAGAAGGAGATTGCATTGTGGTTCAAGCCTGAGGAAGTCCAGAGCTGGAAGTCTGCCCAACATGACTGGATCTACGAGAAATGATGGAGTTTGGTCTGGAGCCACCTGAATACGGTGCCTACAACAACGTCAGCCATGATGATGAATACCAAGCGAGTTCAAGAAGAGATAGACCTTCCGCAATTGAGAAATGACATAGTGCGTGATTGCATACGGTGTTCAATTGCTTGATCCGCTTTCTAGTCGAATGTCAATGAGAGGGCTTCTGGCACGACATCATGGCTTGGTTCTTCGAAACAGTGATTTTGTGGCATTTCCAACCGGGATGATGGCAATTCGCGCAAACCACGGCGACCCCCAAACGCTAACGAGAAGACGCAAAGGCAGCAAAGCTTTCACTAAAGCATACGCTGTCGCGAACTCGACCACCCATCTTGTGGCGGTCTCTCCTCGATTGAACCACTTTGAGGCTGTTTCTTTTCGATTTTCAAGGCGTCCCGCATTGCCCTTCTTCGTCTCCTGCTCAACCTCAATCTCTTCTTTTTCACTGATCCAGCCTTTCTTCCGGAAGTACCGTGCAAACTTCTCAACACTCGCAGAGATCCAAGCTCCTTCAGCAAAGTAGGGAGGAAGCCAATGCCAGTAATGGAAAGCTCCTGCCAGGCCGAATAACGGTATAACCGCAGTCAGTTCATGAAGAACAATGAATGCTGCAACATGTGACACAGGAGCTTGTCGCAGGCCAATGACTGTAGGGCGGAGGAAACGCGGGGTGCGTTCAACGAAGCGGTCAAAGCGACTTCTGACAGCGGCATGGTCGTCTGGCTTGGACCTGGGTGGTGGTGGTAAAGGAGGTTCTGATTTATGGGTTGACAGCCAGCGTCTTATAAGAAGATTTCGATTAGGTGCGTGGACAGATCTGTCCACTGCGCGCCGCAACATAATGACGGGTTCACAGCATATCGGTTTGTTTGGTAGCAGAAAACAGACAAAGATGGGGATCCCCAATCAGGCGCTCCATATTGCCCAGGCTGCCTTTGCCTGCACTGTTCTCATTGGTCTGTATGAGCCGCCGTAGAATATAGGGCGGAGTATACAAACCTTTCACGGCGCCCCCTTCGGCTGTTATCAGTTTCAGCCCTGGTCTCACCTCGGACTCCCGTACTACTGCCGTTAGGAATTCAGGGCGCCGGCGCACACCCTATCGCAGGCAGCTCAGATCTATCTGTAGTATGTTTACGCAAGTGAGTACGTGGAGGATAGGCAGCACGGCTCGGCAAACTCACTGTTAGCGCTTCAGTGCCGTCAGGCTGAAGCGATTGGTATTGTTTATATATTCGAGCCGCGCCAGCATCATCGCAGCTTTCAATGACCGCGACACAACGTTTTTGACATCAACACGCTTGAATTTTTGGAATAAATATCTTGACCATGGACCAGCTTGCTTCCGAATTAGTGGGCCATATTTGTCTGTTTCTAGACAGGCTATCCCTTTGCTCCTTCCGCCTTACCTGCAAGACATTTGCCGCCATAGCCGAGGAACATCTCTTCCACAACTTCGAGTTTCGCCTGTATCCAAACCATCACAGACTCTATCAGCTGGAGAAACTGGCGGCAAGGCCCTCGATAGCGTCTCGGCTGCGTTGTGTCTCCTTCGAGTCAGGGATCCAGCTGGAATATGCCGACTATAGATATTGGCAGACTGAAGTCTACCACGACAAGCAGAATGCTTGGAAGCGAAGCCTTGCTGGAGCCTCTAGGGAAGAATACACACAGTTCCACGAACATCTCCAAGCCAGGTTCACAACGGACCTACCTCGTCGCTATGATTTGTACCGTTGGCATCTAGATCAGCAGGCCGCATCTATGGCTGAATCACGCATGAGGAACGTCCTGATGCGTACAATGAACGCGCTCAAGGAATCAAACCTCAGTCTGCGCTTCAAGCTGATCATGGCTGAGCCTCAGATCCGGCTCGAAGAGCTTGAGGCATTCGACCCTGAGGAGTACGCCAACGAAAGACCTTATGACCCTGATCCGCGTCGCAGAGTTGCAAATCGTCGACAACATTGCCTCGATCATTTTATCAATTTCCTCCATGCGGCGAAGCTTTCGGGTTGTGAAGTGGCCGATCTCACAGCTATCGACATTCCCCATCAGCTTCTCACCGTTGACGCTATTCACGGCTCCCAAGTGTTGGAAGAGACCTTTCATGGCCTAAAGAGACTCCGAATGAAAATCAGCTCGTTTCCTCACAGTGACTGGCTTTCTCGCAGTGGGACTGGTGAAATCTACTTTGGCGGGAGAAACCTGGCCGCAAGAAGGCTCAGGATGTTGTTGAATCAGCCCTCTGAGCTCGAGCACTTGAGCCTGGAATTTCCAGCAGGCCTCGAGGCCGAGTACTCGTTCGATCTCTTCGACAGGACGAACATCGATCGCTTCCCTCGTTTGTGGTTACCGCACCTTAAGTCTCTCACCCTCTCCCATTTCCGATGTACCTGGGAGGATTTGGAGGCACTCCTGAATGAGGGCAAGAACATTAAATCCTTGGTGATGAAGAATTGTCGGCTCGAAACCGGCTCATTGGTAGATTTGCTCCACCATCTCCGCAGGAAACGTTTCCCAAAGGTTCTTTTGCTCGGGACCTGGTATGTGGATGTAAGTTGCCTCGAGAGCCTAGTGCAGTTTTGATGGAGCTTTGTTCCAACCCTGGGACCTTGCCGCGAGAACTCGTGCTGACGACGAACCAGGACGACTGTGGAGAATGGCACTCTCACAACGAAGAGGATTTCACAAGTTGCTTTGCTGCGAACTCGTACGAGGGCCCCTACGCCCATACAGGCATGCGATCAAAGGTAGAAGAATTTATTAATGGGAAAGGAGAATGTCCCCTGCCACGATGGACAACGGAAGATGACCCTCCTCAAGTGTGGGAGAACGCGTCTGACACGAGTTGGCACTTCATTCCAGGGCTGCCTCATCACTAGAGAAACATACGCAGCCAATTCCATTCACCTCAGGCAGTGCAGAATACAACGCGTCACCACCTTCACCTCGTTTATTTTGCACCACAAACAACCCAAATCATGTTTACTCAGATTGCGATATATCTTGTATATACTTGGGCATTCAAACACTCTTCCGGTATCGTTGGAGCTCGCTCTTCTCCAATCTCGCCGACCTCGCCGACCGACCACTATTGTGGGCCTATGACTATCACCCTCAGGATCTGCGCGAATTATCAACTTCCTGACTTGGTTGGCTCGAGTCATACATGTGCTTTAGCACCATCTCTCTCTGACCCAGTCCACCATGCCTCGACTTCGCCGTGAGTCTATCTCACTCAGCATTTTTAAAACAGTTGGTGAAATGAAGTAAGCTAAACAACTGAATCAGGGGGTTTCACAGCCTTGTGAAGGTCAGTCCTGTCAAATCAGTGATGGTGCAGCTGCAATTGATAATCCCATGCTTTCGACAAACGCCCGCCCCGCGGAAGAACCAGTGGAAAATCAAATCCTGGACAGGGCCACCCGCACCACTGTTGCGCGGTCCCGGACCAGAGAAGATGGCGGCAATATCTACCGACCAGAAAAAGTGCACTATCCAATCTACGAGATCAAGCTCGGCATTCACCGAATCAACTATCTATCCAGGCCAATGACCGAGGAAGCGATGTGGCGCAAAATGCCCTCGCTCAGACTATGCGTGCTCCTGTGCGACTTGGCCCTCCTTGGGCTGGTTTTCTGTTTCGTGCTGCTTCTCCGATCACTTCTCACACAGTTGCTAGCGGCAGACGCGAACCGTATCACTGACGAATAGGATAAGAGGAGCTCCATTAGCTGCTTAACAACAATTTAAGTCAGCGCGGAGACGCGGCCTAAGTTGTATCACCGACTCCATGCCCTGCCCGGCCCAAGTCACCTCGTAAAGCAGCATCAACTCTCGACCTGATTCTACAGGTTTCATAGGGCTGCAAAAGAGTTGGTGCTTACAGCCCCATGCAGACCTGACTCAACATCAGCCTTCCCAATTCCAGTATTCTCGCCTACAAACCAACCAATCGCAGCCTGAAATTGGGGTGCTGTCTATGTGCCAGAGACGAAGGGAGAAGCGGAGGCCTGACATGCCAGCAAAAGCTACATTTACTCTATAAAGAGCTGATAGTTAACGTCGATTCTTTTTTAAAAATCTCCCTTTCCCTTTGCAAAAAGTGCACGACGGCTTTGACCACAAGAGTCCAGTGCTTGGCTTTCGATTATATTGGACCAACGGACTTCTGTAAGCCTAGCCCTTCCCGGACTCGAGCACGGGTGATGCCATAATCATGTTGAGCCTAATTCTCCAGTCCAGACACTTTGTGCCACCAACAGTCCTTTCTAGACACGGCTCCGAGCGAAACACCTGTTCACGGACCTCGTACTTCGAGTTGGCCTCCAAAGTTGTGGAATCTCGCATGAACGTGCGAAGTACTCGACCCATCCGATTTGTCGTCTGCCGGTGTCCTGGCCTCGTTGCCATTGCCCCTCATTGATTTTGCATCATGTCAGACAAGTCGTCGTCGCCGTCGCCAAACTGGCTGTCAAAGCTAAGGCGCTCCCCGCGTGAGTACAGCTTCTCCTCAGACAAGTCAACCAGTTGGGAGAATGGAGTCTCCCCAACGAAGGGCCAGGTCCGAAATTCGTGCAATTAATGTCCGGGTTTATGGTTTCAGATAGCCAATCTCCAGCATTCCGGATCTACCTTTGCAGCACAGATGCAACCTGTCCCCCTGAATCCTTTGTCACTAATGGTAACTAACATAGTGTCACACTACCCTTAGATGCCAAAACAGGTGAAAACACAAAACGAATGGAAGGTGGTGATACCGAGACCGATGCCAAAGCCAGGCGACGTGAGCAAGTTAGGCGTGCTCAGAGGTAAGGACATCCTATTATTGTCTGCTGCCAATACCGGGAATGGATACCAATGGACCCGTGCCAGCTTGCGCCTGATCGAGGCAAACCCTCTTATGCAAATACATAATGATATGTCTAAATTAGCTAACCAGAACTGACTGCGTCACCCGACAATAGGACACATCGAGATCGCAAGGCCACTTATGTCAAGACACTGGAAGCGGAAGTGGCCAAACTTCGAGCTCGAGATTCGGCACACGAAGCCCAAATCCAGGCCTGCCGCAACACGATCCGTCGCCTCAAAGAATTGATCAAGTATCACAAGATCCCCTTGCCCTTGGATTTGGCATCAGATCCTCATATCCAGAGCCCGCAGGCCACCATCGAATTACTCGGCTTTCCGGACTCCCGCACACAGCAAATTCGCGCCCAGATGCCACCTGAAACAGACTCGGGCTTTTTGAGCTTTCCGCCTGCACAAAATATATTAACCTCGTCCAACCTCCCCTACGGTACGGTGCACTCCGGCTCGACAACTTCTTCTAGTGATCTATTCTCTGGATTGACCATCAGCGAGGCTCCCACGAGTCTACACGCGCCCAGTATCTACTCCCAAGCCCCACCGGTCCCCCCAATCTCAACTCCAATGCAGCACCCCCAAGGCCTTGGCGCTACGCAGGTCGGAGTCGATTTCGTGCTTGCGCTGGAACACGTCTGTTTGGAACACCATGCTGCACATGCCACAGCGGACGACGGCTCAGGCCACGAAATGATGCTCATGTCTCCAATCATGTGGCATTCGCCCGCTCGTCCACGACCAGCACAGACAGCCGCATCATCACAACAACCGACGGCGGCGACCGCAGCAACGGAATCCGGGTTGCCGAGCGGAACAAGATGGAGTGTCCCTGCCGTGGAGTTGGAAAAATTGCTTGATTTCTCTGATAAGCTGTCACTGGAAGGGGAGATTACTCCCGTAGAAGCGTGGCAGAGGGTCCGTCAGCATCCAAATTTCGGGGACTTGACGAGGGACGGGCTTGAAGCGCTGAAGGCGACGCTGTTGCCTGAGGTGCATTGTTACGGGTGAGCTATTTGTCTATTCATGGTTCTCTTTTTTACCTAACCGTTCGCGCTTGCTGGACCACTCTTAAACACAAATAAGGGACGGTGTAAATGCCCCATACGCAGTCTATTTATGCGGAGGATTGGGACAGCAAAGACAATGGAGTAATGACTTTGTGTGGCATTTTGTTGAAAAGCTCTGTGATGGTTAATTCGTTTTCTGTCTTTCCGCCTTAACAGATTTGGGGCCGTCATCGACGAGGCCTATTTCGAATCCATCCTCCAACAAGCACTCGGCAACGGGACAGGGGCAGGGGCTGGCTCTCTATAGGAAAAAATGGGGAGACCAGCCTCCAGTCCCTGTTTCTGTCTTGTCGAGAGGAGGCTATTATTCATCAGAGAGCAAAAAGGCAATAACTAAGATGCACGTCACTACGAAACATACAAAGGTACCTTGCCAGGACTCCACTCTCTCTCATGACATCCGCAGTTCTAACGTTTCGTCTTGCCTTAGGCTAACTATCGCACTTGACACACTCGTTCAACCTGTCGAGAAGGCAAGGAAGGAACGAAAGATCCAGGACTATGATTCCAAATTTATTGCGAGTTCAGGGGAGTTTCAGAATAATGGCAAGGCTACATGCTGCGTGTCGTGTGTGGCGCGAATCCTCGAGGGTCTTTGATCTCGTCATCATGGCGGCCGTGGTGGTGATGGTGTTTGCGGGTAATTATGGTCTGATGCTGATCCCGGCTAGAAGTGAACTGGCAAGGGTATTGTGCGCCCTTTGTGGAAATTGCTTACACTATCAGACTGCAAGCTACATGCTCCAGGATACAGAATGGTACAGCACCAAGACCGAATAAGCGGGAGAAAACAAGCACAGGGTTCCCACGGCGGAACCAGGTCACACACTTATCCTGGAGCTACAGCGGTGGGGGATTTGGCCGTGTGCGTTGTACTGGGTAGGTTCATAGGCATGGATATATCGATTCGGCTTTCCTTTCTCTCTCTCTCCTATATGCTAGCGAGGTAAATTGGTTGCTCTTCCATCTATAGCTATATGCTCCCATCTCCATACTCCATACCTATCTATCTGCTATCACACCGAGTGAGTGAGCGAGCGGGTGGATAGACGAATGAGTGAATGGGTTCGTCACTGCCTAATCCGTCTCGTTGGCTGACTGACCGACCGATCACGCATCGCCGTCGTTGTCACATGTTGAAAATCGCCAGCCGCGACGGAGTCAGTACCGACCCAGTGCCCGTCGAAGTTGTAAACACGAGCGCGTTAGCTTTTCACGTCTCCATCCATGGTGGTATAGTGCGATGTTGTTCTTGGGGTTGGACGACCAATACCCGTTCGCTCCTGGCTGGGGTGCCGTCTGGATGGACTGTCATCGCACCGTTGTCTGTCCATGTAGACGGTCGAGAAAGGCAGAGATTTGAATTGCTCATCGTGCGCGTGCGTATGTATATAGATATACTCTATAAAGAGATAGAGATTGGTGCATTATACTTGTTCCTTCGCCTTCCCTTCCCCTACTTTCTCTCTCTCTCTTTTTTTGGCCTGCGCATTGCACCGAATCACTTACCACCCTATCTAGCAGCATCCTCTCCTTTGCTCTTGTCCTAACTTTAAGTAGACGGTTAGCGTTTTTGCCACATCACCAAGATGAAGGAATAGAACGAAAAGGGGGAAGAAAAGAAAAGAAAACACACAACACAATCGGACTTCCCCCCTCTTCCTTCCTCCTTTGCTCTGGGCAGGTAGACAGAGAGCGCCGCGGACCGCATGGATTGCTGCTCCTCATCTCACGCCGCTCTTACACGGGAGATCCTACTAAGTATTTTCCGCCCCCAGGCAGATGGTACATAGGTAACTTGTACTGCAAGACTAATGAGTTAGTTCGATAAGCCCAAGCTAAACCATCACCTGGAAAGACAATGCCAAAGCTAAACACTACTCCGGCCCAAACTAAATCTAGAAGCCCAAAGCCACGAAAAGAAGGAAAGAAAAAGAAAAAAAAAAAGACAAAGTGTCATTTATCACACGCTCGCAGCAACACATCGCAAGCACACACCACCGCAATGTACCGTATTGTATCGCAATTCATCTTTTGCGACACCAGAGACATTCCTACCTAGCTAGTCAATGCTTACCGAGTACGGCGGACGTACCGCTTCGTAAGTAGACGCCGGAGCCTTACATAATGGCGCGACCTCGCAGCGCCGTTGGCGGTGAATGTGGCATAAAAGTAGGTAAGCATCTTGATACTGGCTGGTGGGGAGCGGCGCAATCTCGACTGCTTCGAATCGAATCGACCGCCCAAAAGGGGATACACCTCATCCCTGCTCGTGCATGGCGCTACGAGAGGCGATGATCGAGATGACTTCCCGCGCTCGAGTCCCCCCACCTTTCTCCGCGCTGGGTCAGGGCCGCTTTGTATTACTTAGGTACGTTCCTTGGTAAATTGGAACGGAAGGCTTGGACTTGGGTGGGTCAACAACATTGACACATTGAGTGATGAAGAACGGGCGTGTAAGAGTGCGTCCCGTCTAGCTATCTCCTCTCCTTAGAGTCGAGTCGCCCATCCTCACGCGCTCTCTCTCTCATCCTCACCAGCACACTCACTGGCGATAAGGACTACGTCCCTACTATTACCTGCGCATGAGGTGGTAAAAAGCGGGAGACCAGGCCCCCTTTTCTTCAGCGCCAACAAAGACTGTCGTTGATGCACCCATTTATCCATCCATACGAATATGGGGACGCTGGACATGCTGTGTGGTGCTGACTTCGACTTCGACTTCATCCTACCAAATGACGGTCATCATCACTGTCGCCATTGCCGTTACCGTCACCGTCACCGCCCTCGGCAAGGGCGAGGTACCTGCACCTCATAGATCAGTGAGAGATCATATCCGGCGGACGAGGCTTCTGTTCTGCACGACGAGGACTCCAAGAGAACATGTATGCGGCTCCCGCTCCCCGAATCTCAAATTCAAATTCAACTTCAACTCCAACGATGTGAAGAGGTCTCGTTGGAGGAAGATGCCGGGACCGTATCTTCCCACAAAGATTGCTATCATACAATTTCCGCAGCAGGATGCCGACAGCACACTTGGATTTGAGCACCGTCGTTGCGCTGCCACACCGCGCCGAGCACCGCAGATGCAGCTCATGAATTAAACATGCCCATCCAAGCACAACCAGAAAAAACAGCTGGCTTATAAAGCGCTCCATTTCCGTCCAGTTTCAATCAGATCCCTCCGGAGGCGCAATCGAGTTGGCCGTCGCAAATTCCCTTTCCAGATCTCCCAACTTTTGCATAACATCCCTGGGGTTCGGCATTGCATGCTCTGACCGAAGCAGATCTATCCAGATGTTCCTTCATCATCCAATATGGCCGGCGCTCACATGTCCCACCCGCTATTAACGCCCCCTCCTGGGGCAAAAGGCCCCGTCATGTTCTCCCACGTGGCAGAGCCAAAGATGTCCGCCACGTTATAATCCATATTGCCCCAGAACATGGGGTCCGAGTACTCTTGTATGTTCGTGTTGCTTCCATCTCCTCCCGTTCCGCTCGACCCTGATTGACCGGGGAGATTCATGTTCATGGTTGATTGCGCAAATGCTAGATCCTGCGGTGTGGCGTACACGGCGCTGCCGATGCCGGGGTTGAATTGGGGTTGAGTGGTCGGCTGACCGCGGTCCCAATTGGAAAAGTCAAACATCGAGAGGCTGCCTGTAGGGTTGGTGAGGGCCGACGGATTACTAGGGTCGAACGTGGTGGAAGGTGTCCACGTCTGTGTGCTGTTGGGGGTCGATGGTTGATGTTTCGGTCGCGGCTGAGAATTATTTCCAGCTGCCGTTGAGATATGTCCCTGGATTGGTGAGCTGGTGGTGGAGTCTGCCACCGAAGATTTACGAGGACTGGCATCTTCGTTGCCACTCGTGGTGCGCGGCCGTTTTCGAGATGGCTGATCGAACTCGGTCGGCATGCTCTGCGGTGATTGATCTGGCTTAGGAACGGTAAGGAAACCGTTGATCGAGGCCTTCCGTGACTGAATGTTGGTCAGGAGTAGGCTCAGGACTTTGTGACAATTTTGCACGGTATACCACCTGATGTTCATGCTTTCCAGCAGATGCAGGCACGCTTGCATATCACTGAGTGCTCGAGCTTTGGCATATTTGCCCAACTGGCAGGCGAAGGCGATGATTAGGCCAGACATCCACGCCGCAGACAGGAGACCAGGAAGAAACATGGATTGGCCCTGTTGTTTATGGGCTCTGAGACCCGCCAGAATCCCACGCGCAGCCCGAATGCAGAGCTGAAGGCCGTGCTGGAATTCGGGAGTGGACTGGTCGAGGGAAAGGCGAGGCCTATTGACTAGGAGAAGCAGTCGGTGGTACAGGATCTTGAAAAAGCTGGCAAGGTGCTGCTGCGGAGGGCCGATAGGTGATGTGTCGGAGGCACCGCCTGCAGATGCTTTATGACCATTGGTCGTTGAAGGCGTTGGGTTTGTGTTTGTGTTTGTGATATCCGCGGATTCACGGTTGCTCCTCTCATGGCCTCCCTCAACTTCACCACTCAGAAAGCCTGGGAGATCATTCCACCAAGTCTCGATGTCGCTGGTAAGACGCAGAATTTGTTCATGTTTGGGAAAGCGGTGGTTGATGCTTTTGTGAAAGACTTCAATGATCTGACCAGTCAACTTGCCCCACTGCACATATGCGGTCAGAGCGGCCTCTCTTAACCTTTTCTCTTGGGCTTCAGGTCCGTCGTTGTCGGATTGTGCCACGCGTGGATCTTCCGGGAGCGCACGTGGAGGGGGCATATGCATGCTCATATCTCCATCCGGATTAGGCATCAGGTCTCGCGCAAGAGCCTTATGAAGCTCGGGCCCCGACAGGCAAACGTCGATGTCATCGTCTTGAATCACGTTGGGATCGCCCAGATTTAGATTGCAATGCCGATCCAGGGCATATGCTGACCAGAATATCCGTTTGCGGATTTCGCAATCTTCAAGTGAAAGTTGAGCATAGCGGAGGGGACATCGATGCAATCCAGCGTGATAGACTAGTTTAATGATGATTCCAGCAACAGTGCTGGCTTGGCGAATAGCCAGAGTGGCGGTGAGATAGAGTTCGGCAGCAAGAATGGCTTGAATGGTAACGAGATCGTGGTCGATGGCCAGGCAACCAGCCACTCGAGATACATCGGCGGTGGATTTAACGCGCGATTCCATGGGGAGATGAATATCGCTCCGGTCCAGAGAGGCGATGTTGATTATCAGCTGAAAAGTCAGCAGTTTCCGCAGGTCGGTGGGAGCGTGGCTGCCCTTTGTCGGTTTTGAAGGGCGACGCTGTGTGGAATATATCGTTTCCATATCCTTGATAAAACTAGGGCCATGGAGGAAGGGGAACAGCGGGTGCCACGCGGTAAAGAAAGAGGTTACCAATTCGATGGCGATCTTTTTCGCTGGAGGTTTGCCCAGAGCGGAGGCCAGAATCGTGGGAAACTGATCGGAGGTGCTTGGTCCCTCGTACAGGGGGCCATTGTAGGAGCGACCTTCGGCATCCTCGCCCGTGAGAATATCCTCGCTGGCGGGAACGGCATTGGCACCGCCCGTATTCGAGGAGGCGAATGCGGCGGAAAAGGCGCGTCGCACCGTGTTGACAAAGTAGACACCGGAAGAGCTGCCTAGCCAGGCGGTGCCATGATTAGGGAGCTTCTTGAGGGTGCCAATCTCTGATGTATGAGTTGGGCGTTCTTCTGGTAGATTGTCACTGTCGGATTCATTGGTAGCGGCTGTGCCCGAGGTTGACGAAGGGACCGCTGGTGGCGTGGGCTGGCCAACACTGGGGGATGGATTGTTACTAACAGTCGACCTCGGCGTCATCTTGGTTGAGAATGAGCAAGACCGAGATCAAAGCTGAAAGATAACGATGGTCTACTGGGAGATTGGGGTGTACGCGGACATGGCGCAATGAATTGATGAACACAGGTGCGCCGGGCCCAGGTCGATGGTTGAAAACTAGAGGATGGGCCGGCTTAGATTAAAGACGTTGGATGAGAGTTGCGGAAGTGCGCGCATGTGAGAGTGACACCGGGTGTGCGGTGTGTGATGTGATGTGTTTGTCCTGTGGAGAGCTGCGGTAGAGGCAGCAGCGACAACAAGAGCAGCAGCAGCAGCAGCGGCGGCGGCGGTGAGGAAGCGACGTGATGGTAGAGATATTTTTTAGTAAGAAGAAAAGGGCAGGGGAAGAGGGAGCTACGGCCGAAAATTGAGAGGGTGAGACGAGAATGAGAATGAGGGTGACGGACGGCGAAGAGAGGGCCGGCGACAGGGCAGAGGCTTGTCGAGCAAGAGGATGAAGAAGTGAACAGAAGACGAATCAGATTGTGACAGAGGCTTATGGAGGCCAGAAGTTAGTAACAATGAAGGGAGAAAGACTGGGAGAATAAGCAGGTTGTTGACTATGAGTTGTCTTGTTTGGATGGGAAAAAGGCGAGAGCTGAGAGGTGTCAGAGATGGGAGCCAAACGTCGACTTCTTCTTCCTCCTTGGTGGCATTGACTTGACTCACACACAGGCCACGACGGCCCCCATAAGAAAAAAAAACCAGCTCGGAACCCAGTGGGCATTTTGAGCACCCCCCCCCTTCAAGCTCTTGGTGCCTTCAACCGTCGGGCTAGTTAAGCATTGGCGGTGTCAAGGCCCAGAGATGACGCCTGAAAATCCCGCAATGGAACCTGGGCCAGCCTAGTCTTCCGCGCCCAACTCGTTGGAGAGGAAATGGTCTTGTCTGACAGAAAGGAGCAGTAGGTACTAGGCCGTACGGGACTCGGACCATTGCGTCAGACAGTGGAATTAGGCCCATGACGTCGGCTGACTAACGCACCCTCAAAGCCCCCGCTGCTCCTGGACTTTCTTTCTTCCTCCTACCTTTCAATTGCTTGCCCTTTACATACCATCCACTCCCACAACACATGTGTGATATCTCCCATTCTGTCCCATCTAAGTGCGGAACACGCCGAGCATCTGGATCCCTCCCGGATATCCCACTCCGTCAGGCTTCCGCCAGTAGGCCTCGTTTCGTCATTTCAGCCGTCCCGTGGTGCCACCGTACCTCGTGTTACAGAACCTCCCGCCACCTCTGTTGCTGGGAAATGCGCGTTTCGCTCTCCTCCATCAGCGATTCTTGGCCGAGTCAATCACTCATCTTCGATCACCGGCACTATTTGCCTAGGCACAAGAATGGATTGGTTGATATTGGTGCCCAGGAAGGAAGAGCAGACGCAGTTCTCTTGACCGACCACTTGGTACTTGGCGGTATCCCAACTCTCCCCTCTAAAAAGGGAATGGTCAAGCGGGAACACCACATCCAGACGGCAACGATCGCCTAAATCCGCAGGGCCACTAGTTGCTATCAAACAAGGCCCGTCGTTCGTCAGCCTGTTGACGGCTTCAATCGGCAGAAGTCGGACACTCTAGAAGGCTCTCTCCTGTCGTGCTGCAAGTCTGTGCAGAGCACAAGAGGAAGCGGGGCGTCAGGCAGCCTTGGGCTTACCCCGGACTTCCTCTCTCCCGGAGCCATGACCGCAGCCCCAGGAGCAACAGCTTGTCCGTGCAGGCTGTAACTAAACCGACTATCTATATTGGGTAAGAAACGAGCCTTTGATGACTACTCGAGCCATCCGTTGTTTGTTCGAATGGCAGAGTTTTCCATGTGGATGCTTTTGGTACTTGTACATGCCCCATCAGGAGAGACGCCAGATCTGCTTCCCTTACTTCGCAATCCCAATGACTCCATCCCCCTCTCGGATCGCTACACTGGCGTCAATGATATTGGCCGTCTTGAGAACATCTATCACTCCCCCCATCACCCCTGCATCCACCCCTCGCGTCCCATCCACAAACTTCACGTCCTTCAACCACTCCCGACCGTCCTCCTCAGAATAATGGCAACCCGCCTCACCTGTCCCGAGCATTTTGATGCCCGCGGCTGGATCCTCGTTAAACATCTTGATTCCCTTATCCAACGTATCGAAAATCTGCTTCAGGGTCTCATCCGAGCGCGGATCAGGAAATGCGTCAGTCGAAGCAGCGATATGCCAGCTCGGCCAGGGCGTGTAAATCTCGCCAATCTTCTTCAAGGGCGTGTCGTCCCCGTGGAAATAGGGCTTGGTAGTGAAATGTTCCCACATGAAGAAATCTGCAGTGTTCCCTGTTACTCCATCGCGAAGATCCTTAAAGGGTCCCAGTGGCACAAGTGTGAGACCCTCTGACTTTTGGTCCTTGAATTGATGAAGCCACCCTTCCTGTTGTGCGAGGACAAAAGCCATGATGTGACTACCGCTGCCCATCCGACTGACGCCCACTCGTCGATGTTGCTTCAGATCATCCACCGACGAAATATCGTCTCGGTTTCTTCCGGTGACGATGGCCCATCGAAGAGGAGTAGACACCCATGACCCGACAATCGAATACCCTTTCTCTTGTAGCGATTGCCCTTGGACCGAGGGGTTAAGGAGTCCGGCAACCCAGCCTTCGGTCAGCCCGATTGCGAGGTCGATTTCCTTAGAGCGCAGGGAGGTGATCATGTGGCCAGTCCCAGAGGGGAACGGGACAAGGTTGACCTGCAGGGACGAGGGGAAAAGGTTGTGTTTGTTGCAGAAATGAAGGGGGAGGAGGTAGTGTTCGGGCACGAAGCCAATGCGGACGGCGCGGCTTGCCATGTTGGGGGGATGCCTGGATGATCGTGGAGGGCGTCGTGGTGGTGATGACAGAAAATGGCAGACGTCAGGGCACACGGGTGGTCGTCAACCTGTTGCAGCCACGGGGAACGAGCGAGCCGATGGTCTAAGATGCGAGCGCAGTCAATGGCTCATCTCGTGGCGTCTCATGTCTTGATGGTCGTCCGTCTCCGAAAAAGTTTCCTTGGACCCCCCTCGACCCCCTTCAGCCCCTCCCCCGCAAACATCAACGTCAACATGATTCATCGACGGCCCGAAGTTTTTCCGACACGATACTTCATCCCTCGACCAAACCTCGCTCACTACATCCCTCGAGTCAACTGTCCAATTTCCTGTCGCAGTTGCAAGACCAACCACTCCTTCGGGGTTCTGCATTCTGCTCACTTCCTCCGGCCATTGCTCGGTCATTCCTGATCATCCTTTTGACCCTTGACTATTGACTACCGCGGCGGGGCGGCCCCGAGCGGCTTCGGAATGAGCTCCGCTCCTGATTTGCGGGGTTTCCGCGCTTGTGTTATAAAGAGCTCAGGAGAGTCAGCTGCAGCGCAAGGATCCGTGCATTTTTGATATTGGCACTGTCTCAAGCTTGCTGGAAGTGGTCAATGGTTCTTGTTGGTTGGCCAACACCCTCAACTACCTCCTTGGTTTGTGGTCCCCTTCGCATTCAACTGGACGGCAAAACGTTTAGCAGCGCGGACGAGGCTTGGGGCTTGCAGAGGCCGAAATACCACCGCTGTACGAGCACAAGCAGGGGCCAGAGCAAACGGTACATTTTGTCCTGCGTCCTGCATCCTGCATCCTCCATCTTGCGTCTCGCTTAAGGAGACTCCACCCCCAGATTCCACTAGGGGCCTGTCAGTCTGATCGGCTTGCTTCCAAGAAAGGACCAAGGGCAGCAGAAAGGAAGAAAACGGAGCAGGAGCGTCCAGCTCGAACCTTATTGTACCGAACCCGCCAGGAGGAAGCCCAGCCAGTCTTGTCGAGATGTCCGAAAGGCCCAAGTACAAGTACATCTTGTACAGTTACTTCCGCAGCTCATGCTCCGCTCGTATTCGGATCGCTGCCAATCTAAAGAACATCCCGCTCGAGTACAAATACATCCACCTGGTCAAGGGTGAACAGCATGGCAGCGACTATGTGGCGTTGAATCCTAGCGAGTCCGTGCCTACCTTGATCGTAATTGATCTGGAAACAGGCAACGAGGTCACCAGAATCAGGCAGTCGATTGCCATTTTGGAGTTCTTTGAAGAAGTCGAAGAAGGAAACGGGATGAAGCTGCTCCCCAGCTCAGATGATCCGTTGGGGAGAGCCCGGGTCAGGGAGCTGGTGAACATCGTAGCTTGTGATATTCAACCTGTCACGAATCTGCGTGTGTTGAATTTCATCAAGCCCCTCAACGTCGAGGCCAAACAGTGGCAGCAGCATTTCATGACTCTAGGATTCCGGGCATATGAGGAAATGGTCAAGACCTATGGGGGCAGATATAGTGTCGGTGATGCGGTGACTATGGCAGACTGCTCCCTAGCTCCGGCGATCGATGGGGCACTAAGGTTTGGCGTGGATGTCAAGGGCCAGTTTCCCCATGTGTGGGGTATTTGGGAGGAGATCAAGCAGTTGGACGCGTTCAAGAGTGGGAGATGGGATAACCAGGAGGACACTCCAGAGGAACTGAGGGCGAAAGCGTAGCGTGAGACAACTGCCGTGCACTGAGTTGGAGGGATATGCCATCTACTCTCCCTTAATCTCCCTCACCAAGCGGCTCGAACCCGCCTCTGAGCCGCCTACAGTAAGCATATTTCTACTCAAGAATCATACCATTGAGTATTGATTCCCCCATGTATCATGCATCCTCTTTGTCAATTTTGCGAACTTCTTTATTCTTAATCCTACATTTAGCATGAGGATCAATGAAGTGTCCTCTTTCTGGACCGAGTCTTGGGTTCTTTATTGCCATAGTCGTGACAGCAAGAGTATAACAGACATAAGGCTGGGCGAAACGAGCAACGACATGACGTGTGCCAATGCTGCGACGCCTCGATTTCAGTCACAACAATGGAGGGTCCCCGGGCTCCCAAACGACGTTCCTTCTCACCACTTCACCATTCTAAAATCTTCTCATACCTTGAACAAGGTATTTGATCGTCTACCCTTGTCCTTCAACCTCTTGATACGCAAGCTACCCTACCGCTTTCCCCCACAACATGGAGACTGCCGGGCTGGGCCTGAACATATTTCAAGTCATCCAAAATGAACTCATTCAACGTGAAGGAAACCGCTCCACCCTGGGTCTTGGGTCCCGTCTCTCCGTTCTGGAAAACAGGCTCAAGAACCAAGAAGCGAGGACCAAAAATGGCCTAGTTTGGAGACTACACCACACCATTGCACCTATTTTTGCTTCCACCCCAGAGACCAGAGCCCTCGTCGAAGCACAGAGAAAACGTCTCTTGGAAAGAAAAGGAGCAAAACCGACAAAGGACGAGAAAGACCCGACGATGCACGTCCGAGATGACGAGCTTTGGGAAGTCCATCGCCATTTTCCGAGGACTGTGCTCGAGTTTAAGAAACTTCAATTCCACCGTATGTGATCTATCTCATGCTATGACTAGAATTTGCTCCCTGATATTCGGAAACAGCTGACTGGGTACGAAGCTTGCTTGAATTCTACTGCGTCAGAGTCTACCGGCCAGATATGAGATCAGTAATCATAGGCCCCGCTGACCGCCTTGTTGACATTCAACATAACCTCGAGACGTGCCTCGAGGAGTTGGCTACCACTTGGGGACTCAATTGGTTCCAAATAGGGGGACTGGAATTACCCAGCCCGACGCACCATTTCCCGAATCCCTGACAGAGTTGAACTCGTTCAGCTCATGCCAGATCACATTCGGCATCTTGAGATGCGGCATAACAGCTGGTTCGAGAGAACTTCCCAGCCCTCCTTTATGCCTCAGCCTAGCTTTAGTCAGCTTCCCTGAACGAAAACATGTTCCTGGTTGGCAAAAAGTTCGGGCGACCATAATCTGGTAGATGAGCGGTTTCGGTTGTTCCTAAATGTCTTGCTCAACAATCAGCACATCACCAATGATTATCATTGACCCTAAGTTCGGTAGAGACATGCGAACTCCCTTTGTTGTGGGAAATATTGACCCATTTTCATGGGTGTTTCATATTGCATTTTCAATAATGAAGACAAAGACTGACTGGACTTTAGACAAAGACCTCTGTGCTAATTTGAGTAAACATCAGTTATTTTAAAACCGACGTTCGTTATATGAAACAATGCCCCATTGTGCAAAATAAAGAGATTCAATATGCCACTAAATTGACCATACGACATGCCGAAATACATATCAACTAGCGAGGCTGCACCTCGGAAACCTTTCCCCATGCAAGACATTTTGGACCGTATTGATTGAGATTGGTCAAATACAATAGTATTTCCATACTCTTTGCTCTTCAACCGTTACCTGTCTCCAATATGGACTTATCACTGCTTAAGGATCCCAGGAATGCGCCCTGCACTTCCCCCTCTGCGGCTGGGGAGACCATACCTGCATGGCTTTATCGACGGGCCCTGTATCTGCTGGACAGAGATTGGAGGGCCGGCACGTCCGGGAGTTATCAACACATTCGAGATGTTCTCACGATACAAACAGGGCTTCGTATCCCTGATGCTCTTATGACCGCTATTGTGGCTCAGTTCGCTAGCTTTGGCGGAAATATACTTGCACAAATAAGGGCCTTCCCCGAAGCAGAAATGAGCCCTATTGCATTAGACCAGATCCAACTAGTGCGTCCCTTTCGTGAACAGACATCGACTGCACCGAGCAAAACAAAAAGACTGCCGGGTATGGGTATGCGCGAGATTGCAGAAGCCATTCTTAGCAATTGTACGGTGACGTATGGCTCAACAGCAGCGGCTCAGAGGCGGCCTGGTCTTCTGCCAAATGATCCTATCGCTGAAGAAGCGAGAAAACGACTCCAAGAATCCCGAGAGCAATCAGCGGCTCGCCGAGAATCAGACAGAATGACGCGCGAATCAGAAGCTGCCAATTCTGAAAGGAGTGACGATGGTGGAGGGATTGAAGGCAATAAAGCCACTCCAAATGCAGATGATACTACGGCTCACTACAGTCCTAGAGCACTCGAGGCCGCCCATATTCTTTTCAACATTCATAACGAAGTACTACTACAAGCCTCCAAATCACAAATCCACCTCCAAGGTACGGGAATTAACCAAGAAACAGAACGCGCTGATCACGGATATAATCTTCGAGCGCGACAATCTAGCCGCAGTCTACATCGGCTACATTGCTGGCAGTCATCAAGAGACCAGTTTCCAGCGTTTCCTGCAGACAATCAAGTAAGTCAGGTTCAACAGAGACTTCCCGACGACGAGGAGCATGAATCGACCTCGCACTCCAATGACAAACATGAAGATGCTAACACCAATGCCAATGCAGAGGAAACGCACATTCAAGATGATATCCCGTCGGCGTCGGAGTCTGAAGGAAGCCCGACAGGGAAAACACATCGCTCGGTCCAAAGGCGTCTGCGCCTTCTGTTAGAACCCGTGCGATTCAACGCAGGCATCGGTCCTTTAGAGAACAACCACAATGGGGAACGAGTGAGCCGTCACGTGAATTACATCGCTGATCCAGCAGATTACAGATTATATCGGACTGTCTCAGGTCAGCCATACCGTGGGACACATCATGGACGGCCGAGTCTGCCCTCGTCGCTGCCAAGGGCTGAACGGCCTACAAACATTAGCCAATACGAGCTCGACCCCAACTTGCACTATTGGAGTAGTGTGGATGGTTTGAAAACTGACATGAAGCCGTTTAAGCCAGATCCAAATCCAGCTCCTCCTAAGCCAAGGAAGTGGGAGTATGTGATTGCTGCGGCGCAAAGAGAAGAGGGCGCACAGCGCGGTCTTATGGCAGCCGGCGGCAAGGCCAAATGTCAAAAGGGCAAGGCAGCGAGTGCGAACAGTAGAGCCAAAGCCCCTGAGAGCACGAAGAAACTAAAGAGCTCGCACGCAAAGCAAACAGCGACAGTAAGCCGTCGCGGAGCAGTGAAGGCTCCCACATCACTTGGAGCTTCGACACGAGAAACCAGGTCCGCGGTCAAGAGGAAAAGGGACGAAGCCGCTGAGACCGACAATAGCGACAGAGGCAGTGGACAATCGGGCAGCGACAGACCAAGCGGCAGTGACGAAGCGGCGCCTCTACCGAAGAGACCGCGTATAAAACTAATCGTTAGGGCGCCATAGCCTTGCTCAAGGCACTAACTAGCACTGCGGCCGAGAGAGCCAAGGAAGAGGAGGATGGAAATGTGTAGCAATAGGACCCGACGAGGGTCGGTCTCTAAGGGATGAAAATGGCGGAAATTCTCATGCTCAAGCAACGAAAACTTGAGTGATGCTTGCTCGAAAGACAAAACGCTTTATCGGGTCCATTGGCGGGCACCACGCACACTTCATGGACTCTTGCGTTCTTGCCCTTGAAAAGGTCCGGTTCGCCATGCATCGTGGAGGAAGCATGAGTTGAGCCTGCACCACCAGAGTAAGTAAGCAGGCTCGGCCTAAGCATACGACTGATGGGAGATGTGTTCATGTGGACTGCTGTGGTCAGACCGACCACGAGGAATTTGAAGGTTCCCTGTAATTGTATATTGTATATTGTATGTTGTATGCTGTATATTGTACGTTGCATTTTGTATACTGCATATATAACCAGAAGTACTCAGATCTTAGATGTATTTTTCGTCCCGAGAGATCCATGTAATGTTAGCTGGCTAGGTTGGCGGACTCAACCGCCGAGATTCTCGAGGATCAAGTCGACCTCCTCGCCCGCCGTCTGCAGGATGTGGCTTGCCGGGTACGCGGGCTGCCAGGCGAGGTCCTCGGCGCCGTGGCGGGCGGTGAATGTGCATCTGTGGTTTCGGCGAGGGATTTGTGAGCTGGAACGCAGACATCTAGGGAAAAGGGGAAAGGCAGGATGGAAAGGGGATAGGAAGAGAAGGGAATGGAGAAGGGCCACGATCGGGAGGTAAATTCGCGACAAGGAATACACCACCAATGTACGTACCGTCCACCAAGGTGCAACGCGACCAACTCCTTCGGACACCCCAACGCCGCGCCCATCTTTCCCAAAACGTCGTCCGTCGCGTGCTCGACAGTCCCAGCGGTGGTAGGATCGCCGTCAACCAGCCCACGCTGCGCCAGCCGCGTGCCCATCGCGGCGTATAGGTCTTCCCAAACTACGTGACCGGACGAGGCGAGGTAGTAGCCGTGTTTTCCGCAACCAGGAGGTTTGGCGCCGGTGCCGTTACTACTGTCATTGGACGAGGAAGAGGACAGGATTCCTCGTAGCAGGGCGAGGTACAGGCTTGTGTTGTCGAGGACGTGGCATACGGGCCATGACTACACAGTGTCGATCAGGTCTCAATCGCTTAGCGAGGAGAGGGATCTCAAGCTTCCAGATTGTCCTGAGAGACACTAAGAGAAGAGAGATGGATGGACAATACGTACAGGGCGTCCGCTATCGACGTTGTATACGCGCCGCAGTGCCCGCGCAGCGCGCACGATCGCGACCGTCTGGATCGAGATGCGGTTTCCGAACCCTTCGCCTCGGCCGTCTACCCGCTCGCCCCGTGAGGTGATCGGGCTTTGGTCAGTTTAAATTGAACAATATAATTGCCCCGTGTTTAATGATGAGAAGGAGAAGGGAAAGCGGGATGGGGATTTCAGGTTTGTTCATGCGGCATCATGCACACAGACGGTTAACTCACACACTATACAAGGCACGAAGATATAGCTGTGCACGCCGAGAGACTCGGCCTGTTCGATGACCGTGTTGTTCGTGTTGACAGCCTAAACAGCTCCGAAAACGGTTTATATCTCTCATTAGCCATGCCGTTGTTGCATCTATATTTCCTAGGAAAGGGGCCTCTATGATTTTTACCTGCAGCTAAAATGAACTTACCGACTGCATCAGCGGGATGGGCGCTTTTTGCGCCTTCTGGATCTCGTACAGATCGGCCTCAGTGTCCAGGAGCGGGCGGTCCGTGGGCGCACCGGCGTGGCTGGAGAAGATCTTTGCGCCGCTGGTCTGTATGTTTGGTGCATGGAGGTCGTCAGAGCAAGACTATCATACACTTGCACGACCTTGGTAGACGTTGGGCACGAGGCTTTGAAAAAGGGAGGGAGAGAGGGACGGCGTTGATGTAGTATAGCATATACATACATGCAAGAAATGGACATCGAGCCCCGTACTCCGCTTGACCTCCGCTAGAGCGCGGATAAAATGCACCTGCGCATCGGCAGTCATGGCATCGATCAGGAAATACACAATGCTAATGTGGTTGGTGACCACGGCCTCCCTCACTGCCGCCCCGTCCTTGGTATCGAATTGGAGGGGCTCGGCCACGCCCCCGAAGTGCTTCTTCACCAATGTCGCTTGCTCGTCGCTGCGCACCAGTGCAAATAGCCGCTTGTACGCCGGCAGAGAGGTTTGCGTCCATCTTGCGAGCAGCGTGCCGCCTAGGTAGCCTGACGCGCCGGTGATCAGGATGGTGTGGGACATGGTGAAAGCGGTGAAAGCAGTGGTAGTGGTGGCAGTGGTGGATGGAAAGGCGATTGAAGCGTGAGATTTTTCGAATGGCGCGCCGTAACTATCTACTCTGCGACTTCGTTCTGTGGGCCCGCTGCTGGTATAGTCTTATAAACAGAGCATTATACATGAACCTTGAGCATGAATGGATGGACAACCAAGGATGTACTCCATTCCTAGCATGTACTTTGTATTTGAAAGCATCGAATGTTTCTCCAACTTTCAGCGTCGGATAAACAAGTTTTTCCGGGGGCCGGGTTGGAGATGCGAGGGTGTGAGATGCTCCTCCACCCTTACCAGCAGGTTGCTCCTCATCTACGAGCAGATACTCCCTAATGTTGCGCGCTCTCAGTCAGGTATGGGCGGGAACAATTGGAATGAGAAGCTTCTCTATTTAATATCGGCCGTGTATGAATGCAGAAAGAGACTTTACTATGCCTTCACACACACTCACCAGATCTGGCGTATAGACACGACTCGTATCTATAGAATAGAACCGTCCATTTCCAGCTACAAGAATTCGTAGCTTCAACGCCCGACAGACATGGAAGAGCCCCATGCACCCCCAAGAACGGCGACAAAACTAACTCACGCCGAAGCCGGAACAACAGTTACCTTCCTCAATTCCCCCACCGAAGACACGCTGTCTACTTTCCCAAGCGCCTTGCTTTTCTCCTCCTCCGCCTCAGCATCCAAGTCATCTACATCCTCCAGGTCCTCTCTCCTCAGTGCTCGGCATACTCCGTCTTTCGTACAGATCATCACCTCCGAGACGATGCCCCGGACAACGGTTCGCCCCCACCCCTTCAATCTCCGCAGCTCGCTCTCCTTTGCCGTCATGGGGGCAATGATTGTTTTTACACCGACTTGTTCCATGACCGTTGCGCCTAGGAGTGTGACGTAGAGGAAAGGATGTTGGATGATTTCCACGGCGAAGGCGTCTAATATCGCGCGGGCTTTGAATAAGTAGGTGGCTGATTCGGACTGTAATCGGGAAGGGTGTTGGGATTGAATGTAAGAAGAAAGGTACAGGAGGTTTGTGCAGATGACGCCGTTGGGTGATGGGAGGGCATTGTCCGTCCCGGGCTTGAGGCGGATGATTTGCTCAGGCGGAGAGGAATCACTGGGGTTGGGGCATTGGAAATATCCGCCAGTGGTGTTGGCAATGAAGTGTCCGTCCAAATAGGATTGAAGTCGAGTAGCCCAATCGAGATACGGTTGGGAAAGAGTGAGATCGTAGAGGGCGAGATTTGCGAGGGCGAGGTATGCGAAGTCATCGACAAAGGCTGTGTTGGCGGTGTCGTCGGCATCTGGACTGAGCTGAGAGGCTAGTGGACATGTCACCCGTACCAGCTTCCCGGTAGACTCGTCATACATGCCTTTTCGGATGAATGCTGCCGCCCTTTCAGCGGCTTCCTGACATCTTGTGGCGCGGTGTTTGTCGATCGTCGCAAGAGTATTTGCTGCTCGAGCGAGAGCCGTGATGGCAAGTCCGTTCCACGCGGCAATGATTTTGGTGTCCACCTCGGGCTTTTCGCGTTTCGTCTTACGGTGCTCGCGTAGCTTTGCACGACCGGACTTGACGATGCGGACGATCTCTTCTTCCGGGATGCCGAACTCTTTGGCTAGGATGGAGGGTGTGGCTTGGATGTGCAGCACGTTCTGGGTCAGAAATTCGTCATGCATGTCATGCTGGGCGGGGACGTTGCCATCCGGTTTGACGCCAAAGTGGCGAGCCAGGATTGCTGCGTCCCGTTCGCCGAGGATGGACTGGAACTCTTTGTATGTCCACACGTAGAAAGCGCCTTCCTTCTTGTCGTCCGACATTGCTCCGTTGCTCATGGTTGAAAGGGTGGTGCGCGAGTCTGCGTCTTCGCTCGAGTACCAGCCACCCTCTGGGTGGACGATCGGGGATTCAGGGTTAGTAAAATACTCGACTAGGTTGTAGATGGTGCCTAAAATCTCCGGGTCCCTGCCCAGCGCCCAGGCATCGCAGTAGCAGCCGAGCAACTGGGCATTGTCACACATCATCTTCTCAAAATGCGGAAGATTCCAATCGGCCGTGACGCTGTACCGGTGGAAGCCATAGCCCAATTGATCCCTCAGACCGGACCTGGACATGGCAAGAAGAGTATGTAAAGACATCCTCGCAGCGGTCAGGCAAGATTCTCTCCCTAGGATTCCGGGGACCGGGCTGAAGAAGCCAAAACGTGTATGAGTGGAAGGTAGAGCGATGGCTGCGCCGATCCGAAGCAGAAACGTGAGGTTTGATGGAGTCGGGAATTTGGGTGCTGTCGGACTTGGGCTAAATCCCCCGTGCGTTGAGTCGTAGCGAGAGATGAAATGGCTCAAGGCGTCGTCTAGCAGATCCAGGTCCAGTGGCTCGGGCGGATCCGACGCACTGGGTTCAGTTTCCCGAGCCTGGCTGTTTGAATGGGAATGGATGCCCTCGCCGGCAAAGGCCAGTAATTGGTCCGTAATCGCCGAAGATGATTGGAGACATCTGTCACGCTGTGTGGTCCAGACCTCCTTCATCTTCTTCAAGATCCCAACGAATGTGACCGGAGCCTCGTCATGAGAAGTGGCCGGCATGAGATTGGTGGTAGGGGCGGGCCCGGGCCAGTATGTGCCGCCAAAGACAGGCTTGAGATCTGGTGTC